GTGAGTTCGAGGCCAGCTTGGTCTACTGGGTTCCAGGACACCCTCCAAAGCTACAGAGAAACCCTACCTCGAAGAAAAAACAAACAAGAAGAAATCCCCTAAAGAACCCAAGGACCTGGGGCAGGGCGGGGCCATGTGCCTCGGCTTCCCGACTGCAGGTCTCTGAAGTTAACCTGGCCGGTGTTCCCAGCCTGTGGCTGGCATGTTGGTCCCCAAGTTCCTGGGGTTCCCATTCTGCTCAGTACTGGGCCCCTTCCTGTTTCTTTTTGTAGCCCAGGCTGTGCTCCCTCATGGCCTCCTGGGAAGACAGTCTTGAGATGTAGCACTAGGCCAGTTTCTCCATCTCTCCCTGTGTCCAGGTCTGCCCTGGGGGACGGTGGCCCCAGAGCTGGGCTCTGCAAACACCTGCCTCCCGGTTCCCCAAAGACAGGAGGCCTGTGTGCGGGGCTGCCTCCGTTTGCCCCCTCGCGGGGTGCACACAGCACAGGGAGACTGTCACTGCCTTCAGGGTCGTGGGGGACACTCCTGGTGCCTCTAGGCTGAGGGGGGACTTCCTTTCTCCAGTGGGGTCCTTAGACCCTGCAGCCCAGAAATGGGGTTTGTGTCAGGTGGAGGCATCACCCTGGAGGATGGACTCTCAGGTTCAAGACCAAGCAATGACTCAGACAGCAAACGTGCCGGCTGTGAGCCAGTCCCATACACCTGAGGTGGGAGGAGACCAGAGCACCTGCCGAGTTTTCATGGCTGGGGCCTCCCTGCCTTGAATACCCCCCCCCCCCCCGTGAGGTCCCCGAGCCTGACAGCCTAGCCCAGGTGTCACTTCGCAGGGTCCCCAAGTCCTTCCCCTACCCAAAGGGCACTCTGAAGCAAGAGCAGGAGACAGGGGCTTCAAAGAGAGCCGGCTTGGTGGTCCATCCTTTTAACCCAGCACTCTGGAGGCAGAGGCAGGCATTCTGAGTTCAGTGCCAGCCTGGGCTACAGAAGGAGTTCCAGGACAGCCAGGGTTACATAGCGAGACCCTGTCTGTAAGAAAGAAGGTGCTTACTACAGAACACGTCATTTCTTTATTCGTTTATTCTTATTTTTGTTTTGTATTTTGAGGCGGGGACTCCTGTAGCCCAGGCTACCCTCAGACTTTATCTAGCTGAGGCTGGCTCTCCACTCCTCATGACAGTCTGCCCCATGCTAGGCTGAGAAAGCCCTCTAGTAAGACTTATTCTCTAGGCTGGCTGTGAGTGTCTCAGAGATAAAGGTACTTGCCACCAAGACTGAGTTCAGGCCCCAGGATCCACATGACAGAAGGCAGAATCCATCAGCTGCCACACTTGCCCTCTGACCCACATGTGAGCTGTGGCATGAGCAAATACATACATGGATAAATGTAATGTTTAAGAACTTGTCTTCCAGCCTGGCAATGGTGGCGCACACCTTTAATCCCAGTGCTTGGGAGGCAGAGGCAGGCGGATCTCTGTGAGTTGGAAACCAGCCTGATCTACAGAGTGAGTTCCAGAACAGGCTCTAAAGCTACACAGAGAAACCCTGTCTAGAAAAACCAAAACCAAAAAAACCCAAAACACATGTCTTCCCTGGGCAGTGGCGCACACCTTTAATCCCAGAGCTTGGGAGGCAGAGGCAGGCGGATCTCTGTGAGTTTGAAGCCAGCCTGGTCTACAGCGTGAGCTCCGGGATAGCCAGGGACTACACAGAGAAACACTGTCTCTAAAAACAAAAACAACAAAAGAACCTGTCCTCTGTGAAAAGCCTAGAGACAAATCAGCTAGCCCCCACCCTGCTTCAGCACTGAGAGAGCGACAAAACGAAGCCCCGGACAGGCCAAACTTGGCTGCGCCAGGCCTGGGTAGACAGCAGGTGCATCTTAGTGCTCGCCGGGGCTGGCCAGCATCCTGCGGGAAGCTTTTCCCTGGTTCTGAGTGGGCAGTGACCAACAGCAGCCGTCCCAGGACTCTGTGCCCTTGAGGAAGCTGAGGTGCGTTCATTTCCGCCTTCTTAAAGGTCTCATGAGGCTGGAAGGAGCTGGCAGCAACCCAGGAAACAGGACGTGGTCCCTGCGCCGAGGCTGCGCAAACACCTGCGGTCGCGTCCCCGGCGCCGGCGGAAGCGGCGAAGGAGGGGTGGGAGGCCGCGGTCTTCCCGGTAACCCGACCCTCAGGAATGCGGCCGCCCGCGGGCCCAGACACCTGGGGACCGCGCTCTGCCCCCACACGCCGGGCAGTCCCCTGCCTCAGCTCCTCCCAGGGGCCCCCTTCGGGTCTTCCCGTTTATGACGCCGATGATCGGTTTCCGTTCAAGTAAAGACTGTCAGCGTAGAAAAGTCAAGTTTATCTTCGAACTGGGGCCGTGCCCGAGAGCCTGGGGATTCGAACCCAGGCCCAGAGGCATCAGGTTGCATGTGGGGGCCTGGGCTGTGGCCCCTGGGCGGGTCACTTCCTCCCCAGACCCTGCCCAGGGAAGAGCGGAGGACTGGAGCCCCGGTCTGCAGTCAGTCCCGTGCCCACCCGAGGCTCGCTGACCCTCCTCGTCTCTCTGAAGTGTTCAGGGTTGAGTAGGAGTATTTCCAGAGACTAAGTTTCTCCAGATAACAACGAAATTAAACAATGGCGAGAGGCCAAGCTGGAGAACCTGGGCCCAGTCCGCAGGGCCCACACAGTGCAGGCGGCCCCTCAGATGCTGCCCCTATGCAATGCAACAGAAATATTTAGCCGAGCCGGGCAGTGGAGGCCAGCCTGGTCTACAGAGCGCGTTCAGGCCAGCCAGGGCCATCTCAGAAAACAAGAAAATACTCAACCCTTACTATTCCTCACAGTCTCCAAGTAACACAAAATGCTCCCCGTAGTTAGTAGGAAAACAGGCTCACAGGAAGGTCCCCAGCCGCAGGGCGGTGGTGGTGCACACCAGCCCTCGAGAGCCAGGAGGATCGGAGTTCGAGGCCAGCCAGAGCAAGAGAGCGAGTTCCAGGACAGCCAGGGCTACAGAGAGAAACCCTGTCTCCAAACAAAGAAACAGAACAAAAAAACAAGAAAGGAAGAAAGAGAGAGAGAGAAAGGTCCCCAACCAGCTCAAACCAGCAGAGGGGCCAGCCCATCCCCCACCTGCCAAGGCCAAGGCCCAAGGTCAGGGCGGAGTCTCCGCAGCCCGAGCTCCGCACCAGCCCCGGGGAGAGGCGGGACTGGCGCTCCGGGCCGGCTGGCTGCTAGCCAGCTCTAGCTGGCTCGAGCCTCTGGGGGCCCAGGCTGGGATCTGGCCTGCAAAGCGAAACCCCACGTGTGTGGAAGAGGAGTCCTGGGAGGGGAGGAGGCCACCCTTCGTTCAGGCTGAATCTTTAGCTACAAAAGGGACAGAAACCTGGGGGTGGGGCTCCCTAAGGCGACAACTGTGCAAGTCTAGGGGGTGGCACCAGATGGAGGCTCCGGTGGCCCTGAGGTGCGGAGGAGCCGGGCCGGCCACCGGTGCGTCCAGTGGGTGAGGTCAGCGGCCGTGGTGAGGGTGGGACGCTCCCCCACTCCCAGCAAGCCCTGCCTGTCAGTCCTGGAGGGCATAATTAAGGGGGTAGCTGTTAGCCTGGATTCTTGTCTCACCGGCTCCAGAATCAGGGCTAAGAATGCGGCTCACCACGGCCGTCCAGACCCAAGCGGCAGTGCTCAGGTGGGGTCAGGCTGTGTGGGCACGCCTGCTCCCACTCAGAAGGGAGAGGCAGGGGTCAGTCATGAGGTCCCCCCCTGAGCTGCAGGAGATTCTGGCTCAAAACAAACTCAAAAGCAAAACAAAAAACCACAAACACCACCAACCGTCATGCGGTGCGCGGCGGCGAGGTGACCAGGTTGTCACTCCAGTACCTGATAAACGGAGGCAGACAGATCGCCACTAATCAGAGGCCAGACTGGGAATACATACCCAGCACTTTCCAGGCCCTATCTCTGTAAATTCCATGCCAGCCAGGCCTGTAAAGTGAGACCATTTCTCAAACTCAAGACCCAGCACTCAGGCTGTGATGAGGTGACTGGGCCTGTCATTCCAGCAGCTGAGGCAGGGGGTTGCCTTGAGTTCTTGGTCCACTAGGGTACAGTCAAAATCAGATACATATCAGAAACATGGCTCAGTGTCATACTGTCATCATCCAGGACCCGAGAGGCTGAGGTAGACTGTTGGATGTTCAAGGAGTGAGATCCTGTCTCAAAATCGCCCCAAACAGGCCGTGGGTGTGGCTGGGCGGGCAAAGGTGCCTGCACAGAAACCTGAGACCCTGCGCCGGCCACCAGGGATCACGGGGAAGAGGAGTCTCCTCCCTCGAGCTGGCCTCTGGCCTCCACACAGAGTACATGTGAAACAAAACCCTAACCTTCTGGTAGTTGCCAAGTGGCCCGGGCTTGGGGCAGGGAGACTGCAGTGAGTTATGGTTAGTGAGGTTACAGGATGAGACCCTGTCTTAAAGCAAAGACTTCTTTTTTCACAGGGACTAAAAAAGCCACAAACACTGGCGGCTGCCTAGAGCCCACCCTCAGTTTCCCCTGCGGACGACAGGAGGTCAGGTTTCGGGCATCTGAGCTCCACTCTGAACCCGACAGACAAGGCACTTCCAGCAGGTTCTGGGGACTCTCCGCAGGACCCTCCTCGGCCCTCCCCAGCCCGCCCCGCACCTGGCAGCCCAGCCCCGCCAAAGTCGCCCCGGTTGCCGCCCAGCCCCCTCCACGAGGGCGTGGTTTCGTTTGGGCGTGGGGGCGTGGCTTCACAGAAGGCGTGGCTCCTTGGGGCCTGGCCCATCACGCCACAGGAGTAGGGGAGAGACTAGGATGAGAGCGGGTCAGAGAGTCGCCGCGAGGAGAGAGGAAGAGAGGGAGGCAGAGAGAGAGACAGAGAGAGTGAGAGAGAGAGAGGCGGAGAGAGAGAGAGAGGAGGGAGAGAGGAGGGGCATGGTTGGGGGACGAGGAGAGAGGAGGGACAGAGGAAGACAGGATGGAGAGAGAGAAGGAACGGACAGAATGGGGGAGCTGGGGGGGAGCGAGGAGGGACAGAGCCAGAGCCCCGCACTCCAAGCTGGGCGTGGTGACCCGGGCAGGCCGCGTTCTGCCCCACCTCCATGACGTCAACCCACAATGCTGCGCGCTGTTGTGCCTTGTAGCGAGCGTCGCCCCTGGCAACAGCGGCCGAAGCAGCCACGGAGCGAGGGCGTCCCGGCCCGCCCCTTTATGCAAATCTACGACGTCACCTCGGGCCAATGGCGAACGGGGGCGGTGAGCTCATCGTGGGGGCCGAAGCTATAAGGGTGCGCGCGGGCGTCGCGGGGCAGAGCGGCCGGCAGTGTAGCCGGGCAGCGCGGGCAGCGGACTGGGGGGCGCACGGGGCCCCCCGGGGAGGCCGCGGCCACTCCCCCCGCCCCGGGGCCCAGCGCGGCGGGGGAGGCGGGGATGGAAACGCCCTTCTACGGCGAGGAGGCGCTGAGCGGCCTGTCTGCGGGTGCGTCGAACGTCGCCGGTACTGCTGGGGCCCCCGGCGGTGGTGGCTTCGCGCCCCCGGGCCGCGCGTTCCCCGGGGCGCCCCCCACGAGCAGCATGCTGAAGAAAGACGCGCTGACGCTCAGCCTGGCGGAGCAGGGAGCGGCAGGATTGAAGCCCGGGTCGGCCACTGCACCTTCCGCGCTGCGCCCCGACGGCGCTCCCGACGGGCTGCTGGCGTCGCCGGACCTTGGGCTGCTGAAGCTCGCGTCGCCGGAGCTGGAGAGGCTGATCATCCAATCCAACGGGCTGGTGACCACCACTCCGACCAGCACGCAGTTCCTCTACCCGAAGGTGGCGGCCAGCGAGGAGCAGGAGTTCGCCGAGGGCTTCGTCAAGGCGCTGGAGGACCTACACAAGCAGAGCCAGCTGGGCGCGGCCACCGCGGCCACATCAGGGGCCCCCGCGCCCCCCGCGCCCGGGGACCTGGCAGCCACTCCTGGAGCCACGGAGACTCCCGTCTACGCCAACCTGAGCAGCTTCGCGGGTGGCGCCGGGCCCCCCGGGGGCGCGGCCACCGTGGCCTTCGCCGCGGAGCCAGTGCCCTTCCCGCCGCCCCCGGGCGCGCTCGGGCCGCCGCCACCTCCGCACCCCCCGCGCCTGGCCGCGCTCAAGGACGAGCCGCAGACCGTGCCGGACGTCCCGAGCTTCGGCGACAGCCCTCCGCTGTCGCCCATCGACATGGACACGCAGGAACGCATCAAGGCGGAGCGAAAGAGGCTGCGCAACCGTATCGCCGCCTCCAAGTGCCGCAAGCGCAAGCTGGAGCGGATCTCGCGCCTGGAGGAGAAAGTCAAGACCCTCAAAAGCCAAAACACCGAGCTGGCGTCCACCGCCAGCCTGCTGCGCGAGCAGGTGGCGCAGCTCAAACAGAAAGTCCTCAGCCACGTCAACAGCGGCTGCCAGCTGCTGCCCCAGCACCAGGTCCCCGCGTACTGAGCCGGACTTGGGGCGCATGCGCGAACTCGCTGCGGTGGGGGGGCGCCCCGGACTCTTCCGAGACTCGGCGCCCCCGGACTCGACAAGCTGGACCCCCCTTGACTCCGGGTGGGGACCCCGAGCGCACGACCCCCGCCCTCGCGCCACCTCTTTCCCCAGCCCCGCGCGTGTTGCACAAGCCCCTTTGTGCCGCCGAGGGGGCTCCTAGGGGCGCGCAGCCTCACGCTCTGCCTTTTTTTTTTTTTTTTTTTTTGCCTTTTGGAAGAGAGAACGGAGTGTCCGATTCCGCCCTATTTATGTTTCTACTCGGGAACAAACGTTGGTTGCGTGTTGCGTGTGTGTTTCCTTGTGTTGGTTTTTTAAAGAAACGGGAAGAAGAAAAAACTCCTCCCCCTTCCCCTCCCCCTCCGCGCTCCCTCCCTCCCCTCGACGCTATCCTCGTTTTGTTTGGTTTTGTTTTGCTACGAGTCCACATTCCTGTTCCGTAATCCTTGGTTCGCCGGTTTTGTGTTTTCAGTAAAGTCTTCGTTACGCCAGCTTGGCTGTCCGCCTCCTTCTTACCCCCGGGGCTGGGGTGGGCGGGGCCTGGCCCTCTCCCATCCCCCTCCTCCAGCCCCGTCCTCCCACCCCCACTCCCAGGCGAGGCGGGAGCGCGGCGTGGGCGCCGGCCGGGACTGCACATCCGCGCGGCGAGCGCCACCTATGTGCAGGCTGTCGGCTCTGGTCCAGGCGGCCCCCGGACTGCGGGCTTCGGGGCTGTGCAGCTTAGCTGGTCGATCCTTTTGGGAAGAGGGTGACGAAATGGGAAGAGGGAGGAAGGGGCGCATGCCTGCTCGCCTAACCCTTGGGGTCTTGGTTCCCCCGATCTTCAGCCTCCATTGGGGTGTTTGGGAGGCAGAGAGTTGCTGCTTGCAGTCTGTGCTCAGTGGGAGCTTTTATTGTTTTTGTTGGTTTCGGGAGTACCTCAGGGTACCAAGACCAGCGGGAGAGTGGCCACCTAGAATCATGGAGGTGCATTTAAACATCTCCCTGGCACGTCCCTTCCCCAGCACCTTTCCCGCTTGAGGAGGGTATTCAGCGATGTTGAGCACTTGGACAGGGCCATTCTATGTGGTCTTGGCTGTCCTGGCACCTGCTATGTAGACCAAGCAGGCCTGGAAGTGACAAGAGGTTCTCCTGCCTCTGCCTCCTGAATGCCAGGGTTAAAGGCGTGCCAGCATTCCCTGGGAATATTTGCCGTTCTGGAGTTGGAGCGCCTCGGACCTACGGCTCCCATTAGGCACGGTCCTTCAATTCAGTCCCAGCCTTCTGTCTTGCAGAGGGGCACTGCCAATCAGTGACATTTGGAGAGGGGCACTGCCAATCAGGGACATTTGGAGAGGGGCACTGCCAATCAGTGACATTTGGAGAGGGGCACTGCCAATCAGGGACATTTGGAGAGGAGCACTGCCAATCAGGGACATTTGGCCCTGGGGCTCCACCTGCCCAGGTGGGCACTTTGCTGTCAGCCCTGGCCATTGCTGTTGAGACCCCTGTCAGGTTCTGATCCCTTCAGGGTGTCAGCATGGGTGCTAAGGTCACATGGTAAGTCCTAGTTGCGGGTATGAGTCTGAAGACTGCCCTGCAAACCACTGGGTACAGAAGAGGGGGGCTTTCTCCCTGACCACGCTGAGCAGAACTGTTTTGTAAGACCAGATTGTGATGCTGGCCTGTCATCCAGCATTTCCCAAGCTGAGGCAGGGAACTCTTCAGGCCTGTGCAGCCTGGGCTGTAGAATGAGACCCTGTCTAGAAAATCGAAGGCAGTTGCAATAGAGAAGCTGCTGGGATGACAAGCTGGATAGATGTAGTGGGAATGGAACCCGGGGCTTTGTCCACGCCGGGCAGGCGTTCTCCTGAGCTCCAGACACTTGAGTGCCAGCTTGGGTACCACAGCACAGTTTCGCAATAGTCACATATGCTCCCTTGTGGGCCTCTATCTTGTGTGCTGTGAAATGGGAGTGGCCTGGTCTAGGTTCTGCCTTCCCCTTCAGAATTGACCAGGACTGGTGACCCTATTACAGAGAAGGGAGGCTTGAAGACCTTTCTCACACACAGCATACACAACACAGAATCTGAACTCTCCCTTGGCCTTTGGAGTTCTGGGATGTGACTCTGTTTGCCTGCTTTTGTAGTGCTGGATGGAATTTGGGTCTTTATAAAGATCGGTCCTGTTGAGACAAGGTGTCACTCTGTAGACAAGGCTGGGCTGGAACTCATGACCCTCTGCCCCCGCCTCTTTGAGTGCTGGGATTAAGGGTGTGGGACAGCACTGCAGCAGATGAGGTTTTGTTGATGCTGGGAGTATCTTTTCTGGTCAGCTGATCTGAGCCAGGCTGGGCACCGCAGCCTGTGATTCGAGTGCCCAGGACTCAGACGAAGGAAGAACGTGACTTCCAGGCCAGCCAGGGCTGCACAAAGAAGCCCTATCGCAAAACACCGAGGCCTGGGTACCTGGGCTCAGGCTTCTGTTCCCCAGGACGGAGGCTGGTTCTGCAGTTCAGGTACATAGCTCTCTCTGAAGTCACACAGGCTTCCAAGGAGACATAATGGGCTCACCAGAAACGGTTAAAGAGAGCAGTAAAGGTCAGAGGGAGGCAGGGTCAGCGGCAGGGTCTGCTCCTTAGAGGTTGGACAGCCCTGCAGTCCTGGCTCTGGCAGCCCCTTGGCCAGGCTGAGTGGTTCTGCTTAAGCTGCCGTGCTCCGGCCAAGGTGTGTGTCAGCCTTGGCCGGTGCAGCTGTGACTCATGTTGGGTGCTAGCCCAGACTGGGGAGGCGGCCCAGAATCTTGACCTCACTCCCTTACCCCTCCAGAGCCATGGATCACAGTCCATGCCCACTTTCTTGGGTTTTGTTTGGTTTGGGTTTTTCATTTTGTCTCTACACAGGGTCTCCCTATGTAGCCCTGGAACGGGGTTTGTAGACTACTGGCCTGAAACTCACTGGCACAAACTCCCGGGTGCTGGTGACTGCTGCACGTATGCCTTTCATGCCCCACAGAGATGTCTCTAGAATATCCTGTGGGCCCAGCAGATGCGGGGGGGGGGGTGACCTCTGTTTAGACACAGGCTGGGGGTCGCCTCTGTGCTGAGCCCTAAGTTTTGGAGTAGGTTATGGGCACCAGGAGAGCTCAGAGCCCCAGTTCTATGTTCTAGAACCCTCCTCACGCTCTGCTGGGGATTGGTCGGAACTTTGGCGTGAGTCATAAAGACATCTGGGTACCAGGGTCCCAGTGCCGGCCAGAGGGGCTGGTGGCTTCAGCTTTGGGGACAGGTGAGTGGTTTGGTGGGGTGTCACTCTTGTCTGTCACCCTGTTCTTGCCAACAATGTCTGTGTCCTCTGGGCTGTGGTAACTCAGTCCCTCAGAGACAGTTTGGGGTCCCCCAAATCTTGATGGTACTTTGTCTCTTGGGCACCAACCCTGGTGACATAAAGTGTGTTTGCCCTGTGTAACTAACAGGAAGACACTGCTCCCAGATGTGCTGGCAACTGTCCCCAGCCTGCCCTGATGCCTTCACCCCACCCCTGATCTGCTCCTCCTGAACTGTCTCCAAGTCTTAGATCTTAGATCACATACAGGCTTTTTTTTTTTAGATAGGGTCTCGTGTAGCTCAGGCTAGCCTTGAATTCAGTACATAGGTGAGGTGAGACTGAGCATGAATTTCTCTCTTTTTTTTTCTTTCAAGACAGGGTTTCACTGTGTAGCCCTAGGTGTCCTGGAGCTCACTCTGTAGACCAGGCTGGCATCAAACTCACAGAGATCCGCCTGTCTCTGCCTCCCGAGTGCTGGGATTAAAGGCGTGCACCACAACCGCCCACCTGGGCATGAATTTCTTTTCCTCCTGCCTCCACCTCCTGGGTTGGACTGACAGGTGTGTACCACCAGCACACCCAGCTTCATAGCCCAAGCTGTCCTGGAACTCCCAACAATCCTCCTGCCTCAGACACCAATATGCCTGATTGTATGGGCTAGAGACGGACCATGTAACCTCATACACTCATCAAGGCTCTGCCACCGAGGCCCTGTCCTGGCTCCTGCTCCCCAGTCCCAGTCCTTGACCCTGCTCTCCCTGTGCAGCTGTGACATGCATCTCACCTGCTGTGGTGACAATTACTGATTGTGAGTCTGCTGACAGCCCCTCCCAGCATGCTGGGGCTGTCTCCCGGGTGTCCTTGCACAGGTGAGTGTTCTGGGGTTTGGATAAAGAAGATAGTTTGGGCTTTAGAGAGAATGGGGGCTCAGCGGCTGACCCCAGGCTGGCTTGGTGTTGACGCCAGGGGGTGTCTCGAGGGCCTGGAGGGACTGGTGGTCACCCTTACTGACTGGACTCAGTGAGCCGGCTCTGCTGTGGCTCCCGTGGTGACCGGGACAGGTAACTCCATTCTTTGACTCAGTTTCTCTGCTTTGCTTTTGTAAGACAGGGTACCACTATGTTGGCCGGCCACGCTGAGCTCCAACTCACAGAAATCTGCTGGTCTCTGCCTCCTAAGTTCAGGGATCAAAGGCATGTATCATCAAATGTGTGGCCCCTTATTGTTTTTAAGATAGGATTTCACTGGCCTGCAGCTCACTGGTTTATCAAGGCAGGGTGGCCAGCCAGTCCTAGGGACCCCGCCCGAGTCTCCTCCCCAGCACTGGGTTATAAACAGGGGCCTTGACAGCTGTCTGTTTGTTCTGTTGGTTTTGAGACAGGGCTGTCTTGGAACTTGCTCTGTAACCCAGGCTGGCCCCAGACTCACTGAGACATACCTGACTCCACACACCTGACATTAGCCTAGGCTGGCCCCAGACTCACTGAGATGCACCTGCCTCCTCACACCTGACGTTAGCCTAGGCTGGCCCCAGACTCACTGAGATGCCTCCACACACCTGGCCTTTTTAACTCGTGTTCTCAGGATGATGAGGTGTTTTTGCAGCAGCAAGCACCGTATGGAACGCTGTTCTGTTCCCCAGCTCTGTCTGTCTAACAGTCGTGAGGGCCTTTGAAAGCCCCTCTGCAGCTGACACTTGGGGCTTGAGAGAGGACCCGGGTGGTCCCAGCTCCCACAGCAGGTGGCTCACAACTGTGGTGACCCAGGCTCAGGTTCTCTCCCATCTTCCAATATTTTATGGCCTGGCATTGGCAGCGCACACCATTAATCCCAGCACTCAGGAAGCAGAGGCAGGCGGATCTCTGAGTTCAAAGCCAGCCTGGTCTACAGAGCGAGTTCCAGGACAGCCTCCAAAACAATACAGAGAAACTCTGTCTTGAAAAACCAAAAACATAATATAGCCACACATGGTGGTGCACTCATTTAACCCCAGTACTTGGGAGGCAGAGGCAGGCGGATCTGTGATAAATACCATGACTAACGCAGCTGGGGAGGAAAGGGTGTGTTTGGCTTGGGCTTCCATATCATTGATCATCATGGAAGGAGTCAGGCAGGAGCTCACACAGGGCAGGAACCTGGAGGCAGGAGCTGATGCAGAGGCCGTGGAGGGAGCTGCTTACCGGCTGGCTCCTTATAGCTGGCTTGCAGCACCCAGGACCACCAGCCCAGGGGTGTCCCCACTCCACCATCAATGACTAATTAAGAAAATGCCAAGGGCTGGGGAGATGGCTCAGTGGGTAAGAGCTCTGGCTGCTCTTCCAGAGGACCAGGGTTCAATTCCCAGCACCCACATGGCGGCTCACAACTGTCTGTAACACCTGTTCCAGGGTATCCAATGCCCTCTTAACAGATACATCTGCAGGCAGAACACCTATGCACATAAAATTAAAAATAAAGAAAGAAAATGCCCACAGGCTTGCCTACAGCCTGATCTCATGGGACACTTTCTCAGTTGAGGCTCCCTCCTCTCGAAGGACTTAAGTTTGTGTCTAGTGGACATAAATTATCCAGGACACATACATAAATAACACTAAAAATAATCTTTTTTTTTCTTTTTTGGTTTTTCGAGACAGGGTTTCTCTGTGGCTTTTTGGAGGCTGTCCTGGAACTCGCTTGGTAGTCCAGGCTGGTCTCGAACTCACAGAGATCCGCCTGCCTCTGCCTCCCGAGTGCTGGGATTAAAGGCGTGCGCCACCAACGCCCGGCCTAAAAATAATCTTTATTGACATCAAATGATAAAATGGGCTGAAGTGACAATTCAACAGCTAAGAGCACTGACTGCTTTCCCAGAGGACCCAGATTCGACTCCCGGCACCCACACGGAGGCTTACTGCCGTCTCTAACCCCCACCCTGGGTATCTGATGCCCTCTTCTGGTCTCCACAGGCACTGCACACACATAGTGCGCAGACACACACACAGGGAAAGCACTCATACATATGAAATACATTGTAAAAACTAAAACAGCAGAAGGCAGGGGGCTGTTAGTGGTTAAGAGAAATTACTCCTCAGTCATGGAAACCAGCCTGGGCCCAGCACCCACAGAACAGCCTGAGCGATTGATGCCTGTAACTGGAGCACACACAGGCATCACACATGCACACGCCTGTAACTGGAGCACACACAGGCGTCACACATGCACATGACTGTAACTGGAGCATGCACATGCAAAACACATGCACAAGTGTAAAAGAATACTTTAAAAAAATTATAGCCACACAAGGTGGCGTACGCCTTTAACCCCAGCACCTGGGAGGCAGAAGAAGGAGAGTCTCTGTGAGTTCGAGGCCAGCCTGGTCTGCAGGGTGAGTTCCAGGACAGCCAGGGCTACACAGAGAAACCCTCCTGCAGCTGTGATTATGGATTAGTCTGCCTGTGTTTTTCGTCCTGCTGGTTGGCATTCTGTGTAGGTTTTCTGCTAGGTGTGAGTGTGTCTATTGTCACTTGCTCTTCTGATTGGGTCTCTTCTGTGCACATGAGTCCCTCAGGCTGGGACACAGCTGTGATGCCCTTTGCTTGGTAATATTTGTCTCTGCTCATGCACACTCAACACTCCTAGGTCTGTGCCTATTTGGGGGCTGGAGAGTGCTTGCCGCTCCTCCAGAAGATCCAAGTTCAGTTCCCAGCACCCACGCGGCAGCTCACAACTGCCTGTAACTCCAAGATCTGACACCCTTCCACAGACATACGTGCAAGCAAAACCAATGCCAATAAAATAAAAATAATAAATTGTAGCCAGGCAGTGGAGTTCCAGAACAGTCAAAACTACACAGAAACCCTGTCTCAAAAATATGTAAAAAATAAATAAACAAATAAAATTTAAAAGGTGCAAGCCGGGCGGTGGTGGCGCACACCTTTAATCCCAGCACTCAGGAGGCAGAGGCAGGCGGATCTCTGTGAGTTTGTGAGTTTGAGGCCAGCCTGATCTACAGAGTGAGTTCCAGGACAGCCTCCAAAGCCAATGAGAAACCCTGTCTTAACCCCTCCCCCAAATTTAAAGGTGCATATTTGGTATTAAAATTAAATTAGGATCATTTGAATATCATTTATCTGTGTAGACAGAGGCTTATTCTGCAGACCAGGCTGGTCTTAAACTTGCAGCACTCCGCCGGCCTCTGTCTCCTGGGTGCTGGGACTGAAGGTGTGCACTGTCAGGACTGGTCTAGTGTTTGGTTGTGGTTTGCGTTCCTTTAGACACAGGTGTTTCCTTTAGACACAGGTGTTTCCTTTAGACACAGGTGTTTCCTTTAGACACACAGGTGTTTCCTTTAGACACACAGGTGTTTCCTTTAGACACACAGGTGTTTCCTTTAGACACACAGGTGTTTCCTTTAGACACACAGGTGTTTCCTTTAGACACACAGGTGTTTCCTTTAGACACACAGGTGTTTCCTTTAGACACACAGGTGTTTCCTTTAGACACAGGTGTTTCCTTTAGACACACAGGTGTTTCCTTTAGACACACAGGTGTTTCCTTTAGACACAGGTGTTTCCTTTAGACACACAGGTGTTTCCTTTAGACACAGGTGTTTCCTTTAGACACACAGGTGTTTCCTTTAGACACAGGTGTTTCCTTTAGACACACAGGTGTTTCCTTTAGACACACAGGTGTTTCCTTTAGACACACAGGTGTTTCCTTTAGACACAGGTGTTTCCTTTAGACAGGTGTTTCCTTTAGACACAGGTGTTTCCTTTAGACACACAGGTGTTTCCTTTAGACACACAGGTGTTTCCTTTAGACACACAGGTGTTTCCTTTAGACACAGGTGTTTCCTTTAGACACAGGTGTTTCCTTTAGACACACAGGTGTTTCCTTTAGACACACAGGTGTTTCCTTTAGACACACAGGTGTTTCCTTTAGACACACAGGTGTTTCCTTTAGACACACAGGTGTTTCCTTTAGACACACAGGTGTTTCCTTTAGACACACAGGTGTTTCCTTTAGACACACAGGTGTTTCCTTTAGACACACAGGTGTTTCCTTTAGACACACAGGTGTTTCCTTTAGACACAGGTGTTTCCTTTAGACACACAGGTGTTTCCTTTAGACACACAGGTGTTTCCTTTAGACACAGGTGTTTCCTTTAGACACACAGGTGTTTCCTTTAGACACAGGTGTTTCCTTTAGACACACAGGTGTTTCCTTTAGACACACAGGTGTTTCCTTTAGACACACAGGTGTTTCCTTTAGACACACAGGTGTTTCCTTTAGACACACGGGTGTTTCCTTTAGACACAGGTGTTTCCTTTAGACACACAGGTGTTTCCTTTAGACACACAGGTGTTTCCTTTAGACACACAGGTGTTTCCTTTAGACACAGGTGTTTCCTTTAGACACACAGGTGTTTCCTTTAGACACACAGGTGTTTCCTTTAGACACACAGGTGTTTCCTTTAGACACACAGGTGTTTCCTTTAGACACACAGGTGTTTCCTTTAGACACAGGTGTTTCCTTTAGACACAGGTGTTTCCTTTAGACACACAGGTGTTTCCTTTAGACACAGGTGTTTCCTTTAGACACAGGTGTTTCCTTTAGACACACAGGTGTTTCCTTTAGACACAGGTGTTTCCTTTAGACACAGGTGTTTCCTTTAGACACACAGGTGTTTCCTTTAGACACAGGTGTTTCCTTTAGACACAGGTGTTTCCTTTAGACACAGGTGCTTCCTTTAGACACAGGTGCTTTCCTTTAGATGCACAGGTGCTTTCTCTGTCTGCACGCACGTCTGTGTGCCGCATGTGTGCCTGGTGCCTGTTGAAGCCAGAAGGGGCATCGTATCTGCTGAGACGGGTTTCACACCGTTGTGAATCGTCTTGTGGGTGCTGGGAACCAAACCCAAGTCCTCTGCAAGAGCCATGAGTGCTGTTAGCCCCGGAGCCATCTGTCCAGCCCTGGCCTGTTTTTAAAGTGACATGCGCTGATCGTGCATGGGGGGCGTGTGCCATGTGCCCTGCAGAAGTTGGCATCTCCTCCACTCTTCAGGCTCAGGGGCTTGAACGTGGGTCACAGTCGCTTCCCACAGTGAGCTCCTGTGGACTGCGCTTCTGGCTGGAAGTGTGCATGTGTCCCAGATGTGTGGCTCTGTTCTCACCCTTCTAGACAATAAGATCCCTTGGGACCCTCATAATCCCTGTTATATAACTGCAGGTGTTAGCTACCAAGTACTGCCCAGGAGCCCCTTCCTGTGGGTGTCTGTGTCCTGTCCCAGGGTCCTGAGCTCACTCCTGCAGGGTGCCCTCCATCCTGCCCCCTGTCCTGCCCACCCCACGGTCCTCCTCATCCTGTCCTCCCCACCGCACCCTCCCAGGCCTGAGCCCATAGTCCTCCTCCCATTGGTATCTCTGACAGCCAGACCAGAACGCTGCTGTGCATGTTTGGCATGAAGAACTGAAGACAGGATCTTCTCTACAGACCGGCTTCCAGGGTTACACCTTCTTCTGCTCCGTTTCCAACTCTATGACCCTCCAAGGTAAGAGGATGGCCAGACCTGCCGTGAGGGTGCCTCTGCCACACAGGAACATTATGTCCACGTTATAGGTCTAAGCACTGCTGGGCGTTGTCCCCATTCTCTGTCCCCGCTGTCCTGCAGACACCCATGGATATGTCCAGACTGTGCTCCTCAGTCTTCTCCCTCTCAGTGACCCACCCATCCTTCTACCACCCCTCCACACGCACCCAACCCCCGCCCTCTCTCCATCCATCCCCCCATCTCTGCCGCCCCTGCCCGTGAGCCTGTCTGTCCATCCCCTCTACCCACCAGACCCTATGCTGTCACCCCCAGGCTCTGCCACCCTGCTCAGGAATGGCAACAATGCAACCGGCAGCTCCTCTCCAGTTTCCAAACATCGTGCCGCCGAGTGGACTGTGTGTCCCCCCGCCAACCCCTGTCCATCAAGAGAAAGTGGCCAGGCCGTGTCCTCAGACCCAGAGTGATTGCTGCCCACCCAAGGACGCAGCGGTGCCGCCGTCACGGCAGGTGCCCCGCCTGCGGGCTGTGGTGGAGAGCCAGGCCTTCAAGAACATCCTGGTGGACGAGATGGACATGATGGTCTCACGGGCGGCCACTGTCATCCAAGCCAACTGGAAGGGTTACCGGCTGCGGCAGAAGCTTATCTCACAGATGACAGCAGCCAAGGCCATCCAGGAGGCCTGGCGTCGCTTCAGCACACGCAGGCTGATGCGCTCCAACAAGCTGTCCGTAAAGAAAGCTAAGAGGGAGGAGGAGGGTGACATCCCCTACCACCCCCCACAGCAGGTTCGCTTTCATGCCCCGGAGGACCAACTGCCAGTCATGGTGAGCAAGGAGACGCAGTTCCCATCCTCCGACAACCTGGTCCCTTCACACACCACGGCAGCCCCGGGTCCCTGTGCCAGCGGCGCCTACAGGGGTGGCCTCCTGCCACAGCAGTCTGTGACCGGCCGGCTCATGGGTCCCAAGTATCCACCCTGCATGTTGACCAAGACTGTCAGGAGCTCCTGCCTCATCAGACACTTGGAAGGGGACAGTGTGAAGAGCAGACAAGTAGCTTCCAAGACCATCAGATCAGGGGTCCCAGAGTCAGCAGCATCGGGGAGATATGGCCAGGCCGTCCATGGATCCCTGAAGACCCAGACCCCGGTCCACACTGAAGCAGATGTCCCCAAGGTCCCACCGCATATGTATCCAGTCAACAAGACCCCTACCAAGGTGTGTCCAGGGGTCTGCGCCCCTAAGTCCCCAGCCACAGTGACCACAGCACCGAAAGGTGCGCTACAGATGTACCCCACGTCCCCAGCCACAGTCATGAAGATGCAATCACCAACTTGCCCAACTTCCCCGGTGACCAGGCCCCTGGCTCACGTGCGACCCAACCCTTCATTGTCTAACACCACGCCGCAGATGCGCTCTGTGATCCCCACGGCCAGAGCACAGCCCCCGGGATGTGCTGTCACCTCCACAGTCAAGACTTCACCACGCCCAGGGGCTCCAGTCAGTAAGGGCCCACTACAGACTGGCTCTGGTCCGGTGACGACAAAGACTTCACCCCAGATGCGTCCAGCGGCCAGAAGTCAAGCTCAGACATGCGCTGCGCCTACTTCATCCAAAACCTCCTCCCAGTCGAGTCCCACAGCCAAGCCCTCACCTCAGACCCGCCTGGCAGCTATGATAACCAAGACCCCAGCTCAGATACGCTCGGTGGCTGCTGTGCTCAGGACTCTGTGTCTGGTCCCTGCCGTGGCAGCCTCAAGTCCCAGGGGCTCACCCCAAACTCACGTGGTTGCTGGCATGCCCAACATCCCATCCCAGGTCCACCTGAACAGCCCAAAGGCCAAGGTCACCGTGAGCACCAAGCAGGCCACCGCAGTGGTCAAGGTGGCCTCTCACTCATACCTGGCAGAGGGCAAGGGCAGGTGTGGACCCCATGGACATCTAGACACTGTGGTTCCTAAACCCCCAGCCAAGTCTTCATTGGAAGCAGAAAAGATGAAGCCTGGGCCCCCTAAGGCCATCAAGAAGGAAGCAGCTCCCAAAACTACTGCGGCCATTATGACCAGGGCCCTATCTTGGACAAAAGTGACAGAGGACAGGGACAAACCCTTGACTCAGGTCCAGCAGAGGGCGGAGGTGGTGAAGATTCACTCAAGGGTGTACATGCCTGAGGAGACCACAGTGGCCCTGTCCCAGGCCCAGCTGGCTGTCCCCCTGACCAAGGCCTCCACCCAAGCCCAGCCGCCCCCCCAGCCACCCCCGCCCCCCCGCCAGCCTCACCCTTCTCTAAAGCCGTATCGCAGTCTCACACGCCATCCGTGCTGGCCACCGGCTTACCTGAGGGACGACGTCCACCTGGAGGTCCCTCTGCCGTTCTGCCCTCCTCGCCACTGGCCGCGCACCTGATGTCACTCACAGCCCAGCTCCAACCTGCTGGTGAGCAGACCAGACCGGTCCCTCAAGCTCATCTGGCCAAGGCATGCGCAGCCACAGCCTCCCCGCAGGCACGCTCCCTGGGGATGGCCTTCCTGTCTTCTGAAGGGTACCAAAGCACATGTCCCCTCACCCCCACGCTGCAGCATCACACGCCCTCTCACTCGACGAAAAGCTCGCTGCAGCTGCGCCTACCTGCTGAGCATGCCAAGACCGCCAACACCAAGGGCACCAAGGCCACGTGCCAGGTCTGTCCACCCACTAAGCTCAGCAAGGCCCCGTCCCTGGCCCAGCTCATCACATGTCTGGCCAAGGCTCCATCACAGGCCCATCTGCCTGTGGGGGCGGCGAAGGCCCAGTCTCAGGCCCAGCTGACCTCCGAAACGGCCAAGTGCCTCCTGACGGCTCATCCTGCCACCGACCTCAGTAGCAAGACCCAGTCCCAGCCACTCCTGAGCACGTCCAAGGCATCTGTCCAGTTCTGGCAACATTTCGGGACACTTAACACTGGCCCCCGTGCCAAGCCAGATGACAGAAGCGTGACCCAGCCTCAGCTCCATAGCCATACACAAAACAAGGCCGTGCAGAGCCCGCGCTCGGTGGCCACAGACACCCAGAGCACGCTGGTGCCTCTGCTGACTCCCTCTGGACACACTGCGTGCAATGCAGACTCCTGGGCTGACAGTGGACGGGCGCGAACCCCACCCCCGCCCCCTGTGCCAAGCCAGGCAGTGTCCTGCCACGAAGACCTCGCGGCCTCCATCGCCTCCCTGTGCGCAGACCTGGTGGCCATGCTGGGCTCCCCCGAGGACCTGCGGGCACTCCTGGCCAAGACACTTTCTCAGGGGGAAGTACGGACCGCGCTCAGCCAGGCTCTGTCCCGGGAAGTCTTGGGGCCCTCTGTGGTCAAGGCCCTGCCACAAGGCATGCTGGGAATGGCACTGATGAAGGCACTGTCATGGGGTGAGCTGGGCATCTCCCTGTCCCGAGCCCTGTCCCGTGGGGAGCTGCGTCCAGAACTCAGCAAGGCCACGCAGGGCAAGCTGGCTGAGGTCCTGTGCAAGGCCTTGACGGAAGATGAGCGGGCCACGCTCAGCCAGGCGCTGTGCCAGGGAGAGCTGGGTGCTGTTTTCACTCAGTCCTTGGCCCAAATGGCCCAGAGGACAGGCGCCTTCCTCCCCAAGGCCACCTCGAAAACGGTGGGAAGCCGGATGACCACGGCGCCTGCCCCAGTGGAGGTGACCTGCAGCGGGAGCCTGTCGGTGGCCTGGGGACCTGCACTGGGTCCCGTACAAGCACGGTGTAGCAAGGTCAGGCCACCATGGAAGGGCTTGCCCTGGGGACAGCTTGACGGGATCCTGTGGGGAAAAGGGGATGGGGCTGCCTTGGAGGGGTCACCCTGCTTGCCACAGTCCCCCTTAGGCTCCTTTTCTGGAGGGATGGTCACCAACACTTACCAGTGTCCCCTCCTCACAGTACCCACACTGTCCTGGGAGAGGGGTCTGGGGTTCTGTTCTGGTCTGTACCTGAGACCCTTGGATCTTGACCCCATGGCATGTGGTGAGGGTCCCCATGTCCCCAAGAGACCTGCCCAGCAGCCACCTCCTTGTCCGTGGCAGCCGCTTGTCACCAATGGTGCAGGCCCAAGCAGTAACCAGCCACCGGTGACTAGCACCACTGCCCCAAGCTCCCACCAGCCACCAGTGGCCAGCAGGGTGTCCTACCCATGGGTGTCATACCGAGAGGGCAACATGGCATCCAGCAAGCATTCCAGTGTCGCGGGTGGCGGGAAGAGCCCCGTGTCTCAGCAGCCCTCCACCACCTGCCAGGGCAATGTGTGTCAGTGCGGCAACCCGGGGGCACGCAGGATGTCTCCCTGTGACCGCTGCTCCTCGCCCAGGCAGACGAGTAGGCAGGTCCCCCCAACGGGTCATAGGCTGGCATCACCGCTGGACAACGCGGAGGTGGTCACCGTGGTGAGGAGCTTAGGGGACGAGCAGCCCAGTGGCCAGTCATCGCCAGTGTTCCTAACTCCCAGGCTGCAAAGAGTCTCTCGCACATCCACCCTGAATCAGGAGAGGCATCCCCCGGCGTCCTCAACCCCGTCTCGGCCCTGGGGTCAGGCCACTGGCCGCCACATGTCCCTTCTGGATGAGTTACTAGCCACATTACCGCAGCACCCACAGATCGTGTTAGCAAAGAGCTATCCCAGGGGTTCAGATGTCCACTGCCAGAGCAGTAGCGACTCCCACAGTTCCCTGCAGAGTAGCACCTCAGCCTGTCCCTCCACACCATCCAGCTTGATGCCTTCAGAGCTTCTGGAAGGTTCCAAGGAGGGTGACTTACAGGAGGATTCCCAGCCATTGCTGAAGGAGTCCATGGAGACCATGCACAGGCCGCAGGGGCAGCTGGGAAAGCCATGGACAGAGGGTTCTCAGAGCACAGTCTCCCAAGCACAACGGCCGCCCCTGGAGGTGGAGTCTCTCCTCCTCCATAGCACCAGCCTGGCTCTGAATGTGCACTGGGACTCAGATAGCGCAGATAGTGGGTCTGACTACAGCGCAGGGGACCCGACACAGGGACTGTCCCAGGACAGGACTGCACCCTGGCATAGGAGGAGCCAGGGCCATGCTGGAGGCCTGCAGCCAAATGGGGTCACTCGGCTGGATTCTGCCCTACCCCACGACATACTGGCTGATGGGGGAGCCCCAGGCCCTGGCCAGGCACCTGAGGCCAGTGAGGCATCAACAGGCCTAAGTCAACCATTAGAGGCCATGGGACTGTGTCTAAGCTCATCTCAGCCTGCAGGGATTAGTTATGAGTCACCAAGCCTGGCCCAGCCATCCATGGACACTGGGGTGACCCCAAGCCTGCCCCATCCATCCGTGGCCACTAGGGAATTCCCAACTTTAGCCCAGCCATCCATGGACACCGGGGTGTCCCCAACACTGACAGAAACATTGATGTATTATGGGTTACCTTCAAATTTTAGTCGGCCATTTCTGTACTATGGAGGGTCCCCAATCTATACCCAGCCACATATTGCTTCTGGGGTGCCCTCAAACTTTACCCAGAAGTCTGGTACTGGTATGGTGGCCTTAAGCAACCAGGCAGTGAGCACTGGGTTAGCTTCAAGCCAGGCCCAGCCGTGTGCGTCTACCCACGCAGCTTCTGTGAACAGCTGGCCCCCACCTGGCTCCTCTCCCATGCCCACACAGGGTTCAGGGCATCCAGACTCAGCTCAGGCATCTGCAGCCACCGGAGTGTCCCCTAACTTTTTCCAACCATTTGTGCCCTACAGCATGCCGTCAGCTTTCACCCGACCTTGCATGGCGACACTTGTAACCCCAAACTTTGTGCAGCCAACTGTGAGCCCCAGCATGTCTCCAAGCCTAGCCCAGCCTTTTGTGGTCAGCGTTATGTCCCCGACCCTGGCCCATGCGTCTGTGGCCAACAGGGCATCCCCAAGCCTCAGCCAGCCAGCCACAAGCAGCACTGTGGTCCCTGGAGGGCTCCAGGCGCCCCTGTCCAGCAGGGTGCCCCCCAGTCTGAGCTCCCCACTTGTGGCTCCCAGGGTGTGCTCTACCCTTACCCAGCCCTCTGTGGCCACCTTGGGAGCCCTGAGCCTCCTGCCGCCCACTGTGGTGTGCGGTGTGGGTCGAGGGAGCAGCAAGCCAGCTCTGGTCCCACAGCAGCATGCGCTCGAGGACACCAGTACAGCCCGGCAGAGCCCGCCCTCCATGCTTACCCTAGACGGGTCCTATCCGGGTGTGATGGGTAGGTCAGGCCAGCCATCTCCGGGAGTCTGCGGCAGCCCAGGGGACAAACTCATGATAGGTGCCGGGACCCAGTCCATCCCTCAGGACCCTACTGTCTGCTCTGAGCCGAAACGGGTCAGCAAGGGGCCCCCGGGTCCCGATACGCAGTCCATGATGTCTGCAGAAGACAGTGGCTTGGCCTTAGGGGCCAGTGTCCCGTGTCAGAGTTGGTTCAGGGGCATAGTTCCAGCGACACCCCAGGGGCCTGTGGCTACTGGACTGTTCCTAAGTGTGTGTCAGGGGGCTAACCCACCCCCCATGACTGCCTGGACCTTGCCAACAGATGTCCCCTGGACTCAAGAGCAGGCTGTTGTGACGACAGGTGTGGGCCAGGGCCCATGCCCAGCTGTGATACCCAGTATGCAGGTCCCGTCCGAGTTCTTCCCAAACCAGCTGGGCACCAGCATCCCTCAGACATGTGCCCCTCTTCCTGTTACACTAGAGCCCCGGCTCCTCTCTGTGGCCACCATGGTCCCACCCAGTTGCCGATATGCTGGCATGGTCATTCCAGGTACAGCAGGGGGCGCTGTGAGTGGAGGTTTGGTCCAGGGCTCTGTAGATGGACAAGTACCCTCGGTACTGGTGCCCAAGCCTGTGGTTGAAAGTGAGACTCTGAACCTTCCTCAAGGATCTGTAATCAGGGGCGTAGGAAAGAGTGTCCCCCCAGAGTCCATGGTGGATAGCGTGACCAAGCGTGTCCCCCCAGAGCCCATGGTGGATAGCGTGACCAAGCGTGTCCCCCCAGAGCCCATGGAGGATAGCGTGACCAAGCGTGTCCCCCCAGAGCCCATGGAGGATAGCGTGACCAAGCGTGTCCCCCCAGAGCCCATGGTGGATAGCGTGACCAAGCGTGTCCCCCCAGAGTCCATAGTGGATGGCATGGCTCAGAGTGTCCCCCCAGAGTCCATGGTGGATGGCATGGCTCAGAGTGTCCCCCCAGAGTCCATGGTGGATAGCGTGACCAAGCGTGTCCCCCCAGAGCCCATGGTGGATAGCGTGACCAAGTCTGTCCCCCCAGAGTCCATAGTGGATGGCATGGCTCAGAGTGTCCCCCGAGAGTCCATGGTGGACGGCATGGCTCAGAGTGTCCCCCCAGAGTCCATGGTAGGTGTCAAGGCTCAGGACCTATCTCCAGAATCAATGGTCCCTCAGCAAGACCCTGTGGCCAGTGACATGCCCCTCAGCCTCCCTCCAGGTTCTGTGGGCAGCAGTGTGGCTCCCAGTCACCCTCCGGAGACTGGGGGGGGTAAGAAGCTGAGCCCAGCTGTAGAATCCTTGCCAAGCCCCCATTCCCCAGGCCCACGCCCAGGGTTTGTGGCCAGCGGGACAGGTCCTAGCGTGCCTCTGGGTTCTGTGGCGAGTAGTGTGTCTGCAGCGTCCATGCTGGTAGGACTCAGTCCACGTCCCTATCAGGCAGCACAGCCTGGGAAGGGCTCCCGGGTCCCCTTCCTGGCACCCCAAGTCACCTGCCTGGCTAATGCCCACTCACCAGCCCCAGCAGTCCAGGGAGTGGCCCAGGACCGAGAACACTTGCCCACAGTTTTGTCAAGTGCCTCACAATTTAACCAATGCTCTGGGCTGACAAAACTTGTGAGTGTTGATAGTCTGACCTTGCTGAAACCAAGACAAATGGATGACAGAGTGTCCTCAACACTGGAGTGTGGCTCAGACCCTGTCAAGTCTGAAGGCCTTAAGGCCATCCGGTGGACAGATCTCAGTGCCATGGGAGGTGAGAATCATGAACAGGAGACCCTGGCAGGTGAAAATATTCTCAAAAACCAAGTGACCTTGTTGTCAGAAGAGGCTCCCAGTGAAGCCTGTGGCGTCACCCCTGTGCCTGTACAAGCCCTAAGGTTAGGTGAGCACGCTACAGCCAATAGCGTCACCCCTGCTCAGCCCTTACCCTCAGAAAGCAACGGCAGTGCCCCCTGCCTGCACCCTGCCCCTGGGGTTCCCAGCCTGCAGGAGGACCCTGCGGCTGGCAGTGCAAGCCAACCCCCAGCTTGTAACGCAGTCACAGTGTCACCACAGCTGAGTGCTCGCATTGCTGGAACTGCCAAGCTGTCTCTGGGGTCGGAGGAAGCGCCTCAGAGCTGCACCAAGGGTAGCCACCAAGAGCCCCTCACTGCTAAAAAGTCCTACCGCTCCATTCAAGGCAACCTTGTCTCAGAACTTCTAGAAGGTTCTATGGACAGGCTGCTGCCCTTCAGTCGTCCACTGAAGCCGCTGTCTCAGGCCTCATCGGACAGTCACAAGCAGTCCTCAGGGACACCCACAGTGGGAGATGGGAGTGGACAGAGAGCGCCCTCAGGAGTTCGAGAGTTAACCCTGGCCTATGAGTCACCCCCAAGGGGCCCCCAGAGACCCCTTCTTGTTGAGCCTGCTCACCACACCAGACACACTGGCCAGCCAAGAACAGTGCGGGCCCTCACTGCACAACTAGACCTGAGGTCCTCTTCGGTCACCAGCCCTGAAACCGGCTATGACGGGGGCGCCCGAATCCACCCGGCATCTCACGGCCACAAACGCCAGCGTGTCTCAGTCCCTAAAACTAGTTTCGATGAGGGTCCCCCAAGAGCCCCTACCATGCTCTATGGCCACAGACTTCAGCATGTCACGATGCCTAAAACAAGCCTTGATGGGAATTCCCAGGTCCCTACCACACCCCACGACCAGAAACCCCATCATGTCCCGGGCCTCAAAAGTAGCTTTGGTAGGGTCTCCCAGGTGTACACTACACCCCACAGCCTGAAACCCCATCTTGTTACACACCCTAAAACTGGCCATAATAAGATATCCCCACCCCCTGCTATACCCCAGGGCCCTGTGGATGCCGGCCTGGCTGCTGGCCAGTCATGGAATTCCAAAGTCCCCAACGTATCGCTCAGAGCCACAGCACGTGCTGGGGCACCCCAAGGCACATGGCACCCTAGCAGAGGCCACAGGCCGTGGGACCCCTCAGGGGCAGAGGCAGCGCTGGACCGCAAGCCCTCAGCTGAGTTGCTGGTGTCAGTGCGTGCCATGGAGAAAGTTGTCGTCCAGGCTGTCATCACCATCCAGGCGTGTGCGCGTGGTTACTTGGTGCGCCGCACCGTGAAGGTGTGGCATCAGTGGGCCACCATCATCCAAGCTACGTGGCGTGGCTACCGCGTGCGACGGAACCTGGCAAGGCTTCTCAGGGCCACCACCATCATCCAGGCTGCCTGGCGCGGCTACTGCATTCGCCGGGACCGGGCCCATCAGGTGCTGCTCCCCGCCACGTGGCCGGAGCACAGTGGCAGAGCCCAGGGCAACTCTGACACCAGGAGCAGCTCTGAGCACCGCTGCTTCCTGTCCTGCCAGCCCGACGTCTGCAGCGTCTGCCAGTCCTTGGGTCCCCGGGTAGAGAGTCCTCCCAGCGTCGTGATGCTCGTGGGATCCCAGCCCCGCACCTGCCACGTGTGTGGCCACACACTGTCCACGCGTGTGGTGCAGGGCTTCGGCCAGGGCGTCTCGGGCCAGCCCGGTTCTCGCTGGGCTGCAGCACCCCAGCACTGTGCCCTGCTCAAGCGGCAGCACAGGGCAGCCACTGTCATCCAGGCGGCCTGGAAAGGCTACAGGACCCGCCGCCTGCTCAACCAGCAGCAGTCTGCAGCCAAGACGGTCCAGGCCACGTGGAGGGGACACTATACCCGGAGCTGCCTCACCACAGACGCACTTTTGGGAACAGGAGGCCCGTGGAGCATCTCCAGGGACACTTCACGCCGTTCTTCAAGGGCTTACTCTTTACACTGGCCTGGAGTCTAGGCCCGTCTGTGGGCAAGACACCGTGGCCCACGTGGTCTCGTGGGTCTTGTGAATAAAGTGCACGACAGCCTGCCTCTGGTCAAGTGTCTTGAGTTCAGGGACAAGGGGAATTCCAGACCCTGCCAGTGGCAATGAGCCCCAGCGGCTCCAGCCCATGGGTAGCCAGGGGTGAGGAACCTTAATCATTTACCAGGGGCCACGGGTCACTAGTGTATCTCGTGTGTCACATGATACACGACGACTTATCTAGGGCTATCGAGATGACTCAGCTGCTGGAGGTGGCTAAGCCTGTATGCTTGATCATTGGAACACATGATGGGGGCACCGAACCCCACAATTTACCTCCTGACCTCCCTGAGTACATGTGCACACACATACACGTGCATATACATACATAAGCGCACACAGCACACACAAACACACACGCACAGCACACATGCATACATACATACACACATACACATACACACATGTGCACACACAGACACACACACCTGTGTCTGGCTGGGTGTGGCGGCACACACCTATCATCTCAGCATTGGGTGGCTGAGGCAGGAGACTCAACAGGAGTTTTTGGCCAGCCTGGGCTACATGATGAGGCCTTATCTCAGAAACAAGGATTAACAGCAAAAAAGTGAGAACCTGCCTGGCCCGGTCCAGCCCACTTTGACTTCAGCACGAGAGTACTTCCTTCCAAAAAAACGCCAGAATATTCTAGTTGCATCCATAGGTGGGGTGAGCTGGAGAGGCGGCATCCTCAGCCCTGCTTGGAGAATCCTGGCAGACAGAGACACGATTATTCAGCTCAGGTTGGGGGTGGCCATAGGAGGGGCGTCCCAGAGTGGCTGGGGACGGGTGTGTCCCGAGGGCAGCGTTTAGAAGCTTCGGGAGCATGCTGGCCGATCCTGAGGAGGCTCTGGGGTCCAGTGGAGGGAGGGTGGGAAGGGAACCCAGCGCCCTGTGCACCCAGCGCTCGCCGGCAGGGGGCGTGCGCGGCGAGCTGCCACCTGGCGACACACCTGCGGCCAGGGCCGTCCTCGGGAATGGCGGGAATGGCGGGTTCCCAGCTACTGCCCCTGGCGCTGGCCCTTCTGCTGCTAGTGAGACCCGGCGACTCTCTGTTCTCAGGTAAGCTGGTGGAGGGAAACGGCGTGGCTCCGGGCACAGCGGGGCTGGGGACACAGGACCCAGACCCTACTCGCCCCATCCCTCCCAGACACCTTAGGGCCACCTGAGCTGGCACAGAGACCAGTGACCTCCCTGACACTTCAGGGGCTCCAAGCACAGCCCAGTCCCATCCAGAAGGTGGTGGGGACTCCTCCCCCGGTCGTGGGAAGGGGCAGGGACCCGAGTCACGTCCACCACCCTGGCTTCCATTAGAAGTTGGTGGCTTGTGAGACAGCTGAGTTTACTGTAGGTGACGACTTCATTCCAGAAGTCCCACGTTTATCCCTGGAAGCCCAGCTGGCTCCAGTCTGTGGACAATTTTGTTGTTGTTGTTTTTTGAGCCAGGGTTTTTCTGTGTAGTTTTGGAACTGGCTCTATAGACCAGACTGGTCTGGAACTCGCAGAGATCCTCCTGCCTCTGCCTCCCGAGTGCTGGGATTAAAGGTGTGCACCACCGGGCCCTGGACAGTCTTATTAGGGCAGATTGACAGGGCTTGGCAGCTGCCAGCCTCCATCATGGAGACCAAGGGAAAGTCCAGTGGTAGGCACATTGCCAAAACCACCTCTCTTTCCCTTTCTGTTCAACTCTCCAGGAAATCCTGAGGGCCTACTCAGTGCTAGGTACTTAGTAGGGTTGGTGTTTGCCACCTCCTGTTTCACCTTAGAGCCTTAACTTACTCCAAAGTTCTGGCTTGGCTTGGGGTCCCCTACGGCACCTGAGTCAGGTTCACATCCCCAGGACTTTCTCAGAGTGTGGACACGACATTCCTAGATGCTCTGCTGAAGGTCCTGGGTGGCTGAGGGACGGGAGGGGTCAGCTCAGCACACCCTCCCTGCACCCAGAAGGTGTTTCCTCATATCTGCCGTGTGGGGTGAGGCTAGGAGGAAGCAGAGCGATCACTCCTGGGCAGAGAGGACGTGGGTGGGGCAAGGGGCTGGTGAGTGACCCTGTGCCCGCACACCTGGCTGGAGACACCTGGATCTGGGGAGGAAGTCGTAGTAATAGACCAGGAACTATGTGTGTGCACAGCCTCCGAACTCCTCTAGGGATGGGACATGAACCAGGGAGCCTGGAGGGACGGTGTGTGTGACTCACAGACTGAATCCTGGACTGCAGAGGCTGGGGCGTGCCTCCGTGGCAGAGTGTGGCCAGCAGTGGGGGCAGAGTTCAAATCCTAATGTAGATCATGGCTCCGCAGTTCTCAGGGTTCTAGAAACCTCCAGATGGGGTGGTACTGCTCCTGAGGAACAGAGCTGAGTAATGCAGCAGCTTCCCGAGACTCAGTTTCCCTCCTCTGTAAAGGGGGGGTCACAGAGAGTCAGTGCCTGAGCCATAACAGGTGGCGCTCAGCCCCAGGATGAGTGTCAGGCAGGGCTGCGTTAGGTGTCCAGAGCGCAGTTCAGAACGCTCTTGTTCAGACACAGGTAAGAAAGCAAGGCCTTGATATGCCGGGCAGGGGCGAGATCCAGCTCTGAGCAGCTTCATAAACACACATCCCTATCTTCTTTTCCAGGTGTTGCTAAAACAGAATTCAGGGAAAGTATAGCAGTACTGGCTATCAACCAAGAGTACTCAAATTCAGACACAATCCTTTCCCCCACCTCCCTAAGTACAGTCACAACCCCTTCCCCCACCTCCCCAAGTTCAGACATAACCTCTTCCCCCACCTCCCTAAGTACAGTCACAACTCCTTCCCCCACCTCCCCAAGTTCAGACACAACCCCTTCCCCCACCTCCTCTACAGTAACCCCTACTCCCACCTCCCCAAGTTCAGAAGCGACCCCCACTTTAGACTCCAGCTCCACAGGAACAAACCCAGGCTCAGCCTCTCCAGAGCCAGAAACAGCCTCGCTCCCCAGCCCTGGACCCCCAGACCCCGAGTTGACCACCATGTCCCAGTCCACGAACGTGGTTCCGCAAGAGTCACCCACTGTGTCCAGCCCTGACCAAGGTGAGTGTAAGCACTGGAGGGGTTGGGGGGGAATGTTGGCAGGAACCTGGCTGCAGTTCTGGAACCAGTCAGCAGGGGGCGAAACAGACCTGGGAGTGTGTGGGCCAGCTTCAATCCACAAGCCGGTTACCCTACTGTTAATGCCCTTACTAACTTGCTAGTGTGTGCTGACTTCTAAGGACACAGCTATGTTGTATTATCTTTTTTTCCCCACACACACAGGATTTCTCTGTGTAATTTTGGAGGCTGTAGACCAGGCTGTCCTCAAACTCACAGCGACCCACCTGCCTCTGCCTCCCAAGTGCTGGGATTAAAGGTGTGCACCACCACCGCCCGGTGATCTAGTTGTAGCTGTGTGTGGTGGCCCAGTGCTGTTTCCCTAACACCAGGAGGAGGCAGCCAGAAGGTTACCTCAAGTTTGAGACCAACCGGGTCACATGTTGGGTCCCCAGCTTAAAAAAAGAAATGCAGGGGCTGGAGAGATGGCTCAGAGGTTAAGAGCACTGACTGCTCTTCCAGAGGTCCTGAGTTCAATTCCTAGCACCCACATAGCAGCTCACAACTGTCTGTAACTCCATTTCCAAGGGACCTGACACCCACGACAAGACACCAGTGCACACAAAATAAAAATGAATTAAGAACAAACGAGCCGGGCGTTGGTGGCGCACGCCTTTAATTCCAGCACTCGGGAGGCAGAGGCAGGCGGATCTCGGTGAATTCCAGACCAGCCTGGACTACCAAGTGAGTTTCCAGGACAGCCTCCAAAGCCACAGAGAAACCCTGTCTTGAAAAACCAAAAAAAAAAAAAAAAAAAAAAAAAAAAGAGAACAAACGAAGTCCACATGAAAGTATATACTTGTTTATAAAATAACAACAGAGAAGCCGGGCATTGGTGGCGCACGCCTTTAATCCCAGCACTTGGGAGGCAGAGGCAGGCGGATCTCTGTGAGTTCGAGACCAGCCTGGTCTACAAGAGCTAGTTCCAGGACAGCCTCCAAAGCCACAGAGAAACCCTGTCTCGAAAAACCAAAAAAAAAAAAAAAAAAAATAACAACAGAGGCCCTGGAGTGTGGCTCAGGAGTGGAGCCCTGCCTGGAATCCCCCAGTGAGGGCTAGCCTGGGCTGAGCCCCTTCCTCTCCCCAGATGCAGGCAGCCTGTGGATCCCCACATCACACAGGAACCCGGGCGTGGTGATCGCTGTGTGTCTGCTCCTGTCCGCCGTGCTCATCGGCTCCCTGCTCACTGCTGTGAGACGCTGTGGTCGAGGAGGGCCGGCTTTTCATAATCTGGATACGGTGTCCATGGTGAGCTGGGCCAGTGCGGGGCAGCGGCCTTCGTATCAGACTCCGCTAAAGCCCTGTGCCGTTCAATGCTGACCCGTGCGTGCTTCTCTTCCAGGCCAGCGTGACCCAGCAGCTGCCGTTTGCTGACCACCTCCAGTCCTGACTCCCAGAGGCCTAGACCTGGGGTGGGCTTGGGGCTAACATCCAGGAAAAACAGTTGCTGAAAAAGTCCTCACGGTATTGACCTGGAGATGAATTTGTGGCAGGAGGCTGGCTGGAGCCCAGGGGTTCGGACCACTCATCTGGAACTCAACTCAAAAATCAAGTCAATCCAGGATGATGACGCACACCTGTCATTCCAGCACTTGGGATATAGACAGGAGGGTCAGGTGTTCAAGTCCACCCTGGGCTACATAGGGGGTTTGAGGCCAGCCTGGACTACATGAGACTGTCTTTGAAAAAGAAAAGAAGGGAGGGGCTGGAGAGACGGCTCAGCAGTTGAGAGTACTGGCTGCTCTTCCAGAAGAGCTGGGGTCAAGTCCCGGCACCCACGTGACCCCGGTTCCCGGGATCTGACACTCCTTTTGGTCTCTGCAGTCGCCAGGCTTGCGGGTGACAGGTACACAGACACACATTCAGGAAAAACACATAAAAAATAACATTAAGTAAGCACTAAATAAATAGTCCTGAGTGTTCTTAGAGGCTTCCTGAGATGTGCACTCATATGACCAGCAGTAATTAAGCACCCATGTACCTTATGCCCGAGTCACACTAGTGACCCTGTGTCTGCTCTCGTGGGGACGACAGCTGGAGAGTGGGGCCACAGGGCAGAAGGGAGGGTGCCCTCCTCGCCCCAAGCACCTGTGTGACCCAGTGTCCTGGCCGGACAGAGGCTACTCTCTAAGGAGGTAGATGACCTAACCCTAATGGGAAGCCACAACCTCGAATCAATGTAAAAAGCCCAGGCAGTACGAGCAGAGGCCCTGTGGTAGGAGAGGCACGGGCTTGTTTGTCATGGACGAGCAGAGGCCTAAGTGGACGTGAAGGGAAGAAAGGAGCTTCCAACTGTGGAAGGAGGAGGAGTTTCCTAGGACTGGAGGTGGCGTTGGCCTGCCCACGCACGCACAGGTCGGCAGAAGCTCTCTCTGCACATCCTTTCCTCCTCTGCTGAGGGCTCAGGCCTGTGGCTGGGGACACTCCAGACAGTCAGCTTTTCCAAGGTTCCACTGGAGTCCTGAGCAGAGGGTGCCGCAGGCTCTGTTTCACTGCGGGTGGGGGGTGTCTCCCTGGCTACAGTGAGGCTCTTTGTCAGCACACGGAAGAACCCCCCCCCCGTCATGCTTTGGTGACTGCTGGAGTTGATGGAGTAGGTGGTCTGAGGGGGGTAGGGTGGAATATCAACTTGCCTCAGAGACACAGACCAGAGTGGCCTCGAGTTCCCCTATGCCCGAGCCACAGCCCCTCTTAGGCCACAGCTCCCCCTGGGTTCCCCACCTCCGACTGCAGCTCTGGCTGGGCCAAGGTTAACCAGAGAAGGTCATTAACCGCCTGGGGCAGCACAGCGTAGAAGAATAGCTTTCCTAAAGGCTGGGGTGCCTTGATTGGTACCCAAAACACTGAGGTAAAGACGCTAATTCCCACGAGAGCAGCTTGCAGTGAGAACCAGGTCTGTGTCACTGCGACCGGCCTCTGCATCCGGGGACTGGGGTCTGGAACCCCCAAGGACCAGAGTCCTGCCCACCTGGCTGGAGCTGCTGAGGAGGGTGGGTGTCTGCAGCAATCTCTCCAGGCTCCCGGGTGGGGCGGGGCTGACTGCCAGCCACTCAGGGTCTCTCTGTCGCCCCCTCATCTAGAGAAACCTGCATCCTGAGGCGGGGTGGCACCGCACTGGCCTTCCTGCTAAGTGAGGTGAGAACATTGGTCTGGGCTCTGTGGGGGCGCCGGGGCCTGAAGCCCCTGCTCTGAAAGGCCCAGAGTTGCCCCATATGAGTTCACTTGGGTATAGAGAGGCTACCTGGCCTGAGTGCAAGATATTCCTCATTCATTAATTTTTTAAAAATTTCCTGTATATACGGTTCTGCCTAATGTAAGTCTGTCCCACATGGGTGCAGTGCCTCCTGAGACCAAGAGAGGGCGATAGTTAAATTATCTATTTATTTTTGAGGCAGGCTCTTCTTATAGCCCTGGCTGGCCTTGAACTTGCTGTGTAGATCAGGCTAGCCTCAAATTCACCAACCTCCACCTGCCTCTGTCTCCCTGGGGGAATACAGTCTTATGCCACCATGCCCAGCCTCTTTAAAAAATGACATGTAGCTGAGTGTTGGTGGCACACGCCTTTAATCCCAGCACTAGGGAGGCAGAGGCAGATTTCTGAGGTTGAGGCCAGCCTGGTCTACAGGGTAAGTTCCAGAACAGTCTCCAAAGCCAAGCCACAGAGAAACCCTGTCTCAGAAAACAAAAACAAAAAAAGGAAGAAAGAAGAAAAAAAAAAAAAAGGACTAGCACACCACACCAGGATCTGATGAAAGTCAGGCTTTTCCCTCCTACCCAGGCTGTTCCCACCTGAGCCTGTCCTCACCCCAGGCTGTTCCCACCTGAGCCTGTCCTCACCCCAGGCTGATCCCACCTGAGCCTGTCCTCACCCCAGGCTGATCCCACCTGAGCCTGTCCTCACCCCAGGCTGTTCCCACCTGAGCCTGTCCTCACCCCAAGCTGTTCCCACCTGAGCCTGTCCTCACCCCAGGCTGATCCCACCTGAGCCTGTCCTCACCCCAGGCTGATCCCCATCCAGGCCAGAGCAGACTCTGCGTGGGGCCTTGCACCCTCTCCAGCTGCTGGGCTAGACCTGGTCAAAACTTGCTGCCTGGTTTCCCCTGTGCTGCAGACCCCACCTCTGGCCTGGCCTCTCCAACGGGCAGAACTGCAGATGGAACTTGACCTCACACGTTTCCTGAAGCCCTGTCACCCAAGGTCTGCTCCATGCTACCCAACTCAGGTCTCCAAAAACTGTTGGCGAATGAGTTCTCACTCATCATAAGTCCTGATCACACTTGACTCTGCTCTCCCTCTCACCACCGTCTCCTTCTTCAAACCACATTCTACAGGTCTGCAGGGGGAGCTCTGGAGAGCACACCCCGGCCCTGGGCTCCATTATCAGCAAAACAGAAAGTCTAAGGAACCCAGAGAGTGTGGGAACACCAGACCTTGAGCAGAGACCCACTTCCCCTTCTGCCTGGGAGTAGGCAGCTGTAAGACAATGTTTAGTAAAAACATGTTTACAATAAGTTCCTGGAAAAGGCCTGCCCACAGAAACCGCCCTGACCTCGACCTTGTCCAAAGACTAACCGCACCTTCAAAACCCACACACATCCACCTCTGGGGTCAGAGCAGAACCAGCCAGGGTAGAGGAGAGAGCAGAAGCTTCTCTGGTGGGAGCCTTTCTTAGGAAGTTTTCTTGAGCCTTTTTGGGGCCTGCTTAAAGTTTTCTTTACATCATTGAACAAGTCTCTGTGTTGTCAATCCCCGACACCCTCCGCACATTCTCGGACACAGGCCGCGCAGCAGACGTGACAAGAGAGTTCGAGGTCACACCCTCCAAGGAACATCTTAGGGGGTGTTTTGCGTCTAGTGTCTATAAGGCTCTGTACAACACACACACACACACACACGCACACACAAATCCCCGAATAAAATATTCCCTGAATTAAATACAGAACCTGAGCCCTGCCCCAAGACCCTGCCTGAGCCCCACACCCAACTTTTCTATGAGCCCCGCCCAGCCCCGTCCCTGAGCCCCACTCCAACTTTTCCCTGCCCCACCCTCGCTCTCAGCTGAGAATGGGGAGGACTTTCTATACTGGTGAGTATTATAGTGAGTCCTACAAAGTTCAGACCGGGACAGAAGGCAGAGAGAGGATCAGTTCCGCCGGGTATCCTGCGCCCCGCCCACGTGCAGGCTCAGCCTTCCCCACCCGTGGACCCACTCTGGTCCTGAGGCTGTGAGTTTCCCCACTTACTCTTCCTTCTGATGCCCGAGACAGGCCTTTGCGAAGCTCAGGAAAGAGAGGCAAAGTTTGGGCCATCCTCTGGTCCTCATTGCTCACATCCTTCCCAAAAGGCTCATTTTGTGCGGCCCGCTGAGGTCAGCACTGGACAGCTCCTGGCCATCCCCAATTCCACCCCAGAGGCTGTTTTTTGTTTTTGTTTTTGATTTTTTCAAGTCAGGGTTTCTCTGTGGCTTTGGAGGCTGTCCTGGAACTCACTCTGTAGACCAGGCTGGTCTCAAACTCACAGAGATCCGCCTGCCTCTGCCTCCCCAGTGCTGGGATTAAAGGCGAGTGCCACCATCACTCTGCCAAAGATTTTTTTTTTAAGAATAGGGTTGAAGAGATAGCTCAGCAAGTGCCTGCCTGCCTGAGTTCAGTCCTGGGGTCCTCAGGCTGGAAGGACAGAACCAACCCTTGGTAGTTTCCCTCTCACCTGGATGTGTACGCCATGGCGTGTGTGTGCTCCTCACAGATAAATCGATAAAAAATTAACTGCAATAAAACCATAACACACACACGCGCGCACGCACGCACGCACGCACGCACGCATGCACACACGTCGCCTGAGGCCCACGGGGCCGAGCACCAGGGAAGCTGGGCAGAGGCACGGTCCTCAGTGCTGGTCCTGGTCTGGATGCTCAGGGTCCCCGGGAGACAGCCCCGCACAAGAGGCTTGCTAAGCACCTCTTGCTGTCTTTCCAGCGAGTCCGGGGACCGGTGGATTCTGGAGCAGGCCCTGCCGACCCCCTAGGTGGGGGCGTGACCAGAGACGTTTCTCAGGGGCTCTACTGCTGCCTCCATTGTCCTGCCGCCTCGGGTCCGCAGGGGAGGCAGAGTCTGGTGCCCACTTGGTTTTCACCATTGAAAAGGGACAGAGAGAAGCCCGGGCCCAGCAGGTGAGGAGCCAGGTGAGCCACAGGAGGCAGAGTGCCAGCCCCCAAGTTAGTTTGGGACAGCAGGGGTTTCTTACTGTGCTCCAGGGACACCCTGGGCTGCGGAAAAGGCAGCCACGCTCGGGTGACAGCAGAAGTTAGTCAAGGCATGCCAGATAAACGGGCCTGCAGGCGGTACAGAACATTCTAGAGCAGTTTGGGAGGCAGGGGATGGATGTCACAAGACCTCTAGGGGTACAGTTGGTGGGACATTTTAGGGCGACAGTTTGACCATACGGGCATTTTAAAAGATCTCCAGGCCAGATGGGCACGGTTGCTCAGGTCTGTACTCTGGAGAGACTGAAGCTGGAAAACGGTGAGTTGCTATCAAGCTTGGCAGCAAACACGTCTCTGGGCTGGCAAGGTGGCTCAGTGGGTAAAGGTGTATGCTACCAAGCCTGACTACCTGAGTTCAATCCCCGGGCCCACATAGTGGAAGCAGAGAACCAATCCTCACAAATTGTCCTTTGACCTATTCATGTAGATCCAACCCTCACACCTGTGGCATGCACGTCTGCTGCTTGCCCCATTCACACACTAAATAAATAAATAAATAAATGCCATTTAAAAATTTAAACCCTGTCTTAATGCTGTGACGAAACACCATGGCCAGCGCTGTTCATCGTGGAAGGCGTCAGGCAGGAGCTCACACAGGGCAGGTGCCTCCAGGCAGGAGCCGATGCAGAGGCCATGAGGGCGCTGCTTACTGGCTTGCTTCCTGTGGCTTACTCAACTGCTTTCTTATAGAACCCAGGACCACCAGCCCAGGGGTGGGCCCTCCCCCATCAGTCACTAATTAAGAAAGTGTCCCAGCCGGGCGGTGGTGGCGCACACCTTTAATCCCAGCACTCGGGAGGCAGAGGCTGTGAGTTTGAGGCTGGGCTGGACCGACAGCCTTGAAAACAATACAGAGAAACCCTGTCTCGAAAAACCAAAAAAATAAAAAATAAAAAAAAAGAAAGTGTCCCACAGGCTTGCCTACAGTCTGATCTTTTTTTTTTTTTTTTCCGAGACAGGGTTTCTCTGTGTAGCTTTGTAGACCAGGCTGGCCTTGAACTCACAGAGATCTGCTGCCTCTGCCTCTGCTGGGATCAAAGGTGTGCACCACCACCACCCATCTCTGCAGCCCAATCTTAAAGAGCTTTTTCTCAACTGAGGCTCCCTCCTCTCAGATGACTCCAGCTTGTGTCAAGTTGACACAAACCACCCAGGGCAGAGTGGTGAAGGCCTTGAGTTCAGGTGGTGAAGGTTTGTATAGCGCGTATGAAGCTGGCGCCGTATAAACCAGGGGTGCTGAAGGCAGAGGGGCAAGAGCTCAGGCTCAGCTGGGCAGGACTGACCGTCAGGATGGGGTGCAGACAGACTGGGGGCAGCTGGGCAGGACTGACAGTCAGGCTGGGGGCAGACAGAGGGGCAGCTGGGCAGGACTGACCGTCAGGCTGGGGTGCAGACAGACTGGGGTCAGCTGGGCAGGACTGACCATCAGGCTGGGGTGCAGACAGAAGGGCAGCTGGGCAGGACTGACCGTCAGGCTGGGGTGCAGACTGGGGTCACCTGGGCAGGACTGACCGTCAGGCTGGGGGCAGACAGAGGGGCAGCTGGGCAGGACTGACCGTCAGGCTGGGGTGCAGACAGACTGGGGGCAGCTGGGCAGGACTAACCGTCAGGCTGGGGTGCAGACTGGGGGCAGCTGGGCAGGACTGACCGTCAGGCTGGGGGCAGACAGAGGCTCAGCTGGGCAGGACTGACCGTCAGGCTGGGGTGCAGACAGACTGGGGTCAGCTGGGCAGGACTGACCGTCAGGCTGGGTGCAGACAGACTGGGGTCAGCTGGGCAGGACTGACCGTCAGGCTGAGGTGCAGACTGGGGGCAGCTGGGCAGGACTGACCGTCAGGCTGGGGTGCAGACTGGGGGCAGCTGGACAGGACTGACCGTCAGGCTGGGGTGCAGACAGAGGGTCAGCTGGGCAGGACTGACCGTCAGGCTGGGGTGCAGACAGAGGGTCAGCTGGGCAGGACTGACCGTCAGGCTGGGGTGCAGACAGAGGGTCAGCTGGGCAGGACTGACCGTCAGGCTGGGGTGCAGACAGAGGGTCAGCTGGGCAGGACTGACCGTCAGGCTGGGGTGCAGACTGGGAGAGTCGGGTAGTGGTGCACAGCTTTAATCCCATCGCCTCAAGAGCAGAGGCAGGAGGATGTCTGAGTTCCAGACCAGCCTGAGTTACAAGGTGAGATCCTTAGTCACAGTTCCATTGCTGAGAAGACACACCATGACCAAAGTAACTTATAAAAGACCACATTTCATCTGTGGCTCACAGTCCTGGGTAATCTGTGACCACCTAGCTGGGGAGCATGGCGGCCAGGCCTGGCGCTGGAGCAGAAGCTGAGAGCTCACACCTGACCCTCAGGCAGGGGACAGACAGATGGAGAGAGACTGGGGGGCTGGGCTTTTTGTTTCTTTTGTTCTGTTTTCCTAGACAGGATTTCTCTGTGTAACAGCTCTGGCTGCCCTCAGACTCACAGAGATCCGCCGGCCTCTGCCTCTAGTGCTGGGATTAAAGGCACGCGCTGCTGTGCCAGGCTGGCCTGGGCTTTTGAAACCTCAAAGCCCATCTCAGTGGCTCCCCTCCTCCAAGGCCACACCCCCTAATCCTTCCCAAGCAGTTCCATCAGCTGGGGACCAAGCGCTGAAGCTTACAGCATACGAGCCTGTGAGGGCAGTTCTCACTCAGACCCTACACACCCTGTCAGAGAGGGGGGAGCAGAGAGGGGAGAAAGGAGAGAGAGCACAAGACAGAGAGAGGAAGGGGGAGAGAGGGGAGAGCGAGACAGAGAGAGGAAGGGGGAGAGAGAGAGCGAGAGATTTTCTTTCTTTCACCATGTGGGTCTCAGGGACCAAGCTCAGGCCCTCAGGCTTGGTGGCAAGTGCCTGCATAGACCAAGCCTCCGGCTCCTCCCCCCATGTCTTCAGTCTGGCGACAGGGACAGTGCTGGCTTCCTTGTCGCATACTCTCATAACAGCTCCTGCACCGTTCTTGCCAGTTCCTTCCCAGCACAGCGCCCCAGGCCTGAAGCAAGGCAGTGTCGCCGTCTCCTCCCGCTCCACGCCCGGCCGGCCCGTGCTGTCTACACTTCTGCTAATTAAGACGGAAAATGTCCTCGCAGCTCTCCGCCACTCTCGGGAAGCTCCCCCGAGACTAGGAGGGGTGGTGATTGGGATCCTGAGTTTTCTAGAACTGGGAGGGGTGAGACAAGCTGGAGGTTTGAGGCCGGAATCTTGGTTGCAAGGTGGAGCCCTGGGGTGCCTTGGGGGCCATGTCCTGCCAGGGTGTGAGGCTATAAAACCCGGGGGTGTCTGCTGTGTGCCGCTGGCTGCTGCGAGCTCACAGCAAAGTGGGTCTTCGGTCTAGCTCTTTAACTCGGTGGGGTGGGGTGGGGTCTCAGCACAGCACGGATGCTCCTGAGAAGTGGCTGGCTTCCCTCTGTCCCCTGCCCTTAGCTCTTGGGATCTCTGGCCTGCGACTGTGCACGTCTGGGCGGGGCTACTCCCAATCGCCGTGCTTCTGAGCCCCCTCTTCTGCTAGCTGAGGCCCGACCTTCGAGCCTGCCTCTCTGGGTGCGCTGAAAAGCCTGCCGTGCGTCCCGGGGACCGGTCCCTGAGTCTAGGCTCCAGTGCCGGGAGCGTCGGGGACCGGTGGGCGCAGCCTCACGTCGGAGTCCTGCGAACTTCCCCTCCTGGCTCCGTGGGGTGGGTCCCGGCTCTGTGCACGGCCTCCCCGGGGCCTCCCAGTCTCTCTTTCCTTTCATTGGCTTCGGGGGGCCGCGCATGGAGACCTCGGGTGTCAGCCGGGCCCCGAACCACCTGTGGGGACAGCCACGGCGCCCCATCCGCATCCAGCGGCGCTTCCACTCGGACCCGGAGCCCAGCGAGCGGCCCGCGCTCGTCAAGTCCCGGCGCTCATGGCCCAGCTCCTTCTACCGCCGGTAGGTGGTGGGGCGGGGCCTGTCTGAAAGGCGGGGCATGGGGCGGGGCCAGTTGAGGGGATGACAGCTATTGAGGGGGCGCGACCTTGAGCGAGTGGGCGAGACTTACACGGTTTGCTTGAGGGAGAGCAGCCTAGTTGCGTAAGAAAGTGGGCGGGGCCTGGGGAGATAGGTGGGGCCTGTCTGAAGTGGGCGTGGTCTGTAGTGGGAGGGGCAGTGTCAGAGTTGGGAGAGACACGTTGGGCTGGGAGAGGGAAGGCAGGGTCAGTGGGGGCCCTGGAAGAGACCGGGCGAGGCATAAGGGCACGGTCTGCAGGCGGCTGAGGGCGACGAGCGCATGGAGCGGGGCGCGTCGGCTGGGGCAGAAGCATCCCGATCTCTCCGGGGCAGGGCGGGGAGGAGCCTGGGGTTTGCGGGAGCGGTCAGTGGGCTGGGGTCTGAGATGAGTAGTCCACGCGGCTGTTTAAGTGTCCCGGCTCCTGCGTAGATGGGGTGTGGGCGTGGCCTGGAGGTGACGGAGCATGTTGTGGAGGGCTGTGGGGCAGGGTCTACGGTGAGCGGATGCGGGGCGGGGCGCGGCTCCTAGGGACCACTTGGGGAGCCTTTGGTATGAGAAGGGCACCTTGCAGGAAAACCTGTCTAGGAGAAGTGGCCTTGGAAGTGGTGGTGGTGCATGGTTTACTCTGGGTCTGGGTGACTCAGGGTGCCCAGTACCGTGGGCTCCTGGTGTGTCTGTGGCACCTCCGGGTAACAGTGCCCCACCGCCTGCTGCAAGTCTGTGGGTCTCCACTCCGAGTGTGTCACTCCAAGTTGTGTACCTGGCTGAGTTTCCTTTTGGGTGGCCATGGGTGTGTGGGCAGCTGGGTGGGGCTGTCCTTGCCAGTCCTCTGCTGGGCTTCAGAGGGGAGGGCTGCTCTGGGATGTTTGAAGGTGGCCTGGAGGCCTTGCAAAGCCTTCCCAGCATCTGGGTGGCCTTAGGTTGCTAAGGAAGGACAGGACCCCAGCTATAGAGCTGGGAAGCAATTCACCGGTGGCCTGCACTTGCCCCACCCAGTCTTGAGGGCCAGAGCACAGTCAGTTCCTGCATTTAAGGATTTGGGGGTGCGGGGGGTGTGGTGGTGCACGCCTTTAGTCCCAGCACTCGGGAGGCAGAAGCAGGCGGGTCTCTGTGAGTTCGAGGCCAGCCTGGTCTACAGAGTGAGTTCCAGGACAGTCAAGGCTACACAGAGAAAGCATTTTGAAAAACAAGACAAACAAAAACTTAAAAAGGAAGGAGCAGGAACTGAGCCTCTGGCTGCATTGGGAGATCGCTCACCTGCGGAGCTCGCAGCCCTGGGTTCCACGCACCTTCCTCCTGGCACTGGGACTGGAGGCAAGAGCATCACCACAGCCATTCGCAGCTGCATAGCCAGCTGAGGCCAGCCTGGGCTACGTGGAACCCTGTCTAAGAAGGAAAAAGCAAGCAGTAGGGCTTATAAACTGCTTTTAGGTCAAGGCATGCGGGGTAAGAAACGGGAGACCCCACTGCAGTGACAGCGCACAAGTATGCTTGTGCACGCGTGTGCGCACGTGAGTGTGTGTCTGTGTGTGTGCGAGTGTGTGTCTGTGTGTGAGTGTGTGTCTGTGTGTGCGTGAGTGTGTGTGCCTGTGTGTGTGCTTATCTCCAGCTGTGGCTATGTCCCCAGGACCGGGCACAGCCACCCAGAAGTCATCAAGTCCTTGGCGGGTCTGGGAAAGCAGCCCTTGAACAGAACAAGCTCTCAGGTTGAAGTCCAGCCTGGGAACCTAGACCGCATTCCTCTCCTGTGACACAGCTGTGTTCATGGGGCACCACGCACCTCAGCCTGGACCCGGCCTCTAGCACCGGGCGTGCCTGCCCCGGTGACCAGCAGGGCCTGCTGCACCCCTTCCAGTGACTCACCGAAGATTTCCCATTTTCAGCGGCGCTTCCTCTGGTGTGCGCGCACCACATAGCCATGGGCAGGGGAGGGGAGGGGCTCACCCCATGGAGGTCAAGGCCAAGGCTGGGAGCCAGAGGCTCTGTTCCGTTTGAGCCCCTCACACCACAGGAAGGTCAGGACACCTTGTTCGGAAAGCATTTATAAAGCGCCTGCTGTTTACCAAGAATGGCTTGAGAAACTACAAAGAGCGCCCTGCTCACAGGTTGCTCGGTGGGAGTCCTAGGGTGTGGGTCAGTGGTGTGAGCATGGGGTGCTCAGCAGAGGCGTGGACAGGCGACCGAGGTGTGCTCAACGTGGGGCGCACACGCTGCAGAGCCTCAGATGGAAGGGTGTGGCTGCACCAGATGGAGACGCAGGACACGGCAGAGTCGGGCTGAGGCTGGCGGAGAGCCACAGGGAGGAGGAGGGCGCCTCTGCTCTGCTCCCGATGATTCTGGGCCTCCTGGTAACGGAGGAGAAAAGTGCTCGTCTTGGGGGGGCCGGCATCCTCACAGAAATGAAGGCAGTGGAGGGTCGGCACCAGAGACTCTGGGCGCTCCCTGAAGTCACACAGCAATGCAGGTTCAGAACAGGACGAGGGCCCCTCACCGAACAGGACTGCAGCTCTTGAAGCTCACGGGGACAGACTTGGAATGTCCAGCCCAGGCTGTGTGGCTTCTTTGTGGTCATTCCTCTGTATTAAAAGCTACTAGTAAGACGTGACTGTTGGAGCCATTAATAAAATACAAATTTGACTCTGAATAAAGCAGTCATCCCACAGCCATTAATAAAGCGAAACGCTAGGCCGGCTGGGGGGACTGCAGAGGGAGGACAATTAGTCAGTGAATTAGATGCAAGAGGCTCGGACACCAGTTCGCTGACATGGGATCCTGCCAACTCACCCTGTCATTCATAGCTAGCTGTGTGACCTCAGGCAAGGGGCTCAACCTCTCTGTCCCGGCCCCACACAGACCTCACCCGTCTTCACTTTCTGTTTTCCAGGATTTGGGGGTGGAACTGAAGTGATCTCCCCCTTAGGCCTGGAGTGAGGTCAGGGCTCCCTGGGGAATGGCTGTAATCAACTGGCGCCCGCAGCCACAGACGGTGTTTTCATCACTAAGTCCGTTCCCAGCAGGAGTCAGGTTGGGGTCGCAGGGCTGGAAGGGTTTCCTGTGTCTGAGCCTCCCCACGCAGGGGCGCATGACCCCCGAGCACCTCAGATCTCCAGGGTGACTGGAAACCTGGGCACCATCTTCCTGGGGACACGGAGGGCAAGGGCCGGGCTGCAGGGTGTGTGCGTCCTCCGTTGGGCATTCTGCGACATGCATGAGCCTCAGTTTCCCCTTGTCGAGTGCGACTAGATCCTGAGACTCCTGGAGACTTCACAGACCCTGGCCTTGAGGTCCTCCTGCGGGCGGGGGAGGGAGCGGGGGCGGGGCCTCGGGGGCGGGGCCTGAAGGTCGCGGCGCGGGGGCGGTGCAGGGCGCGCGGGGCGGGGCCTCAGGGGCGGGGCGGAGCCGCGGGGGCGGGGGCGGTGCAGGGCGCGCGAGGGCGGAGCCGCAGGGGCGGTGCGGGGGCGAGGCCGCAGGGGCGGGGGCGGAGCCGCAGGGGCGGGGCGGGGCCACAGGGGCGGGGGCGCGGACGCCGGGAGCAGCCCCTGGCGGGCGGGCGCCACCGACGGCACCCCGCACCCAGGCGGCTTGGTGACCCGCGAGCAGTCGCCGCCAGGGTGCGAAGGGGGGCGCCCCGCCTGGTACCGAAGAGTGAGCCTGAGGACCGGCGGCGGGTCTGGGATCCCGCGGCGGCTCGGTGCCTCAGTTTACCCGTCCGGCCACGCGCCGTTCCCACAGCCAGAACCCGCACCTCTCCCCGCTGTTCGCACATGGAACCGCCGCCTGACCCCGCCAACCCCGGCTAAGTTTAGAGCAGAAAAACCAGCTTCCCGGCCCCAAGGAGTCGCCAGCCTTCAACCCCCACGCCCGAGGCCTGGATTCGAACCCAGCACCCTGTGGTTGCCCCTGCTTCAGCTTTTCCAGTCGTCCCAAGGGGACGGGGCCGGGGGCCGCCACCCGCGGGCACTGGGACGGCGAGTTTGAGGTACTCGAGGGGACCCCAGGGCGCCCCTGAGCCGAGGCACGGCGAAGACGGCGAAGCCCCGCCCGCGGTGACGTCACCGCTCCTGTCCTGCCCCCCCCACGAGGGAACCTGACGGAAAAGGACGAACGCAGCCGCGCTCACCCGAGGATGCACGAACCGTCCGAAGCCGTCCAGGCGTCGTCGGAAACAGTCGAATGCAGCCGAGCTCATCTGGGTCATCTGGCCAGGACCCGGACGGGACCTTTCGGTCCCCGCGGACGATCCCGTGGCCGCACGTCGGGCCCGCCGGCCGCGGACCTGTGACTCGCGGGCCCCAGCCCCGCCCGGGTCAACCCCTCGGTCTTCGGAAACGTTTGTCTGTTTCACGCGTGTGCGTGCCCGGGTGGGAAGCGAGTGACCGTGGAGTCGCGGTCGTGGGCCGCCTTGTGGGAAGCGGACCCCGTCCTGTGCAGAGCAACCGAGTTCTTTTTTTTTTTTTTTTTTTTTTGGTTTTTCAAGACAGAGTTTCTCTGTGGCTTTGGAGGCTGTCCTGGAACTAGCTCTTGTAGACCAGGCTGGCCTCGAACTCACAGAGATCCGCCTGCCTCTGCCTCTGCTGGGATTAAAGGCGTGCGCCACCAACGCCCGGCTGCAACCGAGTTCTTAATGGCCAAGCCGGCCCTCCCTCCCGCACCCCGAGGGAGCCCCCCCCCCTTCGGGGGCGGGGGCGGAGCCGGGGCTGGCGGGCTCGGGGGCGGAGCCGGGGCTGCGGGCGGGGCTACGGGCGGGGCTGGGGCCTGGGGGCGGGTCTGGGAGCGGAGGGGTGGCTGGGGGCGGTGCCGGGGCTGGGGGCGCGGTGGGGCGGGTCTGGCTCGGGGGCTGTGGTCTGGGGGCGGGGCCGGGGCTGGGGGCGGGGCTGGAGGGGCCCGGGGGCGGGGCGGGGGCGGGGCTAATTTCCCAGGCTGCGGTTTAGCGGTCTCTGCCCGCTGTGTACACTGTCAGGGAGAACCCCAGGTGGACGCGCGGCTCGGAGGTGGGAGGGTGCGGCCGGCGAGCCGACGTCCCCTGCCCCCTGACGCCTCCGTTGTGTTCCCGCCCCCAGCTTTGACCTGGAAAACGGGTTTGCGGACGGCAGGGGCCCTCTGGACCCTCAGTGTGGCCGGGTCCTCCAGCCCCCGGGGCAGCACGGCCTGCGGCGTGAGTCCTTCCTGTACCGCTCCGACAGCGACCATGAGCCTTCCCCCAGGGCCGTGTCCCGGAACCCCTCCGTGGCCAGAGACCTGTGAGGCCCCTTCCTCCTCGTAGCACGTTCTTCCAGGGAGCCCTTTAAGAGAGGTTTTGATGTGGGAGCAGGCGTTCCCGGAGCGCCACGGTTTGTGTCTAACATGCAGCAAACACCAACCGTCTGTTGGGGACACAGTGACACATTAATCCGTGAACCCTAATGCCAGTCGGCAACGGACAAATACTTCTTTTGAGCTCCCTGGTAGCTGTGATGAAAGTTCTGTCCTGACTCTTAAGACTCCTTACTGTCCTTAGGACTCAGTTTCCCCGTTTCAGATGTGGATAAGGGGGGGAGGGGTTGGAGAGGCTGTGGTTTTCTCGGGGGTTTCCAGAGACAGAAGGCCCGAGGCAGGCATCCTGAGGGAAGGGCTCTCTGAAGCCAGCAGTGCCTCAGTGGTGGCCTCCCCGCAGGCATGGAGAAGACATGATTGTCACGCCCTTTGCCCAGGTGGGTGTCCCCCAGCCCTTCTGCGCGCCAACACGCGGGCGGGGCGAGCTGGGCCTCCTCTGCCGGCTGAGCACCGCCCTCGCCACAGGTCCTGGCCACTCTCAGGACCGTTCGCAGCAACGTGGCCGCCCTTGCCCTCGTCCCGGGCAGGTACTGAGCGGAAGGGCCTGGAGGCGTGGGGAGCTTGGGGGGAGGTGCGGGGTGGGGCCGTGGGGGACTGGGGGGCTGACGGCTTGGAAGGGCCTGGCGAGGTTAGCCTCTCTGGTCCCTGCCCGCAGGCAGCTCCTGGAGAGCCCGCCCTGTGGCAGCCCGCCCGCCGGCCCCACGGGTAAGCACCCTCTCCCACCCTGACAACCAGAGAGCACAGAGGGCCCGTCGGGGCCACGCGGCCACGCGCAGGAGGCCGGGAACTGTGGCCCTGGGCCCCGGGGGGTTGAGGTGCGGAGATGGGAACCGCACAGGCTCCCCACTGGGGGTCCCGCCCTCACCCGCCTGGCCTGCAGAGGACGCCGGGCGACAGCTGGCACGGGAGAAGCTGGAGGAGCTGGACTGGTGCCTGCAGTAGCTGGAGACGCTGCAGACGCGCCGCTCTGTGGGCGAGATGGCGTCCAACAAGGCGAGGACTCGGCACAGTGCCCCTGCTCATCCTCCTCCCTGCCCGCCCTCCTCCCTGCCCGCCCTCCTCCCTGCCCACGCTCCTCCCTGCCCCACAGTTCAAGCGTATGCTCAGCCGTGAGTTGACCCATCTGTCGGAAACCGGCCGCTCAGGGAACCAGGTGTCGGAGTACATCTCGAAGACCTTCCTGTGTGAGCCGCCTGGGCAACCTCCATTATGTGGAGGAGAGGAGGTCTTACCCAGCAGCACTGGAGGAAAGTGATCAACAGGGAGCCTTTGGGGAGAGGACCTGGCAGGTAGCATTTTGAGGCATGGGTAGGAGTTCGGGGACCATGTGAGTTCAGCCACACAGCAAAGCTTACAGATGAGCAGCTGACGAAGGGGCCCAGCGACAGGGGATAACAGGAGGGAGGGAATTGGTGGGCCTGGGGTGCAGCCAGAACCACCACCCGAGCGGGAGGCTCTCCAGTGGTGGGCCGGAGTGTGAGCCACCGCCCCCTGCGGACCGGCCGGGGGAGGAGGAGCTTCCCAGACTGCCCACTAGACGCAAGGCTGGTGACCCAGATCAGTGCGCTGCGCGGTCCTGGCCCCAGCAGCCTCCCCACAGCTGTGGTCCCCCGCTTCGGGGTCCAGACAGACCAGGAGGGGCAGCTGGCTAAGGTGGGTCTCCCCGGAGCTATGGGCCTCAGTTTCCCTCTCTGGGCACAGGGCAGCCAGCGGCAGCGGAGCCACTGATGCTGCCTGGTCACTCGTAGGAACTTGAAGACACCAACAAATGGGGACTTGATGTGTTCAAAGTAGCCGAGCTGAGCGGAAACCAGCCTCTCACGGTCGTCATGTTCCGCGTCCTCCAGGTCCGTCACCCTCCCTCCCCCACCCTGGGGTGCTCAGTTCCTCCCTGAAACGCAAGTGCGGCCATTTAAACTGGGTGTGGAAGCACGAATAGGAATTTGGGTTTAATAGCTATTTTAGACACGGCCCAGGGCTGTCCTGGCCTTGAAAAGACCTGGATTGGGACAGCAGCCCCTGAGCATGTAGTGGGGATCTTTAGAAGGAATTCAGGGTGGCAGTGGCATCCTGGAGGAAGGGGCATTGGACGATGGATAGGAGGGGTGAGGGGGCTGAATGAAGCCCAAAGCCAAAGCCTGGGCGGGGGTCTGTGTCGCTGCAGGAGCGGGACCTGCTCAAGACATTCCGGATTCCGGCAGACACGCTGCTGACGTACCTGATGACGCTGGAGGGTCACTACCACGCCGACGTGGCATACCACAACAGTGTGCATGCTGCGGACGTGGTGCAGTCCGCCCACGTGCTGCTGGGCACCCCTGCCCTGGAGGTACCCAGCCCAGCCGGGGACAATGGGTGGCACGGGTGAGGGTGACCACGCCAGCCCTGACGCCCCGCACCTGCCCAGGCCGTGTTCACAGACCTGGAAGTCTTGGCGACTGTCTTTGCATGTGCTATCCACGACGTGGACCACCCGGGGGTCTCCAACCAGTTTCTCATCAACACCAGTGAATGAAGTGACCGGAGACAGCTGCCCAAAGTCTAGCGCGCAGGCTCGGAGGCGTGTCCCGGGCTTCTGCATGAAGGGGCATTGGATTTTGGGCTTCACAGTATACTTAGGATTTGGCTGGTGACATCCCCTCCCCAGCTGTCTTTGGGTGGAGTGAGGTCTCGAGGCCCCGGCTGTTCCCACAGACTCAGAGCTGGCCCTGATGTACAATGACTTGTCGGTGTTGGAGAACCATCACCTCGCGGTGGGCTTCAAGCTCCTGCAGGCAGAAAACTGCGACGTCTTCCGGAACCTCAGCACCAAGCAGCGACTGAGTCTGCGCAGGATGGTTATAGACATGATGCTGTCACGGCGTGGGGCGGGACCTCTTTCACACAGTGTGGCCTCGGGCTTGGTGTTTCCCATGGACCCACTTGATTATCCTGCTCAGTGGGTTGTTGGGGTTCCGGCTCTCAGATTTCACCTGTAAATCCAACAGACTTTATTAGGTGCCTGCTGTTTACCTGGGCCCTTTAGGTTGTCTTCTGTTATTGTTTGTGTTTTTGGAATTCATAATCTCCCTGCCTCTACTTCTGTACCACAGGCAGGAGGCTTCAGCTAACAGCTGTGTCTGTGGGTCCTGATAGCTCTGGGCAAGTGTCCCTGGGGGGGTGACCTTCCCCCCACCCCGTGTGTCCCCGGGCAGGGTGACTCCCCCATGTGTCCGCGGCACACCTGGTGTCCCTGCAGATGTAGATTGGATCCCACCTCAGCTCTAAGCACAGCTCCCTGTGCTCAGCTGTGCTCCTGGCAGCCCCTGGGCCTTTCATACCTCAGCCTTTCCGTCCTCCCTCTCACAGCTGGGGACACTGAGGCCCGGAAGCACAGCATCCACGACTTCATGTCTCCCCAGGTGCTGGCCACAGACATGTGCAAACACATGAGTCTCCTGGCCGATCTCAAGACCATGGTAGAGACAAAGAAGGTGACCAGCCTCGGGGTCCTTCTCCTAGACAACTACTCCGACCGCATCCAGGTGCGTACGTGGGCCCAGAGCTCCATATCCACTTTAGTCTTCCGAGATAGTCTGTGACTCTGCAGCCCAGCCTGCCTGGGAACTCGTCATCCTCCTGCATCAGCCTCCAGAGTGCTGAGATTAAAGGCGTGCACCCCCATGCCTGGCTCAGCGCCCTCATTTTCCAGTTGACCGTATTTGTGGAGTGATGACTGTTTCTGCCCCTTGAACTATCTGGTGGGATGCCTTTGCCTTAGCCAGTCCCCCTAGGCCTCAGTTTCCCCACCTGAAAGATGGGGTGTGGTGAGGTGGGGGTGTGGCTGGCCCTCCTGAGCCCCTCCCCCACAGGTCCTCCAGAGTCTGGTGCACTGTGCGGACCTCAGCAACCCCACCAAGCCGCTTCTGCTCTACCGCCAGTGGACCGACCCCATCATGGCCGAGTTCTTCCAGCAGGGCGACAGGGAACGAGAGAGTTGGGCCTGGACATCAGCCCTATGTGTGACAGGCACACTGCCTCGGTGGAGAAATCCCAGGTGCGTGGGGGGTGTCCAGCTGGAGGGTGGGAGATGGGGAGCCCTGGGTGGCCGTGACCCCATGAGTGTCCTTACTGGGATGGGGCCTGTGCTGCAAAACGGTGGATTCTTTCGTCTTTGTTTTTCGAGACAGGGTTTCCTTGCGCAGCCCTGGCTGTCCTGAAACTCGCTCTGTAGACCAGGCTGGCCTTGAACTCAGAGATCCACCTGCCTCTGCCTCCCAAGTGCTGGCATTAAAGGCGAGTGCACCACCCCCTGCCAGGGCAGATTATTGGTTTGTGGTTTTGATGACAGTCTCCCTTTGTCACAAACCTGGCATAGAACTCACTGGCTTGAGGCCAGCCTGCCTCAGCCTCCCGCCTGTTGAGTCTTGATGAGTTCTTTCAAGAGGATTTTGAAGGATGAATAGCGCGGAGTGGGCATTCCAGGCAGAGGACACCTTGCAGCTGACTGTGAGGCTGGGTCACTGTGCACTGGGACTTACGAGGCTCCCCCTCCTCTGATCACCCGAAGGTGGGATTCATTGACTACATTGCCCACCCACTGTGGGAAACTTGGGCTGATCTGGTGCACCCTGATGCTCAGGAGCTGTTGGACACCTTGGAAGACAACAGAGAATGGTATCAGAGACGGATACCCTGCAGCCCCGCCCACGCCATGGGCCCTGACCGGTTCCAGTTTGAGCTAACCCTGGAGGAGGCAGAGGAGGAGGATGCTGAAAGCTCAACGCTGGACATCCTGTCCTCAGAGTCGCCTGGCACTTAGCTCCTGTCCTCCAGGACTGGCCCAGAGCGCAGGCTCTGCCCATCCAACAACAAGACTTTGGGCCAGCCTGTGATGGACCATGAAGGCAGGGTGGGGTCCTTTGGGCACCTGTAGGCTCTGGTGACTCCTGAGGTGACTCCTGGTGGTCCGCTCGCTCTGACCACGGGCGGGCTGGGCTGGAGCGGTGCTGCCGTCTGTCTCCGCTTCAGTCTGCACTCACTAGGGCGTGTGCTCGCTGCTCTTTCATTTGTCTGTTTGGCTTCTTTTTGATGCTGAAGATGGAATTCCCGCATGCTCTGTGAGCAGAGTGCCCAGCCCAACTGTCTTCGTCAGAACTAGGGAGGATGCCTTTTGTAAATAGACCACTCCCCAGTGAAGTCTAGGGTCTCCTGACACCAGAGGCTGTGCAAGACCTGGAGATTCGGAGTACCAGACAGTTCTGCAGTGAAAGCCTTCATGGATAAGACCAACTTTCAAGCCAGTGTGTAGGGCCTCAGCATACTCGGCTGTGGCTCCGAGCATACGAGCTGCTCCACAAAAGGCTGGGGGCATGGCTTAGGGGTGGAGCTCCTGCCTAGAATCCCCCAGTGAGGGCCTGGGGGCATGGCTCTAAATTAGTAGAGCTATAGCTGCAAAATTAGAACAGATCTAGCTAGGTCCGTTTACTTTTAGGGAAACTGAGGCACAGCCATCCTCATGCCTACTCAAAGCTTCCATGCAGAAAGTGGGCCCTGGTTTATGGCGACCTTTGGGTACCTTATGGCTGGTTCCCTGTTTATTGTTATTTTCTGGCTTTTTGAGACAAGGTTCTGAAGTTCACCTCACTGTGGCAGAGAAAGGCCCTGAAGTGTTTTTCTTGCCTCCCTTCCCAAACGCTCGACTCTTGACAAGCATTCATCACAGCGCTGCCCCCCCCCCAGGCCTGTAACTCAGCACCTGACCAGGCCCTCCAAGGAGCCAAAGAACCAGGGTGGTAGGCAATTTCCTCTGTAAATATTATGGTTCCAACTATTCATCCTGGGGAGACATAAGAAGCCATCCGGAATCACGGAATGTTCCCTTCTTCCTTCCAAATGCTTTAGAGATGACCCTTAGAGATTTCCTGTTAAACAAAGTAATATGTGCTCATTGCCGGAAAATCTGGAAGTCATACAAATGTGTAAAGAAAATAAACTATTGGGCCAGCAAGGCAGGGAGCTTGCCTCCAAGCCGGGCGACCTACGTTCAGTCCCGTGTGGTGCCAGGAGAGGACCAACTCCCTCGAGCTGTCCTCGGACCCTCCCCCCACCTCCCACACGAATAAATGATTATTAAAAGACGTGACAAGCTGAGCAGTAGCACCCTGGAGGCAGAGGCTGGCAGATCTCTGAGTTCAAGACCAGCCTGGTCTATAGATCGAATTCCAGGACAGCTAAGGCTACACAGAGAAACCCTGCCTTCAAAAACAAAAAAGATGTGACAAATACTCATGTTTCCCTCTGCCTGTCCTTTCATTTTCCTAGGTTTTACACACACACACACACGCACGCACGCACGCACGCACGCACGCACGCACGCACGCACACAGAGTCTCTGAGACAGTATCTGTGTAGCCCTGGCTGTCCTGGAGCTTACTATATAGACCTGCCTGCCTGTGCTTCCCAAGTGCTGCTGGGATTAAGTTTCTGCCAGCATGATGGCTGTTTTGAATATATTTATATTATGAGACAAAGTCTGGCTTTGTGGTCCAGGATGGTGATGAACTCACTACGATCTTCCTCAGCCTACCATGTGCTCAGATGGTAAAGTGTGTCACCTTGCCACCAACTGAGCTACAAGCCCTCTGCTCACTGAGCCTCAGCCCCTATTTTTATTTTGAAATAAAAAGGCGGCGGAGGCGGCTCACAGCTCCTTCCAGACTTTATCCCTCGGGAGTAAATCCAAGCAGGCTAGGGGCGGCACAAGGTCCTCCTGCACCCTCAGTCCTGGTCCCCACCCTAGCCTTCGCGTGGGCGGGGCGCTGGCGACGTCACATATTGATGGTCATTTTGTGTCTGTTGCTCTGCGTCCCCCTGCTCCCTGGTGCGCATGGGGCGCAGATAAATAAGGTTCTCCCGTGGCCCTGGAGCGAGCGGAGCGTCTCAGGTTCCTCGCGGGGGTTGCTGAGCATCCTGGCGACGAGTTATTCTGGTCCTTCGGCGCCTCCGCAGCTGGCCAGCTGGTGGTGCATCTATAAACGGGTCCAGGTCGCGTCCCCAGTTCTGCTTCCTGCGGAATAGAGGCGATGAGGATCCTACCGGGCCAAACGGGGAGGGACAACAGGACACCCAGGACAGGGCCGCTGCTCCCCTACCTTGGCCCAAAGATTTGCAGGAATGCTTTGTTTCATCATAGCCCGGAAGTCTGCATTTCTGCGCCCAGCTTCCCGGGACACGGGGTCGCCTGGGTCCCAGTGTGCACCCGTGAAGGGCACGGAGTGGCCTGAACCGTCTTTGCTTCCTGAGTATTTTTTTTTTTTTGCAATTTTGGGACCCAGGGGTCAGGACCCTTCTGAGCCCTAAATGAGCAAGGGGTTCTCTGAAGACCCATCCTTTGTTTTCTTTGCTCAGAACCGGACTCTGTCTCTTTGAGACACGGTTTTATGTAGCCCAAGCAGGCCTCAAGACACATGTAGCTGAGGATGACCTTGGACGTCTGTTCCTTTCTCCCCTTCCAATGTGAGACGACAGGCCGATGTACCCCCGTTATGCTGTGCTAGGGATCGAACCTAGGGTGTTGTACTGCTGTGTAGACTTCCCATAAGCTGAAAAATATCCTAGCCCCATTACAAAAAGAGACTTATTTGGGGCAGTGGTGGCGCACGTCTTTAATCTCAGCATGTGGGAAGCAGAGGCAGGTGGATCTCTGTGAGTTCCGGTTCAGCCAGGGCTACACACAGAAACCTTGTCTTTTTGTTTTGCTTTTAGAGACAGGGTTTCTCTGTGGCTTTGGAGGCTGTCCTGGAACTAGCTCTTGTAGACCAAGTTGGTGTCAAATTCACAGATTCTCCTGCCTCTGCCTCCCGAGTGCTGGGACAAAAGGTGTGCCACACCACCACCGGGCTCGAAACCTTGTCTTGAAAACAAAAGGAGAGTTTTTTATTTTATGCGTATGGGTGTTTTTTTTTTTGTTTTTTGTTTTTTTTTGTTTTTCGAGACAGGGTTTCTCTGTGGCTTTGGAGGCTGTCCTGGAACTCACTTGGTAGTCCAGGCTGGTCTCAAACTCACAAAGATCCGCCTGCCTCTGCCTCCCGAGTGCTGGGATTAAAGGCGTGCGCCACCAACACCCGGCTGCGTATGGGTGTTTTGCCTGTGTGTCCGTTTGTGGACTTATGCATGCCTGGAACCATCTCTCCAGCCCCTCAGCTCATTTTTTCTTCCATCATTTTTATTTATTTTACATACCAACCACAGTTTCCCCTCCCTCCATTCCTCCTGCCCCCCCCTCCCCACCACCCTCACCCACTCCTCTGTCTCCACTCAGATGGGGTAAGGTCTCCCTCCCTCGGGAATCAGCAAGGCATGGCGCACCAAGCTGCTGAACAAGGCATCCAGGTTCCAAAGAGCCAGTCCAGGAGCTCAGCCCAGTGCCTGACTGTGGATCTCTGCATCTGCTTGCACTGGGTACTGGATAAGGTCTCTGTGGTGACAACTAGGGCAGTCCCCAATCTGGGTACAGAGGAAGGCCAGTCTCCACTATTGCCGAGTCATCCCTGTGGTCTCCCAGGAGCCTCCCAGGCACCTGGTTTCTCTCCAACCCCTCTATCAAGCTATGCCCCATCAGTCTCCTGCCTGTGTTGCCCACAACTGGACCACCCTGATCCCTCACGTCCCCTCAGCCCATTTAATCTAGAGAGGATTTCTTGTAGCACAGGTTGACCTGGAGCTAACTTTGTAGCCAAGGACGATCGTGAAACTTGCCACCATGCCTTGCTTGGTGGTGGCTCTCTGGGCCTATTCTCTATTGCAACTACAGACAGCAGAAGATGGGGCGGGGCCTCCCCAGCCCAGCTCCGTGGTAGGATGCAAAGGGGCTCCCTCACAACAACGATGGGCAGATGCCCTGTCTTTCACTCCTCTTTTTATGTTTTGTTTTTGAGACAAGGTCTGACTGTGTATCCCTCCTTATGTAGCTGCACCAGGCTGGCGTGGAACTCCAGAGGTCCGCCCGCCTCTGCCTTCAGAGAACCGGGTTTAAAGTCTGTCTTTTCTTCTTCAGTGGGTCTTTTGAGCAGTGAAATGTGGTAAGCGAGGTGTATGCCTGCCATCCCAACACTTGGGAGGTCAGCCTCTGCTACCAGACTGAGACCCTTTCTCAAAACAAAACTAAGCCCCTTGGTACGGCTAGCACGAGTGATGCGCGTTTCTAAAGCAGGTGCTAAGGACTTCAGACCACTTTCGCGACTGGGGTTGGGTCCTGGCCTCAGCCTCTCCGATCTTCGAACACCTGGCAGTCACCATTGGGCCGCCAAGACGTAAGAGAGTGCTGATTGGGTAGCGGATCCGTCGCTCCGGATCATTCACCAATGAGACCTCCATGTCTCCTTGGAGCTCCGCCCCCAGACGCTCACAGGCCCCGCCCCCAGAGCCTGCGCTGGCCAGTGGGACCCCTTGGCTGCCTGCTCGGCCCCTCCTTCTGACGGCACAGACTCGTTTGCATAGAAGTCCCGCCCCTGGCTTTGCAGGACGTCAGCGAGGACTGCAGGGGCCCGAGCCTCCGCCGCCGCCTGCAGCCCCGCAACCGCTCGTGGGGCCCGGTCTCCAGCGCAGTCGCCAGGGTCTCCGCCGTCAGCGTCGTCTCAGCTCGGAGCGGTCAAGGTGAGCGCATCTCGGCCACACACAGAGCAGCCCGCGTTTGAGTGACAGCTGGGGAAGAAGCGGGTGCGCGACTCGGGTGTGGTGGCTGTGGGTCTCGCATCGGCGTCCCGCTTCAGACACCCTGTAACCTTAATCCTTCACCCGGTGCTGGGGCCCGGGCTCTGCGGCAGGGGGGGAAGGGAAGGCCGGGCCTTGCGGGAGGCTAGTGCGTGCTCGTGCTCGTGGGGTGAACACGCGTGTGCGCGCCCGCTGGGCATGGATAGGCTCGCGTGAACTCAGGACGTGCACCGTGCACGGTTGTGGAGGCTTGTGTGTGCATGGTGCGCGTGCGCGGCGTGCGTGGGTCCTGGTTCAAGTATGCGCTCACACGCGTGTGGAGCTATGCTCGTGCGGGGTATGTCCTCGCCAACGGCCAGGTGCACACTCGCACACTGGCTGGTGTTGGGGCATCTGTGTGTGCAGCTGTGCATGGATGCAAGGAGCTGTGCGCATGCCTAGGCCTGCAGACATCACGCGCGTTTGCTTGCTTCTCTTGCTAGCCCCGCGCTTGTGCACACGGCAGGAGTTTGGGTCAGCCTGCCTTGGATGCTTCATTGTGTGCATGCGCGAGGGAATTTGTGCATGTGAGTCTGTGGTTACCCGTCTGTCACGTGATGCGGCTATCTCAGGGCCCCAATTCTTCAGGAGAGCACTGGGGATCCTCGTGTACTCCCGTGCTCCCGCTCAGGGTGCCGGGGACCTGCAGGGGTGCTCCTGTCACAGCCTCCTTGAAACCTTGGGCCTGCCAAGGTGGCAGCGGGAGGGCCCATGTGACATTGGGGGTCCTGGTGGAAAGAGGGTGTCCCCGGCTGCCGCCGCCCGTGTCCTGATGCACCTCACAGGCCCTCTGCGCCCCGCCCCGCCCCCGCAGATGGCGTCGGCCACAGATTCGCGCTATGGGCAGAAGGAGTCCTCCGACCAGAACTTCGACTATATGTTCAAGATCCTGATCATCGGGAACAGCAGCGTGGGCAAAACCTCCTTCCTCTTCCGCTATGCTGACGACTCCTTCACACCGGCCTTCGTCAGCACGGTTGGCATAGACTTCAAGGTCAAAACCATCTACCGCAACGACAAGAGGATCAAACTGCAGATCTGGGTGCGCAGGGCCTGAGGGGAGAATCTTCCCGGGGCTGCCTGCTGTGTGCGGGCGGGGCTCAGACATGAGGTGTTCTCAAGTCCTTCTCTGGGCTCCAGTGTGAGGAGGCAGCGGGCTAGCCCAGGATGACCCTGAACTCCTGACCCCCCCTGTCTCCACCTCGCCAAGCCCGGGATGGCAGACTTCCCATCAAGGAGTAATCTTTTGAGTAGGGTCTTTCTGTGCAGTCCTGGACACGCTCTGTAGACCAGGCTGGCCTTGACCTCCCGCCCAGCCACAGCAGACCTGGGCAGCGTCTGGCTTCTGTCACTCCTGCCGATATTGGCCTTTTCAAGCTTCACTGTGCTCTCCACAAGGGCTTGGGGTTACTTGTTCACCTTCTTTGGAGGGCAGGGGGTTGAGACAGGGGTTCTCTATGTAGTTCTGGCTGTCCTGGAATTTACTCTGTAGATCAGGTTGACCTCGAACTCAGAGATCCACCTGCCTCTGCTGGGAATAAAGGTGTGCACCAACCACCCCCACCCCCACCCCCCAGCAGTTTGTTCTTTTTTGAGACAGGGTTTCTCTATGGCTTTGGAGCCTGTCCAGGCTACCCTCGAACTCACCTGCCTCTGCCTCCCGAGTGCTGGGATTAAAGGCGTGCACCGCCAACGCCGGCTGCTGCTGCTTCTTTTTTTTAACAGTCCTGTGAACCCCCCTTCTGGCACAGGACATTTGGGCAGCACCCAGTTTGTATTCGTTGAATGAATGAGTGATTTTGCTACGACCCATCTGGCACGAAGGCCACCCAGCCTTGTTTTCCTGGTCCACTGTCTCTGGACCTCAAAGGGGCTGCTTGGTCAGCCTCCAAACACACTTCTCCTCAGAGGGCCCCTCTGACCACCATCTCTTCCTTCCCCAGGACACAGCAGGGCAAGAGCGGTACCGCACCATCACCACAGCCTACTACCGGGGGCGCCATGGGGTTCATCTTAATGTATGACATCACCAACGAGGAGTCCTTCAATGCCGTGCAGGACTGGTGAGCCGCTCACCCGCTCACAACGGTGGATCTGGGGACTGGAGGCAGCAGGAGCAGTGACTCAGTTTGGGAGTGCCTGCCTGGCCTGGATGGCCTTGAGTCCTGTCCCGAGCACGTCCAAAGACAGCAAGGAACAGTCGGGGACAACATGTGGCTGTTTCCTGGGGTTGTGGAAGGGACACGGGGTGACCAATATGCTGGGCAAGCGCTCCCACTGACGTGCTGCGTTTAAACGCTCTGTCCAGCCAGGAGTGGGAGGTCAGGTCTGCAGCCAGGCTACTTGGGAAGCAGAGGCAGGAGGATCAGGTGAGCTCACCTGCCCCTGGCTGAGCAGCTGCCCAGCAGGTGTGAGAACCTGGATCGCACCCACAGCATCAACCCCAGTTCCGTCAATCTCTACAGTCAGTGTGACAGAGCATCAGATGCCACCCAACATTTGGGAAACGGGCAGGGAGGTCCAGGACAACCCGGGCTCATGAAGAAACCCAGCTCAGCTACCCAGGGGCAGGGGAGTCAGTGTGAGGGCCGGGTCCTACTCCCTCCTCAGCCTCTGGTTGTCTCCTGCAGGTCGACGCAGATTAAAACTTACTCGTGGGACAACGCCCAGGTGCTGCTGGTGGGGAACAAGTGTGACATGGAGGACGACCGGGTGGTGTCGTCGGAACGTGGCCGGCAGCTTGCGGACCACTTGGGTGAGTCCCCAGCAGGGCTGCAGCCCTCATCGGACTGGTCCAGCGACCCTGACCCCCTCATGGGGCTGGTCCAGGGACCCTGATCCCCTCATCGGGCTGGTCCAGCGACCTTGACCCCCTCATCGGGCTGGTCCAGCGACCCTGACCCCCTCATCGGGCTGCTCCAGGGACCCTGACCCCCTCATCGGGCTGCTCCAGGGACCCTGACCCCCTCATCGGGCTGCTCCAGGGACCCTGACCCCCTCATCGGGCTGCTCCAGGGACCCTGACCTCCATACTCACACGCCCCACAGATCAGGGACAAGCGTGAACCCGGTGGTTCATACTTGTGAAAGCTAGCCGCTGTGACCGTGGAGCGTGGCTGCCCCCTAGAGTAAATGCTGAAACCACGCAGGTCTGAGTGCTGGAGGAGGCTGGCTGGGCGGTCACTGAAGACTCACCCTCATATGGCCTCCCTGGGACCCCGAGAATGTGGCTCTGTTGTCACCCCTCCATTCCCAACACAGGGTTTGAGTTTTTCGAGGCCAGCGCCAAGGACAACATTAATGTCAAGCAGACCTTTGAGCGCCTGGTGGACGTGATCTGTGAGAAGATGTCCGAGTCGCTGGACACGGCTGACCCTGCGGTCACAGGCGCCAAGCAGGGTCCACAGCTCACCGACCAACAGGCACCTCCTCACCAGGACTGCGCCTGCTGAGCCGCACCCCACGAGGGGCAAGCCCCCACCCCATCACCCTATTTATTATTGTAGCTATCTATTTATTTATTTATTTATTAAGGACTCCCCTGGTCGCGTCCCCTCCCTCCCCGTCCATACCCACTCCCGCTCGGCTGTGGTGTGTTGTGCTCACCGCTCTGCACCCTGAGACCTCCCCCTTTTAGTTTTGTGAACCACCCCACGCAGTTGTCACTGTAAAGAGGGACCAGGCATCACTTGGGAGCAGGCTGAAGGGAGACGGCGGGGCCTGCCGGGGCCAAGGCTGGTAGATGCCATGTGGGCCGCCGGCTTCATACAGGCTGGCACCTGCTAGCCTGAGCCTTCCACCCCACCCTACTGATCTTTGGGTAGATGGGGTGGGGACATTCCCAAACCTGTTTTGACGTCCTGAGTGTCAAACGTAACCCCCACTTCCCTAGAAGTTATGAAGACTACACAGTTCAATAAAGCTAGTGGACCGTGCTGCGTCTCTGCTGGCCCCGCCCGGCCCCCTACACCGGCAGCCAGACTAGAAATTTAAAGACATTTAATGAAATTTCCACATGGCCGCCCAACTTCAAATGACCCCACTCCATGGGGCATGTCCTTGCCTTTGTCACCTGGGATCCAGGGACCCTCAGAGCCGACACTTGCAGGCTCACAGGACTTCTTGGTCCGATTGAAAAGCCTGGCGGTGGCAGCGGCGCTGGAGGCAGTTTCACACGGGGCCCTGTCTCCATGGTGGACTCCGAAGCGATGGCTGGTCCAGTCTGTCAGCCTGTTCCAGAACCTCCTGTGGGAATGCGCCCATCGGCCGACTCACGCGCAGCACTGGAAGCTCAGTTCACGCAGCCCGGAGTGGGCAGCGGTTCAGGGGCCTGTGCACAGCAGAGGAGGTCAGGTCACACCAGGCGGGGCCGAGCCAGCACCACGGAGCCCCGCTCACCCTGGGGCTGGGCTCACCCAGTACTTCAGGTAGGACAGATAGGTGTCCCAGCCCAGGGTCAGCCCGTTGATGTAGGTGACTCGGAATTGCGACGGGATGAAGAGGAAGTTCACCAGTTGAGCGGCAGGCCAGACGCACCAGTCAGCCTGCAGGAAGGCAGACCGGCCACCGTCAGGGGCGGGGCTATGGTGGGCGGGGCCTGGAAGGCCGAACGGGGGTGGAGCCCCAGTAAGGGGCCGGCCTGGTCACGCCCACCTTGTAGAAGTCCCAGAATTTGGCCCGCAGCTCCTGGCAGCTCTCCTCCAGCGTCTGGCCTTCCAGACTGCCAAGGCCTGGGAAGAAGAATGTAAAGGCTGAGGTGGCTTCGGGGCAATAACACTGGCAGGGCTGGGTGTGGCTGCGGGGCCGGGCAGGGTCAGGGGAAATGCGCAGCTGCTGTCGGCGAGGGGGCAATGGCCGGAGTCACACGTGCTTCAGCAGGTCATCCCGGGACACCAGGGCCACCTCACCCATCAATCCAGTCCCCACCGACCCTCAGGGTCCGTTCTCCTCCCCACAGCCCACAGCTGGCCTCTGCGGAGCCCTCGTGCTGCCCCGACCCCACACAGTCCTACCCATCCCAGGGCACTCCCTAAGAGCCATACAAAAGCGCAGGACGGCTGCGAGCTCAGCCTAACATGGCAGATGAGCGTCTCCAGGGACGTCTACACGGTGGCCTGTGGTATGTCGGTATAGACGTAACTGATGTGGGAACCCAGCCCGCTGTGGGCTTCACCACTGCCGAGGCGGGGGGACTGGAGGGATAATGACGCTGAGCACAGCCAGGCAGACATACAGTTGTCCCACTCCGGCTGCGACACGTTCCTGCCTTCCTCTCCCCACCACTGTACTGAACCGCTCGGGGCTCCTCCGGGTGCGGGTATCTTAAAAGCTGGGCGTGGCGGCGCACGCCCAGGCAGTACCAGCACCCGGGAGGCAGAGGCAGGCGGATCTCTGCGAGTTCAAGGCCAGCCTGGTCTACACGGCAGAGGCAGGCGGATCTCTGCGAGTTCAAGGCCAGCCTGGTCTACACAGCGAGCTCCAGGACAGCCAGGGCTGCACAGGGAAACCCTGTCTCGAAAAAACAAAAATAAAGAAACAGACGAAAAAGAGAAAGAGTAGGGCCCGCGAGCACCCCGGGCACGACCCAGTCTCCGCGACCGCTTCTTACCCAGGAAGTACCAGGCGCCCAGGACGGGCGAGGCCACCAGCTGGTCCACCAGGACCTTCTTCACCACGCTCGGAAGGCTGCGGAGCCCCGAGGCGGGCAGGAGGCGGTCCAGCCACAGGTACCAGAAATGCAGGAAGGGGCCCATGCTGCACCCCACCGCGAACATGCTGGCTGGGGGGGGGGGGAGTCAGGGTGAGCGCCCGCCCGCCCGCCCGCGCGCCCGCCCGCCCCGCCGGGCCGGTCCCGCGCACCTGAGCGCCGCGCGCTGAACCTCTGTCCCGGCCGCGCGCGCACCTCCCAGGCCTGCCGCGCGCCGTCGCCCGCGGCCATGAGCATGCCGCAGCCCAGCGTGTTGGTGACGAGCAGCGCGCGGCCCTGGAACAGCGGCCGACCCGCGGCCAGCGCCTTCCGAGCCCAGCGCCAGCCGCCGGGAGCCATGGACGCTCACACGACAGAGCCCCGGCCCCGCCCCCGGCGCGGACCCACCACGCGCCGCGGCGCCGGCCACGCACGCCCGACCAATCATATGCCGCGCCGTAGACCCGCCCCGCTCGACTCGGACCAATCAGAAACGCCGCCTCGGCTTTACCTGCTCTCCGCTGACCCATAGACCTGCGCTGGCCAATGGCGGAGCGGGGTCTCGCCGGCTACCCGCGGTTTCCCGCCCCCTGAGCCGAACTGACCAATCGTGGGTCCTGCGTCTCCGGCTGCGCAGGGGCGGGGGCGGGCCTCCCGTAACGTCACTTGCTTCTCATCCACAGAGCCTCCTGGGAGTGGGCGGGGCGAGGAGCTTCTGCACAGCGGCCGCCGAGGGTGACCTTGGCGTGACCGCTCCCGAAGAAGATGCCCGGGTACAGTTCGCGGACGCCGGTCCCACCCCGGCCTTCTGTTGCCATGTAGCCCGGGATGGCCTTGAACCCCGGCCTCCACCGCTGTGCCACGTGCCTGGGTTTTGAAGACTGACTAATCGTGCATTCATGAATCCGTGCGTGCTCTTGACAGCAACTTTGTGTCGCTGCAGAAGCAAACGCCCTTACCTCCCTCATTCTTTGCTTTTAACTGCTCCACAATCCATCATGCTTTCTTCAGACGCCCGCGCTGGGACTCTAGCTCCCGATTATCCCGCCGGCCCCACTGTCCCCTTTCCTGGAACAGTGAACAAATTCTCCCGGATGAGGTCTCTGCCCCATCCTGGGGCGTGAAAGGCTAGAGACGAATCCATGAGTTGTGTCCAATTTACAGCCCACCCTCCCGGCCCTCACCCCCACCCACCGGGTCCGTCCGCCCTCCATCGAATGAGGGACGAGTTTGGTTCTGCGTTTCCGGGTAGGGGATTGCCAGCAACTGACCTTGTCATTCAAGGAAGGTGTGACATCAATACTGTCACTCACACAGGGTCTAGAGCCACCTTGGTGACAGGCTTGGGCCGTGAGGCTCTCAACTTCCTAACAGTACATTTCTTCATGTTGTCGTGACCATAAAATTATTTCATTGCTACTTCATAACTAATCTTACTGCTGTCATGAATGGTGATGTATATCTGATACATGAGTCTAAGGGGTCATGACCCGCGGCTGTTCTGGAAGAACTAGAAAGGAAAGTGGGCAGAGTCTGACTGTGGGTGCTGCCTGGCCTCAGCTTTGCCCCAGGATGGACTACACTGGGTGATCCGGCACAGTCCCTTCCTTAAGTGGCTTCTGTATTTTGTCACACAATGAGAAAGTAACTCATAGAGTCTGGCACTTGGGGGCTTTTCAGATGAGGCATGAACTCCAGAGTCCCTGGGGCACAGCCCAGGGACAGACTGTGAGCTGAGCACCTGTGGAGTCCCGGGCTACAGCTCAGGGACAGACTGTGAGCTACACACCCACATTCAAAACAAAAACACGCCGGGAGGTGGTGGTGCTTGCTTTTAATGCCAGTACTTGGAAAGCAAGGACAGGCAGATTTCTGTGAGTTCAAGGCCGCCTGATCTGCTGACTGTGTTCCAGGACAGCCTCAGACAGCCTCCAAAGCTTGAAAAACCAAAACCAACCAAACAAACAAACAAAAAACACCAAATGGCACTAGTGGCAACACGCCTTTAGTCCAGCACTCAGGAGGCAGAGGCAGGCGGATCTCTGTGAGTTCTAGGCCAGCCTGGTCTACAAAGTGAGTTCCAGGACAGCCTCCCAAACAATACAGAGAAGCCCTGTCTCGAAAAACCAAAAACCCAAAACCCAAACCAAAAACTAAACAACCAAACAAAACCTCACAAACTAAAACTCCAGGAAAAATGAGTCACAGCAATCTATTTATTCAATCAATTTAAATTTAGCACCGTTTGAGAGCAAGGCAAGGCTCTTGAACATGTGGAAGAGTTCTGAGTCTGTTTTGTGGGATTTGTGCCATGTGTACAAGTTTGCTTGTTGATGGACGGTATCTCTTGAGGGCTCCGGATTTGAAAAGGCTGAGCACCTGGCTCTTGTTTTTCTTGTGACAATGACCTTCACTTGTAGCAAACCTCCCTGGGGGGGTCTGCCACGGAGGAGCAGATGTCTGGTTTCTCCAATCCCTGGAAGGGGCGAAAAGCTAGGAGTTGGGACCCTTCCGGGAGACGCCGCTCCTCCCCACCTCCCCCCTTTTCCGTCCAGCTCACCTGGTATAACTGACAGACCGAGCTCAGGAGCTGGCTGGGGTCCTTCAGAGGTTTCTGCAAGCCACAGAAGACATATTAAGCACATAGGACACATGAGCTTGGGAGCACAGTACTGAGTGCTGAGGCAGGAGGATCACTGGTAGTTCCCGGGCAATCTCAGCTGTGCTGAACAGGCAAGGAGGCTGATTTGTCACTCTGGTATCAGGGTATAACACTTGTGTGAGCAGAGACCAGAGCTCAGTGCTCAATATGGGTGTCTTCTTTTTCTTTTCTTTTTTTTTTTTGGTTTTTGAAGTTTTATTTCCTAATTATCAAATTATCTTTAGCAGGATGGTGGCGGCACACGCCTTTAATCCCAGCACTTGGGAGGCAAAGGTAGGCGGATCTCTGTGAACTGGAGGCCAGTCTGGTCTAGAGCCAGTTCCAGGACAGCTAGGGCTGTCACACAGAGAAAACAGCAACAACAACAACAGTATTATTTTTAGTTTCATCTTATTTCATGTGTAGAGGTGTTTTGCCAGCATGGTCTGGGCACCATGTTTGTGCAGGACCAAAGGAGGCCAGAAGAGGGCGCTGGATCCCCAGGGACTGGAGTTACAGATGTGAGCCACCGTGTGGTGCTGGTGGTAATAAAACCAGGGTCCTCTGCAAGAGCAGCACTGTTTTTTAATTTCATTTATTTTTTGGTTTTCCAAGGTTTCTCTGCATTGTTTTGGAGGCTGTCCTGGAACTCGCTCTGTAGACCAGGCTGGCCTCGAACTCACAGAGATTCACCTGCCTCTGCGTGCCTGGCCGAGCAGCAGCTCTCTGAACTACTGAGCCGGCTCTCCAAGTCCCTCATTTGTTTTTAACTGAGGATGTCTGTATGTGTGAGCACAGGCGCTGCGTGATGAGGGCGCTGGGAACTGAACTTGGAAAGGTAACTCATGTGGCAGCTGCGTCCCCAGGGAGCCAGGAGGATTTCCTGTGCTGGGATAACACGCACACCCAACTTTTTTACATGGGCATGGGGATTTGAACTCAGAGCTTGGAGCTCGCAGGACACTTTACTGATTGTGCAAAGGAGCACTTACCTCATTGACTAGGACCCAGGGCACATACTCATGGGGCGGCTGCAGGGCCTCGGTGAGCTGGGCGTTGGCGTGCATGAGCTGCGTGCCGCGCTCCCCCGTGGCACACTCCATGATGCTGTCTGCGGACACCTCCGGAGCATACACCTGCAGGCACTGAGGAGGGGAGACTGACTCAGTTCCCCGGGTTACCTCACCAGCAGTCCCCGGGCCCCACACAAGCCACTTCCTCATGCCCAGAGTCGGTTGATGGGTGGGGCTTTGATGCTGGGGCCCCCGGCTCGCTGGCTCCCTGTGACTCCAGCCGGGCCCTGCTGTCTCCTTACCTCGGAGCCTTCGTACACGCTGTTCCCTCTGCTCCTCCCCAGTGTCTCCCCCTCCAGTGTCTCCCCCTCCAGCCCCACTACTGGAGCAGGGCTGGAGGCTCCCGGAGGCTTGGGTGCCTGGGGCCCTGAATCACCCTTGCAAGTTATTGCTCACAATGCCCCGGGAAGTAAGCGGCTTCTCCTATCATGTTATCTGTGTCCACAGAGTGAAGGTCCCAGGGTCCGCTCACAGCCCTAAGGTTTCCCATGCTAGAGGTACAAGCTCGCAGGAGGGTGTGGTGTGGGTGGAGACCCTGGGGATCCCCTCCCCGCCCCCCAGCCCCGTGGCTCGCCTCTCCCCTGCCGCTCACCGGCTCTAATTTCTTCTCCATGTCCTCCATCTCTTCCACACAGACGATGGTCAGCAACGCTGCCTCCTTTCCCAGTTTGTCCAGCAGGCAGGCCTTGGAGAGGCAGGCGAGGGTGGGCACAACGTTCGTCCTCCTCCGTGTCCGCCCCTCCCTCCCTCCACCTCACGGACGCTCACCTCAACCTTGTTCAGCCTGCACTCCAGCTCCCCGTGCTGACACGTGAACTCCCACGTGCCGCTGACATTTCTTTCCTGCAAGGCATCAAGAGTCCAGGCTCAAGAGTCCAGATGTCCCCGACCCGGGCAGCCCTCCTGCCTCGGTTTCCCCGACCCCGGCACCCCTCCTGCCTCGGTTTCCCCACTTCCCGCTCACCTGCGCGTTCCCGTAGGGCACCAGCGTGATGTTCATAATTTCCATAGCCATCAACCAGGTTGGGAACAGATCTCGGACCAAGAAGTATCGACAGCCTCCGCAAAGGGATTCATAATAGAGGCTGACATTGACCGGCGGAGCAGGGGGCAACGGGCGCGGCCCGAGCAGGCACAGGTCGTGGGCCTGGAGGGAGAAAGGTGCAGTGAGGTGCACTTATGGCTGCTCAGTGTAGGGCCACAGGGGACCAGACCCAGGGCTGTCATTTGCACATTCTCGGTGTGCGGTCTCCCGCTGGGCCACGCCCAGGGTCCTCTGTGGCTCGCTGGAGTCTACCTCGCATTCCGCAATCACAGTTTATCTGCAAAACGGAAACTGGCTGGCTGGAGGTCCTCAGCAAATGCACAGTCCTCGCTAGTTAAGTCAGCGCCAAGACAGGCACACTTCCAGCTGTACATGGTGGCTCATGACTTTAATCACAGCACTAGAGAGGCAGAGGCAGGAGTTTGAGGCCAGCCTGGTTTACAGAATGAGTTTCAGGACAGCCAGGGCTACTGTGAAACCCTGGCTCTCCAAAAACAAAAACGGAAACCAAAACCAAAACAACAAAGAAAAAGAAAGTAAATGAAAAATAAGACATACATATTTCTAGTTACTGCTCTCAGCCCTGTTAGGCAGCGCACAGCCTGAAGCTAATGCATGCTCATTTTTTTTTTATTTTTGTAATTTGCGCACCGAAGCTGAGCTGAGGCCTTCCACCCGTGCGAACTATTCCTGCTCTCCAGTGACCCAGGGCAACTTCACCCTGTCCGAGGCCCAACTAGACACAGGAGGTGCTTAATGCGTGCAGACTTCCGCTTTCAGGGGGGTCGGGGCCGTCGGAGTTTAGGCAAGGTGCTCGGCGTGTGGGGCATGTGTTTGTTCCGGGTCAGAAGCAGTCAGCCCTCCCTTCCCCGGCTGGAACGCACACAGTAAGCAACAAGCATTGCGTGAGGGTGGAGACCGCCCAGTGGCCCAACAGGTCCGGAGCAGAAACCACCCCCTCCCGCCTACCCCGCAACTCTTGGCTCAGACGTATACCGTAGGTGGTTGATAAGCGCTCAGGCGAGGTGTCTCAGACCTGTGGCAGTGAAGCGAAACGACTCGGCCCTGCCAGTCCCCAGAAGGGGGTTGGGGATGGTCCTGAGCGTGACAGCGTTCCTCGGGTAGCTTGGGTTTCCCCGAATGAGTTCACGGAGAGCGGAGAAGTCACCTGACCCTCGGGCCCCTCCAGCTTGTCGCCGTCCCTACCTTGCAGGCGGCCGCAACCTGGGAGGACGCTTGCAGCGGAGACACTCTGGCTGCTTTGGGGGCCTCAGGTAAAAGCAGCAGCAGAAGGGGCAGCAATGGCAGGAACGGAGACCGGGGCATGGCCGTGGAGGAAGGGGTTGGCAGGACTGCTGGCTGGGCCTTGGAGGCGGGAGACTTTAAGCAGGCACAGGCCCCGCCCCCTGAGACCACGCCCCGCCCAGGCTCCTTTCCAGCAGGTTCTACCCCAGCCCGGTGTTGCCCCCACAGGGCCCTGTCCACTCTCCCTCCTCCTGGGGCCAGCATGTGCTGTCACATCACGTGAGGCTTTGGACCAGGGACCGAAGGGGAGGGTCTCCAGACTCGCACGGTGGAGGGACAGGAGGCAGAGGCCTCGCCTCCTTCCCTGCAGCTCAGCTGAGGTGGGGGGTGACACCCTCGCCATTAATTCCTGCCCCCACCACCCCGGGCGGGGTCAAATCAGCCCCACAACCCCCACCTCGGCTGACTCAGGCTAGACCGCAGGACAAGCCAGCTCAGGCAGGCCAACTTCCCGTCCCTAAGGTCCCGGTCCTGGCTTGGGTGGGGGTCACCCAAGTACTTTCTAGAAGCAGCCATACGGGCAAGGCCCCTGGCACTGCAGAGCCTCGCGGGGAGAGTGGGCGGGGACGCACCTGGGCTCTGCCTCTTCCCACCAGATTCTGTAAAATGGGCCACGAGTCACACATGGCCGGCGGTAGAGCCACCAGAAGGGCCGAGGTAACCGAGGTTGGGACTGGGGCCTCTGCACCAGATGGAATTGGACACGGGGACCTCGGGGCAATGACAGGCCACGGAACAGCAGCAGGAAACGTTCCAACCCGTTGGTAACTGAAGCGCCAGGCTGGGGCCGGGGACTCAGGGCAGGGTCTGGTGCAGTTCTGGGGAGACCCTGGTTTCCCCAGCGGGAGGGGGCAGCAGGGAGGTAATGGCGACTCGCTGGGAAGCGGTCACTCTCTGACCAGGACTGGGCCTTCTTGAACCTCAGTCTGGGCAGGGGCTCCACCGCCGAGCCACGCCCCCAGCCCCTCACTGGGAGATTCTAGAGAAGGGCTCTGCAGGAACCAGGCGCAAAGCACAGGTAACATCTCTTTCCTCTTAGGCAAGCTCGTCATGCTCCTGCCTCAGCTTGACTGGCTCAGGTATCATAGACAGGATGCTGTTTCCCTTACGTTGCTGCCTGGAAAACCTCTGGGGCTGTGTCGGAAACGGGCTGGCGTTCACTTGTCCTAGCTGAACCCCAAGGTGCTCTTGGACACCTGGACACAGGCTGGGCAGAGTACCCTGGCCGCTCGCCTCGATGTGTTCCCACCCCAGGGCAGAGCTATCGGGGCTTAGCGCTCGCTAATGAGCACAGGCCCTTAGGACTTGTTTAACAGGTGTGCAGAGGGCCAGCTCCTGGCCTCACCTCATCACTCAGGGAGATGGGGACATGAGACACCCTCCTCGATGGCCCGAGAGGCTGTTGACAGTCTTTCCCAACAAGGAAGTGAAGCGTGTGGGTGTGGCCAGGCACAGCTGGTACCTGCTTGACCAGCAAACCTCCGGGGACAGCAGCCTGGAGCAGTGACACTCGGGGAGGGGCTGTTCTTGGGTCTGGGGTCCCCAGGATGGGGCACAGACTGAGTGGCAGCGCTGTGCTCTGTGGCCCTGGGCAGGGTCTTAGCCTCTCTGGTGAGTTCAGTGTTTGTAACCACAAAGGTCGGGGCTTGCAGGGGGCCCCAGGCAGGGCCGAGAATCCCAGTCCCCAAAGACACGCAGCCAACAGGTACAATGTTTCATATTCGCAATAAACGTACCGTACAAAACCCGCTGCCCGTCAGTACCGGGCAGGTGTGGGGTCCAAGGGCAGTGACACCCAGGGTCCTTGTCCCAGAGGAGGGGAGATTGCACAGTCGGGAGAACAGCGCAGGGCCTGGGCGGCCAGGCGGTGGCTGGAGTTCTATTCTGCCTTCCGGGGTGGGGTGGGGGACTCGGCAGCTGCGGGGTAACCCCCGGCCGCCGGTTTCACTTCAGCCTTTACAGGGGAAGTTGGGGTCCGTGGGGCGGGTCCCGCCCGGCCCCCCGAGTGTCCAGGCTGAGTTCCTGGAAACAACCCAGCGGAGTTCCTTCCTGCCCCGGCCCCAGAGCTATGGCTTAAAAATCCTCGGGGCGCCCGGACGCAGGCCCCCACCCCAGCGTCTGTAAACACTGCAGGCACAGTCGGGGCCGGGGCATGGGCGAGGCGGGGGGCTCTCAGCGGGCGGCGGGCGGCCCGGGCCCAGGGGCACGCACAGGGTGCGCCAGGGTGACGGTGAGCGCGTCGTTGTGCTGCACGAGCGAGGCGTGCTGGTAATGCAGTACCAGCTCCTTGAGCGACGCGTACAGGTTGTAGGGCTCCGCGAAGCCGAAGCCTGTGGCCGTGCGGTAGATGACACAGTGCTTGGTGTCGCCGTCCACCCTGCAGGCCAGACAGTGTCAGCGGGGAGGCCGGGCCCGCCCTCCATTCCCTCCTGCCCCGCCCCCCCAGGTAGGGCCCAGCACACAGTGGGTGGTCAGTGCACACTATGTGAATGCCCCACGGGACCCCGACCGGGCACTTACACCACGGAGCATGCGTAACAGCCTCGCTGGCTGCTCTCCCGGATGAGGAAGGTCCCGTCCCGTCTGCCACTCAGCATCTCTTCTGCCTGTGTGCGGTTGATCTTGCCCACGTACCACGTGCGCTCCTCGTGGTGGGGGAGGGCGTCCTCATCCTCCATCAGGGAGTACTGGCTGTGGGGTGAAGCAGGGGAGGGGCCCGGCTACTCATCCACCAGTGCCACAGCCCGGCAAGCCCCTTGCATCCTCCACTGCCCAAGGCAAATGCCCCTCCCCTTTATGGAGTCCCCCTCGCCCCTGCAGGGTGTCACTCACTCCTCAGTCTCGTTCTTTATTCCCAGCCACTCGTTGATCTTCCTCTGCCGGGCACCTTTCTGGGTGAGCCACCTGGCAGGAGAGAGGCAGGTGAGCGCGCGCAGAGGAAAGCAAGGTAAACGAGTGGGCTGAGCGCAGTATCTGCGGCGGCCGCAGGGGGCGTGGGACCCGGAGCTTTCCCAGCACCGGAGCAGGGGCAGCAACGGAGCGCGGGCGCCCCCTGGTGCGCAGGAGCGGGAGCGCGACGCCACTCACACGAGATACTGGTCCCGGATCTTGCGCAGCTGCATGAGGTCGGGCTTGAGGCTGTTCATGCGCTTGTCGATCTCGCGGTTGTCCGAGGCCTGCGCCCGCAGGTCCTGTTCCAGCTTCGTGCGGCTCTCATGGATCTCCGCGATGCGGGACTTGAGCCGCTCAGAGTTGAGCAAGATCCTGAGCAGAGGGGCCTATAAACTCCTACACTCCCTCCAAAGCCCACCCCACTTTCTCTCCCTCCTGCAGTGCCTAGCGCAGGGGGCACCGGAGTCCACGTTCCTCTGCATCTCCTCCTCGCCGCCCCTCACCCACACCCCTGCATCTCCTCGCCGCCCCTCACCCTCACCCCTGCATCTCCTCCTCGCTGCCCTCACCCACACCCCTGCATCTCCTCGCTGCCCCTCACCCACACCTCTGCATCTCCTTCTCGTTGCCCTCCCGCCGGAAGCGCTCCAAATACTCCTTGCTGCACTTCTCCTGCGTCTGGCCCTGCTCCTCGAAGATCTTGATGGTCTCATTGAAGGCCTCTATGGCCGTGCGCTTCATCTGAAGCTCCTGGGGATGGCGGCGTGTCAGTGGCTCGCAGCAGGACGACTGCCCCCGCTGCCTCCTCACGCCGGCTGCCTGCGCTAGATGACCTCCCTCTCCAAACCCATGCTCCGTGCAGTCCTTTTCTGGACCCGAGCACACTGGGAGGCGACGGCATGTAGCCCGGTCGCACGGGGCGCCCCCCACCCGCAGCCCCACGCGTGCAGACCAGGGACCTGAGATGTCCGTGTGTACTCCTCGTACAGCTGGTCGTACTCGCGGCTCTTGTCCTGGTACTGCTGGTGGTACACCTTGAGCTGGGCGCCCACAGCCTCCACGCTGTCCTCCTTCACCACCTGGTCCTGGGGCAGGGCACGCCGTCAGGGCTTCCGCGCCAAGCCCGGGCCCCGCCCACCCATGCTGCCCCACGGCAGAGGGCACCTGCTGGTACTTGGACACAGGGTAGAGCAGGCGCGTGTCCAGCTTGGCGTTGTACTGGGCCAGCGACTCGTGGCGGTAGTGGCAGATGAGCTCCACCACGGAGCAGAAGGTGAGCGGCTCCGAAAAGCCGTAGTGGCCATCCCGGTGGAAGACTTTGATCAGCTTGTTGTTCCCGCCTTTCCTGCATGTGGGGTGGGGTCAACACCATGGGTGGCCCCCAACCCCTGGCCCCCCACGGGCTGGGCACCGGCCCCACCTGAGGGTGAGTGTGTACTCTCCTTGGATCTTGCTGGATGCATCTCGGACCAAGAATGTGCCATCGGGCGTGTCCCGGAGCCTCTCGTTCACCTCTTCCCTGAGGGACACCGCATGTTGTCGCTGACCCGGCCTGGCCACCCCCGACAGACGCGGCCCCCTCCACACGCAGCCCCCGACAGACGCGGCCCACCCCCCCCACAGATGCAGCTCCCCCGCGGCCCCCCACATGCAGCCCCCCAGCCCCCCCCCACGCAGCAAACTACCTGGAGATATCCCCCCAGTACCACTCGGCATCCTGAAGCGAGGGCGGGTTCCCTCCATTGGCCAGCGCCGTGGAGGCCGGCTTTGCCTTAGAGGGCTTGGGTGGCAGTGCTGGGGACAGGAAAGCACGCGCGTGTTACTCACCACGTGCACGATGCACCGCAGAGAACACGCGCGCGCTAAGCCTAGCCGAAGGGAGCCGAGGGCAGGGGAGGCCGTCACCTGGGGGGGCGGCGTCCTGCTCATCCACGTGTTCCTGCAGCAGCCGCTCCAACAGCAGCACTGGGAAGTCCGGCCCAGGCTCGCTCCTGGGGAGAAGTGGAGGCGTCAGGCCGGGAGTGACAGCCACCCCACACGTACGCACAGACATGGCAGGCGTGGAGGGGGCAATGGCGGTGTGGAAGGCAGTGTGGCGAGCATGGGTACTAGGTACTCCGCATGTGCTCACCACGAGAGAACGAGGGAACACCGCAGCTGATGGAGCAGGAGATTGAAGCGCAGCTGATGGAGCAGGAGATTGATGCTAGGCTTGCAGCCCCTCACTCCAGCCCGGGCCCCGCTCCCCCACCCAGTAGGGCTTCACCCCAGAGAAAGTCCTGGCCATCTAGAGACCTGCACCCCTTTACTGAAGCAAACCCGCCTACACTCAGGCCTCAGCCCTCCTCTTTGGCTCAACCCCAAAAGCGGTTTTCCCGCTCCCCGCCCACCCAGAGCCACACCTACCCAGAGCCTTTGACCACACCCACCACGCCCCCTGCTGTCCAGGCCCAGTTCACTCACCCATCAGGGTCACCCCCCGGCGGAGGTGCAGTGCGCAGGAGGAGCGGCCCGAAGGCGCTGGCCAGCGAGTGGACAGCGGTGGCCTGCACGGGTGCTCTGCGGGCCACACGGCCCAGGTGCTGCAGCAGGAACCGAAGCGTGAGTGCCTGGTGCAGCGGCAGCATCGGGGGCTCCAGCGCTGGCCCCACGGGCCCTGCAGCCTCTGCAGGCAGACCCCGGTCAGCCAGGCCAGTGGCTACCCACCCCCTCCCCGTCCCGCCTCCCGGGCTTTACCCCGCAGTGCCCGGTGCGCCTCTGCCGCAGCCTCAGGGGTCACCACGGCTGTGGGCAATGCCAGCAGGAAGCCCTTAACAGCATCGCAAAGGGTGGTGCGGTCCCACTGCTCCAGGTCGCTTAGGGACCAGTCTGCAGGCGAGACGAGGCATCAGACTGGTGCATGTGCCCACGCTTCCCATCACCAGAGGCAGCAAGCGGAACCCCTCACCTGTCCGGGGTGCGGGCAGCTCCGGCCTACTGTAGCAATCACTGTCCAGCCCTGGGGAGAGGGGACCCATGAGACTGACCGACCAAGCCACATGGGTCCCAGGCCACCTCCCCACCGGGTCTCACCCCTCCCCACAGCATCCAGGCTCAGCCTGCTCTCGTGCGTAGACCAGGATGGCCCTGGGTAAGCACGGGCTTCTACCTCAGACACACAGGACGCTGGGCCACAGTCAGCCTGCACCTCACCTGCTTGCTCAACGGCCGCTACCAACTTCACCAGAAGGGGCGGGGCAGGGTCAGGAGGGGAGAACTGCTCCGCCAGGTCAGCCAGCGCCAGGCCTGCAAGGAGGGGACAGGACATGAGCCCCCATGCCTGCAGGAAGGAGTCAGCGTGGGTGGCTGCAGACCCGGAGGCCCAGCTGGTGAACCTGGGCCACAAGGAAGGCGGAATTAGTGGGCGACGATTTCTCAAGTTACCACAAGGAATCTCACCAGGAACAGTTGGTGACCCCCCCATGTGGGTAAGGCGAGGGGCAGACATGCAGCACTCAGTTGTCAACGGCAGAAAGGCCAGCTCCAAGTTAGCCTGGGCTACACACGCGCTTCCCCCAAACAAAAAGGTGGTGACAGAGTTCCCGCACTCTAGCTGGGAAGCAGAGACTCCACCACTTGAAATGCCTCTAGAAACTCGTATGGTTGGCCTGTGTGGTTCCGCAGCGACTGTGACAGCCACTGGAACTATGCTGGAGCCCACTGTGCAACCCTAAGGGCAGAGCTAACTGACCCTCGCTTCTGAGACAAGGTCTCGATACACAGACCAGGGTGGCCCGCAACTCAGACATGACTGCCTTAGTCTCCCAGAAGGCTCGGTACAAAGGCCTGGGTCACCACATCTGACTCTTCCTGTTTGGAAGGAGGGTCCTACTAGGTAGCTCTCCTGGGTCTCCCCAGGGCCGGGATGGCAGGCACCCCACCCTGGCTTCCTACCCTCCCCCACGGCAACCAAGCTGGGCCTCCCGCCCAGTTCCCTCCCCAGTTCCCTCCCCAGTTCCCTCCCAGGAGCACCTGGGTCCCGCAGGGCCCTTTGTGTACAGGTGTCCCGCCTCGGCAAGGATCTGCCTGCTCCTACCATCTGGGTTGGCTCTGGCCCTCGGCAGGGACGCCCTGGCATGAAGCAGAGACAAGCCAGGGCCTGCGGGGCCTCTCTGAGTGGAGCTGGCCAGCTGTATGGAAAATGAAAGAACAACCCTCCCCCAACAGGCGGGCGGGCGGGCAGGGAGAGGGGGGCAGCACCCTCCCCACAGCGAAGGAGGGGCACGGTAGCTCAGGACCCCGGCTCAAAATGGGGAGGCACACCCCCTTTGAGTAAAGGCCTCACCCCCTCTGAGAGACGCAGGGCAGGCTGAGAGAGCTGGCTGAGCACTTCCAGGTGGTTCTTTAGGGCCTGAAAGTGGAACCTTTGCTGGTAGGGAAACTGAGGCTACAGAGAGCTGAGCTCAGCCCTGAAGGTTTGAGGGTAGGGCGGGGCATGTGAGGTGGCTGGACCTTGGCCAGCCTGAGAGGGAGGTGGCTGTTACTGGGGCAGCCACAGGCTCTGGCTGTGAGCCCGGATGGGCTGGGGCCCTGCCGCTCTCAGGGCCAGGCCTGGGCTCTGGGGACGCCAGATGCTGCGTGGCCTGAGCCAACCTCCCAGGGCTCAGCTGTGCTGCAGATCCTCCCCAAGCAAGGGGCTCAGGCCATGCTGTTTGCACGGGACACGAGTTCTCCACAAGTAGCCCCAGAACTCTCCACGACCCCCTGCCTCAGTCTCCCCAGTGCAGGGATTACTGGCAGGTGCCACCAGGTTTGGCTACCTGAGTGTCTTCAACAGGCCTGTGGGGTCCTTGTTTTCCACTGTGCCCTACACCGTGACCAGACTCCCGCCTTCCCTGGGATTCACCGTGACCAGACTCCCGCCTTCCCTGGGATTCACCGTGACCAGACTCCTGCCTTCCCTGGAATTCACCCTGACCAGACTCCCGCCTTCCCTGGGATTATGGCCGCTTCTGAGGCTGAGTAAAAGCAGGGGGGAGGCTCCCACGGAGAACCCTGTCTGATGTGAAGGAGGCCTCTGCGTGCCACAGAACGCACGCTCACTCCCCTCAAGTTCTCTTCTCTCCCTTGGCTGCTAGTGAAGCTGCCTCAGCTGTGCCCGCTGCCTGAGGGAGGCCTCCAGCCTCAGCAGCTCACAGGGCTGTCACTTCTTGAACAAGAGCCTGACCACAGCCTTCCCACCAATTGACTGCAGAGAAGGAACCCTACGGTCCGAGGGGACAGGGTCCCTTTCTACGGTGTCTGCTCACCTGAGTCGGAGGGCCCATCCAAAGGCCTGGCGGGCAATGGGCGGGGGCCTCGTGGGCGAGGTCCTGGGCGAGCCAGAGCCACGGGCCCTAGGAACTCCACATATGTCCCAGGGAAGTCCCCTCGCTGCCGGGTGCGCTCATTGAAGCCGGGCATCCAGCCGACGTTGTGTGGACAGCGCTCCCCTCCGTCTGCCACGCCCAGTGCCTGCAGGGCCACCCGGCTCACCACCAGCAGGTCTCCAGGCAGCAGCTCCAGGTCCTCGGGCCGCTCCCGGCGGAACGGGTACACAGCCCTGTACTGGAAGCCCTCGCTGCCCGCCATGGCGGGGCCTGATGGGGTCTGGACAGTCACGTGGCTCCCGGGGGCTCCTGAGGCCCCATGGGCTGGAGCAGTCGGGGTGGTAGGCTTGAGACCTCACTTCCAGAAGTCACAGGCGACCTCAGGGGCCGCTCATGCCTAACCGGCCATTAAAAGCCACTTGTCACGGAGTCCACCATTTAGTCGCCTGTTTGAGGTGTCCCTGGTCTCAAATCACTCAGCTTGTGCACACATCAGATGGCCAGGCCTGGGCAGGTAGATCACTCTGTCCCGAGTCGGGGCATGGGTGCCCAAGCTTGCTGGCTCTTCAGCGTGTGCCCAACACCAGATGAGGAAACCCAGACCACAGGCCGTTACCATGCTCAGCCAGGGACACCACCTAAAGGACATGGACAAGGCAGAGTGAGCCCTGCCAGAGTTCCCCAGCCACCGTGGGCTGGTCCCTGCGCCCCCATCTGTAGAGGGCACACTAACATGCTTCCCTGGAGGCTGCCGGGAGCTGAGTGCTCCTCTGTCCCACTAGACGGGGACACAGTTAGCGCTCTCTGGAGGACCCCACTGACGCTAAGGTTCAGCCGCAGATGCCCAAGCTCCAGATCAAGGTAGGAACAAAGGAGAGACCACATGATTTGTTAGACTCAGGCAAAGAATGGTGCCCTAAGGGCTAGTGGGAATTTGGGGGACCCCAAAGAGGGGTTGGGCCAGCTGAGCAGTGGACATGGGCTGAGGCCTGGGTGTGCCTCCAAAGAAGCAGAGGCCTCAGTTCCCTGCAGGGGAGGATAGCAGGGAGCCGGGGTGTCCCGCTTGCCTTAACTGGGGGCCCTCTGGAGATTCGAGAGAGAGGAGGTCCCAGGAAGAACCGTGGGCACCGTAGTGCCACGGCAGGGTGGGGACACGGGAGCCGGGCACCAACCACCATGGCAGGTTGCAGGGTGGTGACACTCCCCAGCTGTCCTAGCCTGGGTCCCCATTCCAGCCTGCAGTTCGGTCCTCTGTGCATCCTCCCGGGGGACTGAGGTGACAGGTCCTCGTACGGGGACAGGGCAGTCCATGCACAGACAGCCTGGTCCCTGCAAGGGCCGGCCGGTGGGAGCCTCCTGCCTAGGATGCACAGAGGCTTCCAGAAAAGTGCCATCCAACAGGCGCCTATTGTGCCAAGGGGAGAGTCTGGGCTTCGTCCCCAAATCTTGGGGACCAGGGGCAGGTGTCCTAGCGAGGTTCAGGGCTGAATGGTCCCAGGTACCCTGCGTGACTCACTGACCCTTGTGGGAGGGAAACTGAGGGTCGGAGAGGCCTCTCCTAAGGCAGCCTCTCGTCCGCCCCCGCGCCAAGCGCGTCTGCACACGATGGGGGGGGCTGTACCGCGGGACCCCAAATACAAAAGGTTGGGCCCAGCGTGCACGCAGTCTGCGTGCTCACGCACAAGAGTGGCTAGACCCCCGTGCACCCCGAAGGCCCCCGGGACGCCGGAAGCAGCCGGACCGCGGGTCTCGCCCCGAAGCTCCTCGCTCCCCGCCCCGGTGCGGGTGGGGACCTCCCGGCCTGGGAGACACCGTCTCCACCCCGCAGGCTACGCCGCTACACGTTCGGCTTGGAGCCCGGTTCTGCGCGTCCCCCAAGCTCCTCGTGTCCCCGCCGCCGCCATCGACTCACCCAGTCGCGGCCGCCGTCGCCACCGCCACCGCCGCCGTCGCCGCAGCCGCGGGATCCCTGCGTCAGCCGCCGTCGCTGCCGAGGTTCCAAGTCGCCGGGCCCGCCCCCGGGCGGAAATAGCCGAGCGCATTCGGGCCGGGAGGGCGGCCCTTCCCCCACCCCATACCGAGGCGGAGCCCGAGGACCGAGGGACGCGGGTGTGCTTCCGGAGGCAGCCGAACGTACTCCCGCGGGAATGGACGGCTGCCGTTAGCGACGAGACAGCCGAGCGTGGCCGGAAATAGCCGAGAGCAGCCGAGTCTAGGGAGAGGGGCTGCGGGGCTAGCAGGCGGGCGGTCGAGGGTCGGGAACGATTGGCTCCGAAGCTGGAGGGCCGGCCTCAGCCGGACTGAGACTCCGGAGCCATTCGGAGGGGACGAACTGCTACACCGCGGTGGTTTTTATGAAGTTGCGAGCTTCGTAAAACCGCGGAGCGCGTCTGGGAGACCCGAATGGTCTCACATCCAGGTCTTAGGAGTTGGCACGCGGAGGCCGCCGACAGCTTCCGGAAACTGCCGAAGGTCGCCCGGTAATCGGACGAGTCAGGCGGCCGGTGGAAGGCGAAGGCGTTCCCATGGCAACCATCGGCGTCCGGAAACAGCCGAAGTGTCTCCGGCCCAACACGCGCGAGAACGCGGCTGACCGAAGCCCGGAAGCACGATTGTTTCCGGAAACGGCGACAGGTGCTGGCAGCTGGCGTGGCTGAGAGCGGTTATTAGCGGGAGCGCCGGAAATGGCCGAGCTTGTTGGGCTCGTTTCAGAAAGAGCGCCGTGTTCTAGCCCCGCGCGGTGGCCGGGGTTGCGGCGAGAGCTCGGCGGCTAAGGGTGCTCGCTGCCCTTGCAGAGGAGCTAGGCTCAGTACGGCGGGACAGCGCCCTCGTGGGGTGTCTCTGGGACTTAAGAGAAAATGCAGAAAGATGAACTTACTAATTGAAGAATTAAATTAGTTGTGTTTTTTAGACAGGGTCTCTCACTGTGTAATGCGGAACTAGAGACGAGTGCTACCACGGCTTCTTCACTTCTTTGTTTTTTTGGAGACAGTGTCTCTCTGTGTAGCCCTGGCTGTGTGGGCCAGGCTGGAACTCGCTCTGTGGACCAGGCTGGTCTCGAACTCACAGATCCACCTGCCTCTGCCTCCCCAGTGCTGGGATTAAAGGCGTGCGCCACCAATGCCCAGCTCTAGCTGTTTTGGGGTGTGGGTGTGTGATCTGCAGCTCTGGGCGATGAAGCATGAACCACAAAACTAAACAAACTCACATGGAGTTTATTGGGAAAGCTAGCCGAGGGAGGGGTAGGTGTTGGCCAACCGAGATGGAAGGGGTAAGGAAAAGAGGTAAAGACAGGACAGGAGAGGGAGGAAGGAAAAGCCCGGTCTGCCCCAGGGGAACTACAGGACAGAGAGCGGAAAGGCGAGGGGCGGAGGGAGCATTAAGTGGACGGACTCTCTTAAAGGGTGCTTTGCACCCGCGTGCAGACTGTGGACCCCTGGGCCGAGTGCGCTCTGCCAGGTGACAGGTCTCAGTGCCTGAACCCTTAGCGTTGCTTCGTTTTCTTTTGCGCCTGCGTGTTTTGCTTGCATGTCTGTCTGTGCACCGTGAGTACCTGGTGCCAGTGGACGTCAGAAGAGGGCGACAGACCCTGGAATTGTCACACGTGGCTGGCCACGTGTGGGTGATGGGAATCAAACTGGTCCTCTCCGAGAGCAGCCAAGTGCTTCTAACCACTCAGCCATCTCTTGCTAATGAGCCCAGGATGCACCTGCGCTCTGACCTTCCGCTTCAGCCAGCCGAGTGTTAGGATTGAGGGGTATGCTGCCATGCCTGGAAACACTGTATCGTGTTTAGTGTTATTGTAGAGTTGGGGTTTTTGCCCCCATTGTTCTGGCTGGTGTGGAACTCAGCCTTCTAGGTAGCTGGGGTGCAGCCTGCAGAAACTACCTCAGTTACTGTTCCAACCGATGTTCCCGATACCCTGCCTGCTTCCCAGCGGCTCACCAACGCACACAATGGTTTGATGTCATCATGAGTTTTTATTCAGTGCCAGCTCCAGGATGGGCGGAGGGCTAGTCATGCACAGCCTTGGTCTCCCAGCAGGCAGGGCTGGCTGGGAGTCAGGGAGGGTGCAGAGCAGGTTCGCGTGCCTGGAAACCCCTTCACAGTGGGTAGAGCTGCAACCTACTGGATCACACAGCATCGTGAGGGATAACCTGGGCTACCCCATGACCATGCTCTCAGCAGGGACAGGCCACTGTGGGACAGGCCTCTGGCCTCAGCTGCTTGGGTCACACAAAAAGCTGGGGGATCCAGCAGCGCTCAGTGCTCAAGTCACGGGTTAGGTTAGTCTTGTAAACACAGCAGCCCAGGCACAGGATGGGAAAGACATTCCCCCAGAAGCACACAGCAAAGCTGAAGTCGCCTTAGGCCTCTAGAGTGGCAGGAGGCTGTGACAACCAGGGAGATTTCGTGGGCCTGGGTCGCCATGGTGGTACCCTGTTGGTGTTGCAGGGGTCGGGCGTGGTCCTCACCTGCTAGGCAAGCGCTGCTCAGGCCCTGCAGGGGTCACATTTCTTCCCCATCTTGATGGTGCCCTTAGATTTGTCAGTTATGTCTTCCAGAGTGCATGGGCTGTTCCACCTCATCCAGTGACTGCTATTCGTCCATCAAACCCCCGCCTCCCACACCTCCTCTAAGCCCAAGCATGCAGGGTCAGAGGCAGAGTGTAGTAAGACAGTCTGGGCTGCTCACACGGAGGATGCAGCCCCCAATGGAACTGTGGTCCTGTTTCAGCCTCCACAGTTCTGGGATCACAAGCATGTGCCAACACACCCAGCTCCCAAATCCTGTTCAAACTGGGCTGGGACTAAGAAGGGGCCACACACATACACTTGGAAAGGTCAGGGGACACACTAGAAAACACAGACGTTGCCCAGAGGGCTCTGCCTTGGCCCAGAGAACAGGGTCTGCAGGCTGTGCCCCAGGGGCAGAGGCCAAGACAGCCAGCCACCTCCCCCAGGGCGGCCAGCCTGGATATTGCTTATAAAAAGTAATAAATTAGTTGAGAGGACCTGCTACTTACAAGTCACTGACACCCCGTCCCAGCTCTTCTGGGGAGGGAGCACACTCCAGCCCTGTGTCTCAGGCTGATGGTCGCCCCCATTCAGGTGACTTTGTGGAAATGACAGGTCCGTGAGGAACCAGGGATGGCGGTCAGTCTCTTGTGGCTGGCCCTGGGGTGCCAGGAGTGGCCTCCGCACCCTGCACAGCAATCTTGGGGACGGCTCGAGGCGGTCCAGGCTCGTCGTCGAAGCTCACCTCCTGTACTGCTTCCTGCTTTTTGAAGGAGTCCCTGCGCTCAGAGAGGTGCAACCTCCTCATGACAACCAGCTCGGACTCGGCGCCCCGGCCACGCCATCCTCCCTCCCCCTCCAGCGGCTCACTGGTGCCCAGGCCCAGCTTGTCGGCCGACTGGCCCCTGCGCAGCCTAGGGGACCTCGCAGGTACGGGGATGTGGCCTGGTAGGGGCGATGGCGAGCGTGGCGGAGGCGTGGGCACTGGTGGGCAGGCCAGTGGGGATGGGGGGATGCTGCTGGTGGACTTGCGGCGGCCGCTCTTGTGACGAGGTGGCCCAAGCTTGGCTGCCAGGCCGTGCAGGGAGCTGGGACGGGTGTGGCCGGTGGCAGGGGAAGCCGGGCTGCTGGAGCTTGGGGACACACTGGGTGGGGACGCTGTGTCTGTGGGCAACAGCACCTGCTCAGTGTCCACCTCCAAACCGGCGAGAGCCCGTGCCCTCCACCATTACCCCCCCAGGGGCGTGCCCTTGACCTACGGCTAGAGAACTCCTACTCATCCATCAAAGCCAGGCCTCATTTAACCCCCCACCCAGAAGCCTCCTTTGCCTCCTCTTGACCTGACCTCCTCAGTTGTTTGTGGACAATCCACGGGAGTCCTTCCCACCACCCCTCAGCTCAAGCACACCCCCAGGCTCCCTGCTGATCCCTGTCACATGTGGACATGCTTGTGTCCTGAGAGCTGGCATGATGACCAACCGCCAGCAGGCCGTGATAACTGCCTCTCTGGCTGAGAGGCCGCCCACCTGCGGGGGTGTCGGGCGCAGGGCTGCGGCAGGGCGTGGTGGGGCTGGGGGACAGGCTGTGAGTGGGCGATCCAGGGAGGCTCTCGCTGGAGGACAGAGAGTGGTGGAGGCCTGACGAGAAGCTTCGGCTGGTGTGGAGCACAGAGGATGGCTTGGAGATCCTCTTAAACAGAGACTTCCGCCTGGGGACACGCATGGTGAACGGTGAGGGAGGCCGAGCCAGCTGTGAGAGTTTGGGGCCACCGCTCGCCCTGCTCACCGCTCGCCGCTCGCCCTGCTCACCGGTCCTGGGTCTCGCGCCGGCGGCTGCGCTTGCTCCTGCGGGCCATGCGGCCCTTGGCCGTGTTCTTCCGCGCCGGGCCCACCTTGATGGAGGTGTTCTCCAGGGCCGTGGTGCGTAGGGAGATCTTGTTGCCACTCTGTGTGAGGGACACCAGTCACCCGAGCGCCTCCCAGGGACGGGCACCTGCGGCTGCAGGAGCCCCGTGGGGTGGGGGCTGCAGGCAGGCGCGGGCTTGGGCGGGGTCCGCGGGTCGCACCTTCAGCAGCAGCTCCACCACGTCCATGTGCACCAGGCCCAGAACCGACTCCCCGTTGACGTGCGTGATGAGGTCGCCTGCACGCAGTCCCGCCTCCTGCGCAGGGCTCCCCTCCTCCACACTCTGCAAGCAGGCACCACACAGCTGGTCAGGACCCCTGCACCTGTGCTGCTAAGCCTCAGTTTCCCCGAGGTACGGAGCAGGCCGGGCCCAGTCGGACAAGGAGAACATGCTGGTTCCCACGGCCAGGACCGCAGTGGGGCTCTGCAGGGTTAGTCCGGGATCAGGCCGGGCCAGCGGAATGAAACCTCACCCAGACCACATGGTGCACCGTGTACACGTCGCTGTCGCCCATGTAGACACGGATGGCACGCAGGCTGAAGCCGTACTTCTTGCCCGAGCTGTGGATGACGATGGGGGGCTGCAGGCTGCCATACACGGGCGATGGGTCCCGGCTGGGTGACGAGTCTCGGGAGGAGGGGTTGGAGGACAGCGAGCGGGGTGACAGGGGACTCATGAGGGGACCCCCCGCTGCCATCATCTGTGGGGGCAGCAGGGACACTGGGCTGGCATCTCTGTCCTTCCACACCAGCCCCCCCGGCCCCCCCCCCGTCACGAAGCCAGGCACTACCTGCTGTGATAATGAGGGATAAGGCAGACACCGAGGCGGACTTGGGCACTCGGCCACCGCCACCGCCACCAGCAGAGGCCCGGGGCTTCTCAGGCCCGGGGTCTCTGGGGCCGCCCAGGCGGCGACCTCTGCCCCCATCCAGAGGCCGAGGCGTAGAGTGCCGGGCACCCGTGCTGTTACTTCGAAGGCGGGCGTGGCTGAGGACAGCAGTATCAGCTGAGGGGACAAATGGGGTGAGTTTGACACCTCTCCATCTCTCCTCCCCACAACTGCAGGAAGCTAGACTTAAGTAAGGTCCTGCGAGTGTGGGGCCGCCTTATTATAAATGTCTGTGATTTCTGGAGAAACTTCTATTCCTGTTTCAAAACCCATCTCAAACATTCCCCACTCTAGAGATTTCCCTGGGGGCACCTACCAGAAAGGTTGCAGGGCTTGGGTGCCACTGGGGTGGCGGAGGGTGGAGGGTCAGGCTCCCCCAGAATGAAGACAGGTTTCTTGGGGTCAGCAGGCCCTGAACCTGCTCCCTCATCTTCAGATGAGAAGGCAAATTTGGGCATCGTGTCCAAGCTGATGGTGTTGAGGAGAGACGGGCTGGGCCCCCGGTCAGGTAGCGGGGAGGATGGCAGACAAGAGGGAGCCCAGGACCGCAGCCTGTTTAAGGGAGGAGCCAGGCCGCTCAGCCACACCTGCTGGGGACTCCTCTCACCCCTGAAAGCCCAGTTCTCAATTCCCACCCTCTGCCAGCACTGTTTCCGTTGAGTCTGGAACTTAAAGGATGGAGTTTGCTACTCAAGCGCGTTCTGAGTAGAAGGGGCCCCAGGGCTGAGCTGTTGTGGAACACAGCAGTCTTAGGAGTACCAGGCATAGGGAGTCGAACTGTCAGACGCCGCCCACACCGCATCCTTGTCTCCTGGCCAGTGGGTAGTCCTTCAACATCAGACTTCACCATCTGGCTCTCCCTGGCTCTCCTGCCCACCTACCGGAGGTCGGCGCTCAGCCGCCGCCCACTGCCCCCGTCGCTGCTCCGTTCCCAGCCTTCCTCTCGGTCCGCACTGAAGCTCCTCTCGGCACACGGCGGGGTGGGCTGGACGGCCAGGAACTCAGAGCTGCTGTACACCTGCGAGGGTTGCGTTTCAACGGCAGCGACAGGGAGACTAGGGGCACACTCACCCCGGCGCCCAGGAAGGTGGGCGGCAGAGAAACCCCCGTCCCAAACACAAACCAAACTCAGAGTGCGAGCCGCCGCCAGCCCTACCTTGCTGAAGCGGTGGGAACAGGAGGAAAACTGTGGGATCTCCGTGGAAGACTCCTCATCATTGGTCTCGTCGTCCTCAGAGCCCAAGTGTCGGTAACGTTCAGAGCGCGCTGTAGGGGTGAAGGGAGCGGCTGGGTACACCTGGGAGAACCCCCGACAAGCGAAGGCAGGGTGGGCGGGGCGTGAGGTGCTGGCTTTCACCCCGGGTGAAGGTGCCTTACTGTCAAAGTAGCTGGTGTCATCCTCAGCTTCGAGTTGTGGGACAAACTCTGCCTTGTGTCTCAGAAGCCCCGCCCAGTCCAAGGCCAGGAAGAAGGGGTGCTGCTTCACCTCGTGGGTACCCCCTGTAGACAGGTCAGCTGAGCCCTGTGTGACCCCGCTCCCTACCTCCCTCTCCCCTGGATGGGGCCAGAATAGACCCAGGAGCACAGCCAAGAACGGCGAGCACCAGCCAGACCCAGCTACTTCAGAGGCTTATACCTGTTTCTAGTTAACTCCTATGCACTCTTCAAAACCCCAGCTCCAAGCTCCCTCCTCCACACAGCCTGGTAAGCCCGCCTTGAGTGGACCCCAACCGAATTACCAGTTCCCAGCCTCTCCATCGGGCTCTGGCGCAGAAGCCTCGTGATGAGATCCTGGGCATCGGCAGGAAGCGCCTCGTCCCCCTCAGGCCACACGATCTCATCTGAGGAGGGAGGAGTGACACGATGCCCTTGCTAGCACCTTCCAACAAGTCCCCCCAAATGCCTGCAGCTCTGGGCCGCCGCCTCCCGGTGTGAGACCCCTGCGGCCGCCGCCTCCCGGTATGAGACCCCTGCGGCCGCCTCCCGGTCGGTGTCAGACCCCTCGCTTTAGACGCACCGCTGACCACCTGTCCAAACAGCTCCTCAGGCGTGTCCCCGAAGAACGGCACGCAGCCCACCAGGAACTCGTACAGGATGATGCCCATGGCCCACCAGTCCACCGGCTTCCCGTAGCCCTGGCGGAAGATCACCTCAGGCGCGATGTACTCCGGGGTCCCACACACCTGCGAGGAACGGGGGTGAGGCTCTCCCGGGGAGGAAGGGGGGGTGAGGCTCTCCCGAGAGGAACGGGGGGGGGGGTGAGGCTCTCCCGGGGAGGAACGGGGGGTGGGTGAGGCTCTCCCGGGGAGGAACGGGGGTGAGGCTCTCCCGGGGAGGGACGGGGCGGGCTGAGGCTCTCCCGGGGAGGAACGGGGGGTGAGGCTCTCCCGGGGAGGAACGGGGGTGAGGCTCTCCCGGGAGGAACGGGGGGGGGTGAGGCTCTCCCGGGAGGAACTGGGGGGAGTGAGGCTCTCCCGGGGAGTAACGGGGGGGGGTGAGGCTCTCCCGGGGAGGCTGGCAAGGAAGGCTTGAGCCCTGCCCCTGGGCTGGGCCGCACCTGCTTATCCACAAACTCGCGGGCATCCTTCTCGATGTGACCTTCATACAGGTTGGTGGCCATGCTCATGAGGCCGATCTTGGACAGGCCGAAGTCCGTCAGCTTGATGTGGCCAAGGGAGGTGATGAGCAGGCTGTGGGCGGGGCCAGGACACTCAGCTGGTAGGGAGGCCAGAGCCTGGATGGTTGTCAGGACTGTATGGCTGAAGTCCCCACTGTACAACTGGTTTTGTTTTGAGACTGGTTTTCATTAGACAGCCCATGTCCCCATGCGTAGGCTTTAAAAAATCTTTTTCCCCCCCAATGTGGCCAAAGGTAGCTTCAAACTCACTAGGTAGCGCAGGCTAGCCTTAAATTCCTAAACCTCTCCTCAGTCTCCTGAGTACTAGAACAATACATGTGTGCCACCATGTCCCGCTAAGACCTTATATTCTTATGCATTTTGTGAATAACATTTACTGCTTAAAAATAAAATCCCCTGGCCAGGCGGTGCTGGCTCACACCTTTAATCCCAGCACTCGGGAGGCAGAGGCAGGCGATCTCTGTGAGTTCGAGGCCAGCCTGGTCTAGAGAGAAGTTCCAGGACAGCCTCCAAAGCCACAGAGAAACCCTGTCTGCAGCCCCCCTCGGCCCCCCGAGTTCACTTTCTTCACTCATGTATGTCTGGGCTACATGAAGAAGCGCTTGTGACTACTGCGTGTGCACTGGGCTACTGGACATCGAGCACCGAGGTGAGCGCCCGTGCCACACACACCGGCTGAGCTGAGTGCAAACGGCCCAGGTTCTGAAGGCTTCTGCTCACATCTCCACGTGGCAAATGCTGAGACACCGGCAATTCCCGCTCACTACAGACGGCACTGAATACCAGCGGCACTCACTTCCCACAGAGTAGGTGCTCAAAGTGTCTGCCCTGCAGGGTCTCTGTGACAGTCAAGTCCTCAACTGAGCTGTCACTACTGAGCTGTTCTGGCAGCCTCCCCAGAGCCCCGCCCTCAGCCTCCCCAGAGCCCCGCCCCAGCGGTGCTCGTGCCCGCAGCCTCCCCAGAGCCCCGCCCAACCACCCAGAGCCCCGCCCAGCGGCGCCCGCGCCCCCACTCCGGCTCCTACTTGTCAGGCTTGAGGTCGCGGTGCACGATGCCGTAGTTGTGCAGATACTCCAGCGCCAGCACCGTCTCCGCGAAGTACATGCGCGCCATGTCCACAGGCAGCGGGCCCATGTTCTTCAGAAGCGTGGCACAGTCGCCGCCTGCACGGGGACCTGGGTCAGGCTTGGGCCCCGCCCAGGCCGCCGAGGTCGTCTGGGGAGGCTGGGCTGAGCTCTACTGTGGCCCTGCGCGCACAGCCGGTGCCTACTAACAGCAAGCTCTTCCCTTGCCAGTGGCCTTCGTACCGGAAGCTCCGTCCCCCGCCCCGGGGCCATCATCCTGAGCCCTCCAGGGACCCCAACAGCTGTGCCCGGGGCGGGGCGGGGCGGGCGCGGCAGCCCGGGGGCCGCACCTTCCACATACTCCATGACCATGCAGAGGTGGCGGCGGGTCTCAAAGGAGCAGAACATGCCGACCACGAAGGGGTTCTCCGCGAAGGTGAGGATGTCACGCTCCACGAACACCTGCTGGATCTGGTTGCGCAGGACCAGATTCTGCTTGTTGATCTTCTTGATGGCGAAGCGCTGCCGCGTGCCCCGATGGCGCACCAGGTAGACCGCCCTGCGCGCAGGAGCCGGAGGCTGAGCAGCTGTGGGTCCCCAGGCCCACACCGCACCAGGGGACCCAACTCACCCATAGGCTCCATTGCTGATGAGCTTGATGGTCTCAAAGTCGCTCTCACACGGCTTCCTCCGGGATGGACCACCCAGGTCTCGGCTCTATACAAAGGAGAGCTCAGCTCTCACTAGAGCTGTCCCCTGGGCTCAGCGGCTGTCTCACTGACCACCGCTCCTCACTCTTCCTCCAAACTTGGCAAACCAGTGTGGAAGTTTCTTAGTTTTTTTTTTTTCTTTGCAGAGGCTGCTTCCAGGCAAACTCCTATACATCCTTCAAGACCCACCTTTTTAGTGCCCTTTCCAGCCCACACCATACATGGGAGACCTCTATGATGGGGCAGTTCCGCTGCAGCCACACCCCCGAAATCACACCTGTTTATCAAGCATCTACTTCCAGCCACCCAGGAAAGGGAAAAACATGGCTACCTCAGCTTGTAGCTCACCTCAGGGTATCCAGGAGCTGGGGGCTGGTCTTCATCAAGGTCATTCAGGGGCTGGATCTCTGTCAAAGGATGCAAGATTTATTTCTTTTTAAACAGGATTTCACTATGCAGCCCAATAGCAAGAACTATAGAATCTTCTAGAAAGGCCATGATTTGGGATTTTAATGCTCCGGATGGATGTTCCTCCACCCCAATATGTCCTTGCTCTAGGGGATGGCAGACAGCAGGCTCCAGTGAGTCTCAGTGTGCGTTAGTTACTCACGGTGGCAGGGCCAGTGTCTTGGGGACAAGGACCCTGGGTTCGAGTCCAGGCCCGCCGTGCCCTGGGCGCCCGTGACTCACCTTCCAGCGGGTCCTTGGCCAGGCCCAGCTGGCGGATGATGTAGCGTGGCAGGTCGGCCTTCACGCCCTGATCCTCGCGGGCCTGGCCCTCAGCGGCCTCCAGCAGATGGTAGAATTCCTCGGGGTCGAACTCCTGGAAGGAGAGGCCGTGAGCCCCCGCCCCTCACGGCGCCCCCCGAGCCCCAGGACTCCCGGGGCGGCGGCCCACCAGGCACTCGAGCAGCCGCGCCGGCCTGGAGATGATGATGAGCAGCTTGCGGACCAGCTGTACGATGAAGCCCACCTCGGCACTGTCAGACCGCTCGTGAGCCTGTGGGGCACATGGGATGAGGCCACGCCCGCCGGTGAGGCCCCGCCCGCTGGTGAGGCCACGCCTGCTGAGGGAGCCCAGCCACCAGCGGGCGGGGCCGTACCCACATTCCCCCCCCCAGGCGTGGTCCTCTGCCGGCCCCGCCCCACGCACATCCTGCAGCAGGCGCTCCAGCTTGTCCTGCATCTCCAGGAAGTAGCGGGAGGTGACCAGGGCCTCGCCCGACTTGGCTAGGCAGTCCCGCGCCAGCTCCACAATCTGGTGGTGGATGAAGCCCAGGACCCCGTCAGCCAGCGCCAGGCGGCTGCCAGGGGCGAACGCTGCCAGGAAGTCCTGCAGCCGGCCCTCCATCTGTGCGGTGGCCTGTGGAGGACGGAGGTGAGGGGCGGGGCAGCGGGGGCGGTGGGGGGCAGACGGGCGCAGGGTGACACGGGGGTGTGACGGGGCAACTGACAGACACAGATGTGGGGCTGGTAGGGGGCTGGGCCGCAGGGTCATTCGGTAGCCGGGTTGGGGTGACCAAGGAGAGGAAATGCCTCTGCAGGGGCCGCGTGGGCGGGGCCGGGACTGGTAGAGGGCGGGGCCGGGCCCTGGCAGAGGGCGGGGCCCTGGCAGAGGGCGGGGCCGGGACTGACAGTGGGCGGCAGCTGCGGTGCGGGCGGGTGCAGCACACCTTGGGGAAGCGCTCCCGGTACACGTGGTTCATCATCACGATCTCATTGTCGAAGGCTCCCGACGTTCGTCCAGGGCTGAAAGAGTGACAGGAGGGTGAGGGCGCTGAAGGCACGGCCTGTGCAGAGGGCCCCGCCCAGCCTACCTGAGGCTGCGGGAGCGTGGGCGCAGGCGCGGGGACCGGCCTCCTGCGTCCTCGTCCACCACGCTCTCCGAGCTGCGGAAGTGCTTGGACAGGAAGCGCAGCTCGTCCGCTGTGGGCTGGAAGGGAAGCTGGTGGAGACGCTCTCGGGAAGATGAGCTTGACTGCCGAAAGGAAGGCCAGGGTCACAGCGGGCTTAGCGCGCACCCTGCCAGGCACCGCCGAGGACGCCCCAGCCCACTGTTGAGCCCTCCCGGCCAGAGAGGGACCCCACACCCACACGCCGCCAAAGGGCATGGCCGGCCCGTCTACCCCATCCACCTGCCCGTACCGACACGGTGGAGCTGGGCGTGTTGGTCCCATAGCCGGAGGATGGGAGAGAAGCAAGCGACCATCTTCTGCCATCAGCCCTGGAGAGAGACAGGGGCAGATGGAAAGGCAGCCTGGCTGTGCTGGGCGGGATTTGCAGCAGGCTGCGCTGGTGCATTCCCAGTTTCTGGATCAAGGACCCCGCTGACAGCCAGGTCCAATGCTTGTATTCTTCAAACATTGCCTCCAGGGAGCTCTCCCTGATGCCTGCACCCACCCAAGCTTTGGCCTGTCAGTTGCTGATTTGGGGATCCCTGTGCCCAGGCCCTAGGCACATCATGTCAGCTCTTGGTTAGTGAACAGTGTGGCTGACAGAGTTAGTGATTTCTGAGTATGGCTGTAACCCCTTTTCCTTCACAGGCCTCCGAAATGCCTGTCACTGTTGGAAAAGTGGCTGTGGAGGGCCGTGTGTTTGCCAGGGCAGAAGCCACAGGGGAGACGCCCCTGTGACAGGCCAGGACACTCACCTCCGGGCAAAGGGGAAGTTGATGGCTGCTGCAGCAGAGAAGTTGCGAGGGCTGTCCAAGGGGCTGTTACCTGCTGAGAGAAGGGGAAGGCGGAGTCAGGGTGGAGCTAGGACCCAGCCACCCGCCTGTGTCTCCCCACTCACCTGTTGGGACAGATAATGGTGACAGAGGCCTGGAGACAGTGGGTGAGGGTGTCCCCACAACAAGGCTCTTCCGGTTTCCACTGCGACAGCTGTGGAGGGAATGACAAGCTACATGGTCAGCTCCAGGACCAGGGAAACACGTGCCCGGCTGCGAGTGTGCCCGGCTGCGAGTGTGCTCAGGCTGCGAGTGTGCCCGGCTGCGAGTGTGCTCAGGCTGCGAGTGTGCCCGGCTGCGAGTGTGCTCAGGCTGCGAGTGTGCCCAGGCTGGATGCAGTTGGGTTACAACTACCGCTGCCTCCCCTCAGGGGGTCCCTTTAAGGGTCTTTAGCAGGTGGTTCTGAGATCCACTGGGGTCCTAAGCAAACTTCCCTTTTTGTTTTGGGAAAAGGGTTTGTATGTGTAGCTCTGGCTGCCCTAGAACTCGTTCTGTAGGCCAGGCTGGGCTTGAACTCAGATATCAGCCTGCCTCCTGAATTTGGGATCAAAGGAGTGTGCACCACAACCAGCTCAAGCATCTCACTCAGCAGCGGCTGGACTCAGAGGTGACTCAATGCCTCTCTCCTGGGATGACACGGGGGACTCAACCTGCCTCAATGTTCTCTTCCATCCTTGTTACCACTGGTACCATGCTGGGAGGACGCCCGTCTAGCCTCCTGGGGACACTGGCACATGACCAGGACACACTGAACTTGACCCTCACACGATCATCCCTGCCAGGCACACTGAGTTTCAGGGAGAGACAGGTGGCGCCCTTGAGCCCATGGCTGTAGGAAGCAGGTATTTCCTATGTTCCTGAAGCCCATGTCCCCACCTTCCCAAGATCCCACCAAACAGCTTCCTGGTGTGGTGGCACACTCCTTTTTTTTTCCTGAGACAGGGTTTCTCTGTAGCTTTGGAGTCTGTCCTGGCACTTGCTCTGTAGGCCAGACTGGCTTTGAACTCACAGAGATCCTCCTGCCTCTGCCTCCCGAGTGCTGGGATTAAAGGCGTGTGCCACCAATGCCCAGCTACACTCCTTTTTTTTTGTTTTGTTTTGTTTTTCGAGACAGGGTTTCTCTGTGGCTTTGGAGGCTGTCCTGGAACTCGCTCTGTAGACCAGGCTGGCCTCAAACTCACAGAAATCCTCCTGCCTCTGCCTCCTGAGTGCTGGGATTAAAGGTGTGCACCACCACCGCCTGGCCTACACTCCTTCTTTTAATCCCAAATTCTTTGTGAGTTGGAGACCAGCCTGAGCTACAAACAACAAAAAGCTAATTTGGCCCAATGAAAAACCCAAAGTCAGCAGCATGGTGACTCTCGGGCTGAATTTTCCTGTTCTAACCTCTGCCCCCCCTTCCCTCCTAGGATCCCATGTCCCTTTGGCCACCTGCCCTGACCCCCACACACACTCCCACCCAGGCCTCTGGCCCCTCCTGCCCCCTGGGCCTCCATGTTGTCACAGGTGGAGCCCCTGGGTCCCTGCCCTCTTCCCCACCCCCTCCAGTCACCCAGCAACAGCGGCGCTGACTGACAAGGAGAGCGGCCCACACAGCCCTCCGCCAACACAGCGCTGTAGAAGTGTCAGAGAGGGAGCACAGGGGCCTCTGAAGGAGGCAGGGAGGGTTTTGGGTAATGAGGGGCACAGCTGCGGGCCGAAGCGGCAAAGGGCAGAGGCAAGAGAGTGCCAGGGAGCGGAGCCCAGCTGCTGTGCCTCTGTTTCCCTACCGGACACCCAGAAGGTGCACAAAACCAGCACGCCCTGTGTAACAAGCCTTCAGGGGACTTACACTCTCAGAGCCTGATGCAGGAGGCCACGCCCCCAGAGTCGGCTACGCCACAGGTGTGGAGGCAGCAGTAGCGGCCAGCCCTGAGTTGGGGGACCCACCAACTGTGCCTGCTCCCTACGCGGGGACGCCAGGACTGCGGGTATCAAGCGTGGGAGGGATTGCCCCCTAGGCTGAGGTGTGGGTGCAGAAGCGGAACCCACAGGTCCCTAAAGGACTTCCTGCGCCCCCCCTCTGCACACGACACACACAGGCAGCCACACCCTCTCCCTGCCCCCGGCTGCCCCCACGTCCTGCAACGGTGGCCAATGAGATTGCTTGGTTCCTCTCCCTCGGGCTTACAGGCGAGGCCTTGAAAACAACCATGTTGGACACCTCGGCGAACCTGGGATCATCCCGCTTGAGCACACATTAAATGCCAACTGTTTACACAGCTCCTGGTATGCCAGCTCTAACAGGCCTGCAAGCCATGCAGGGCCCTGTAATATCTCCGGGCAGCACTCAGGGTTCTCGCAACCCAGACTCTGCCTATCTAGACAAACGTAAACACAGAGAAACCAGCGCACAGAGATGCTGGGAAACTGCTTGGGGGTCACACAGCATGGTACTAGCTCCCTGCAATTTGAACCTGGGTCTGGTTGAGGCAACACCTCACTAGGCCTCTGTACCTTGTAGAGGAGGACCTGGGTCTTGGCTACAAACCCACCACCCACTCGTCAGCCAGGGCCACAAGTATTTGCATCTGCGCCAATGTTTCCACTGAGCGCCCAGCACAGAGCGCTTCATTCTTCCCAAATTCCTCGCTTTGCGCAGCCAGAGTCCAGGGTTCGAATCCCGGGGGTGTCCAGCTCGACCCTGCACTCCGAGCCGCCCCTACCTTTTGGAACGTTGTAGCAGCGCACCCTTAGCCAAGCGGCTGCGGTGTCCTGGAGCCGCCACCGCCGTCCAGTAGCTGGGGTCCGACATGCTGCCGCCCCCCGCGCGCCGGGGCCTCGGCCGGATCGGCTGGATTCGGCCTGAGCCCCGTGGAGCGGCCCGGCGGCCGCCGGCTACCAGGAGCGCGCGGGGAGGCGAGGAGGAAGCGCCGCCGGAGCCCCGCCCAGCCGTGGGGCGGAGCAACAGGGGCGTGGCGTCGCTATGGAGGAGTGGCGTTGCCAGGGCCCGCCACTAAGGAGCCTCCGTTACTATGGCTCTGCCGGAAACGCTGGGATGGAGCTCAGTTAGAACCCGCATGTGGCGCCGGGCGTCGTGAGGGCCTTGACGGATGGCGCCCGGCGTTGCTAGGGCTCTGGAGCTAATGTGGACGTTGCTATGGACCCCAGCATCATAGGCAGGATTTTGCTAGGATTCTGAGCAGAGGGGGCGGGGTTACCTGGCCGTTGCTAGGGCTTGCGTAGCGAGGGCAGGACGTTGCTATGGACCTCAGCAGGCCTGGCAGGGCGTTGCTACGGCTCTAGGCACGGGGGAGAGGGACTCTAGGATGAGGGTAGGACGTTGCTATGGACCTCAGCAGCACAGGCAGGACGTTGCTAGGGTTCTGAGTAGAAGGGGCGGGGTTACTCTCTGGGAGGTGAGGGCGGGGCTTCGCTAGGCCGGGTGCAATCACCGGGGCGTTGCTTTGGTATTTACCAGGGGAAGCGGGGCGTTGCTGGGGCCTGGATGGCGGGGTGGGTCGGCGGCGGCACTTGGGCTGGTGCGGCGGGTCTGTCCCTCTCCCTGGGCTATCAACCCTGCCCGGCGCTGCCCCCTTCCTTCCGGGTCTGTAAAATGCCCGGGGTGAACGCGGCGTGGAGGCAACAAACCTTGCGTACAGAGCCACGAAAGCCATTACCAAAGGCGAAAAGTCACAAACACTTAGATACCAAAGGAATAAGTCCTTCTCCCCCAGGTCCTAGTGGCGGTCGTTCCGACAGCACTGGGCTCCCGCCCGGACCATTAGACATTTCGTATACCGGCCTTGCTGGGATTTGAAGCCCAAACCCCATGTCTGGGATAAGAAGACAGTCAAGGAAACTGAGGCACAGGTCCCCAGGATGTCCCCATTCCATTTCTCTTCTCAAGTCACCCCCAGACACTGGACATCAGGTGTCCTCCTCCCTTGCTGGCTGGAGCACAAACCATATACTCGATAAACATTTACTGAACACCTACAGTTTGCCTGCCTCTGGGACACCTAGGGGTGGCCTCAAGGGGGTGGTCCTTAGCCTCAGATGGGAAACAGAATAAACAGGAAACAATGGAGAATTTCAAAGAGTAACTTCAAAGAAAGAGGGATGTAGTCCAGCTGGGAGAGTGCTTGCCCAGCATGGAGGAGGCCCTGGCTCCATGCCCAGCATCTCATTGGAATTGTGGGCACACACCTGTCATCGCAGGACTTGGGAAGGAGGACTAGAGCTAACCACACAGGCTGCATTAAGGTTCAGGTTTATTGAAAGAGCAATAGGGAGTCATGGATGGTGTTTGAGATTACCTGCCCCATGTCTGTCCTGAGAAGCAAAGACCTTTAGAAGTTGGGGTGGAGGTTGAAGACTCCAATGAGAAGCTGGGTGGCTTCCAGTAACATCATGGTAGGCCCCGAGAGAAGAGATGCGCGGATGGGCTGGGGAGGGGTCCAGGCGTGACAGAGGATTACAATGGCTACTTGTGATTCTGGGTGTCAGGTCTGAGTCCCTCACAAAAGGCTCAAAGCCTCCTGACTCTGGGGACCCAAATGGGGATAGAGCCCTGGATTTCATAGACACAGCTCATTCACCGCTATTCCCTCACCCCTGACCTCAGTCCCAAAGCCCTGACCACTCCACACCCCCACTGACCTGGCACCCCATCTCCCAGCCCCTGGCCTCAGTTTCCCACTGTGGAGAACTTGGCCATGCTGACACAGGGTGCCTGCCTAGAGGGGGGGCTGAGTGTACAGGAAACCCTGCTCA